CAAGAGACCAGGGTCCTGCGGGACTTGACATCTTTCTGCAGGGCCTGCAAGACTGAGCTGTTCCGCCTGGCCTTCGGTTTGGACTCAGTCTGACCCTTATGTTTCCCTCCCCTTATGGTTTTGATCTGTGGGCTACTTTTAAAATGAGGCTGCTTTTTAAATTGCATTTTAACCTGTATTTTAAATTGGATTCCCCCTGATTATATTTTTATTATAATTTTACTGGTGTTAGCCGCCATGAACCCGGCTCTTGCCGGGGAGGGCGGGGTATAAATAAAATTATTATTATTATTATTATTATTATTATTATTATTATCTGCCCTACTATAAAATGCTGGAGAACCGGAGTCTATTTTGGAGGCTTAAGCGGATCGCTAGAGCTCTTCTTCTGCAAGGGTTAATACTTGTAGGATTACACCACCAACCCAAACAGGGTACAGTGGTACTTCTGGATGTGAATGGGATCCGTTCCGGAGCCCTGTTCGCATCCTGAAGCGAACGCAACCCGCGTCTGCGCGTGTTGCGATTCGCTGCTTCTGCGCATGATGTCATCTTGAGCGTCTGCGCATGCGCGAGCGGCGAAACCCGGAAGTAACACGTTCCGTTACTTCCAGGTCGCCGTCGAGCGTAACCTGAAAACGCTCAACCTGAAGCATATTCAACCCGAGGTATGACTGTACTCTGCTGGGAACTAAGGGAACCATGGTGGCAGATTCAAAACCCAGGCAACTCACCACAGATACATAAAATACACACACTGATTCAATTCTGTATATCAGCCTCCCCCAACCTGTTTGGGACTACACTTCTCATTGCCCCTGGCCATTGGCCATGCAGCTGGGGCTGATGGATCTTGTATCTTAAACATCTGGAGGGCAGCAGGTTGGGGAGGTTGCCAGATGTTTCGGACGACACCTACCATCCCTGACTACTGGGCTGGATACAACAATAAAAGCCGTCATTGTTATACCTACTGGATGCTTTTATTATGATAGGCTTTGAGTAGCCTGTCTTTCCTGGTTGATGACACATAATTTAACTGTAAAGTCTCTTCTTTACAGAAGAGTGCAGTTTTTATAAGATAACCCCACCAACTCACCTTCTTTCTGGCTTGGCATTTGGTTGGCTAATGTGGAATCTCTCTACCCTTGAGGGCCCTAAATGTCGCATGCTGCAACTAAAAAGAGCTGCGGTCACTAGCAGGGCGGAAGGAGTGGACAGTCCCTATTTTTGCTCACGCAGTGGCCAATGAGATGAGCTGTTTTGCCTGCCGACATAGTAAAGTTCGGCGGAGAAAAAGGGCTTCTGTTGTGGAAACAAGACACCGCAGGAAGAAATGCTACATCTAAGAAGAAAACATAAATATTGCAGCAAGTTGTAAGATTATCCCTTGACCTTCTGCTTTTAACTAAACGATCCTGGTTTTCTCTGGCTCAGAACGACGGTGGCTTCCATGTTAGCCATTCCCCCAGCTAGGGTCATTTTTCATTAATGTTAGTAAGGAGGATGTTGCTGCTGTTGCAGCATTGCAAGCCAAGTGTTTTCTGGGTTTTGTCCTCCCGAGACTTTCTCAGGAGCTAGCTATTCAGCCGTTTTTCTGAATGGAATTTGCAGTGCCGGCCAGCTCTAAAGTAGACTAAAAAGGCTGCAAATACGCCCAGCAGAAGGCTTGAAAATGAACCCAGAAACTCCTTCAGTGGGTGTTGTGACTTCAGCCTTCGCTTTGACTAGATGTGCTTTCATTAATGTCAGTCGTTATTATGACCTCGTTCATTGGCCAAGAAACACTGGGAAGCAGAAGCAGGCTAGTTTCTGACAAAACCAATGAACGGAACCTGTGCATTCCCCCTCTTGTGTCAGGCTGTGCACGGACTAGGCTTCTTTTCTAGGAAAAATGAAAATGGGGAATTAGGGCTTCTCTGGGGAAATCTGCAGACGTACAGCAGAGACTGTCGGCTCTCTTGCCAGCTGGTTCCCTCAACATGAAAGGTGCTTTCTCAAGCTTGCTCATGCGTCAGGGTATACTTAAAGCACATTCCTGCAGAGACGCATAAAAGATGGTGGAAGGAGCTCTGTGGCTCTCTCTGGTCACAGCGAGAGCGAGAGAGACAGTGAGAGAGAGAAGGCAGGTGGGAATAACATTCCTTTGTTCTGGCTCCGACAAAAGGTTTTCTATACTCCCCTTCCTCAACACACAGTAACAAGCGATGAACATTAGTAAGTGCAGTTGCCATGTTCCAGAAACCAAAACCCTGTGTACCATTATTTCCCGCGCACACACACACCCCGCCAGACGTGCAGGTTCTATCTTTGCACATATGCCATGTGATTTTCCTTAAACATTTTTTAAAAAATAAGTTGCTTTCATTGTAGTTTAAAATATAAAAAAGTATTATCCTGGGAAGCCCCAGAACAAATTTAGGGAGCAGGGAGAGAAGAGGGAGAGGAATTTCTGTTGCACAGTCAAATGTTCTTGTGCTAGTGGCAGCACCTACCTAGATATCATCCGCTGCAAACATGTTTTCCATGGGTAGGCAAACTAAGACCCAGGGGCTGGATCCGGCCCAGTCACCTTCTAAATCCAGCCCGTGGATGGTCCAGGAATCAGCATGTTTTTACATGAGTAGAATGTGTCCTTTTATTTAAAATGCATCTCTGGGTTATTTGTGGGGCATAGGAATTCATTCTCCCCCCCCCCCAAATATAATCCGGCCCCCCACAAGGTCTGAGGGACAGTGAACCTGCCCTCTGCTGAAAAAGTTTGCTGACCCCTGCACATAGTCTGAGACGTGGTCCTTACATTGCCTCTAGGAAAACGCTAGCTTTATTGGATTCCACACTTAAAAGCCTTGTGAAACAGAGTGTTTCTCCTTTTGTACTGCAATGAAATGGGGTGGGGTGGGAGTTAGCCCTCCCCTATCAGAAGGTCGGTGGTTCAAATCCGCGCGACGGGGTGAGCTCCCGTTGCTCGGTCCCTGCTCCTGCCAACCTAGCAGTTCGAAAGCATGTCAAAGTGCAAGTAGATAAATAGGTACCGCTCTGGCGGGAAGGTAAATGGCGTTCCGTGCGCTGCTCTGGTTTGCCAGAAGCGGCTTAGTCATGCTGGCCACATGACCCGGAAGCTGTACGCCGGCTCCCTCGGCCAGTAAAGTGAGATGAGTGCCGCAACTCCAGAGTTGGTCACGACTGGACCTAATGGTCAGGGGTCCCTTTACCCTTTACCTTTACTCACAGTGCTACAAGGGAGAAGCAAATGTAAATACAAAGCAATTAGGAGAGGAGGAATAGTATCAGAATGCAGATGAAATAAAAGCTAAAAGGAGCAACTACAGGGACAGATATAGGTCGTCTTGAGAACTTTTAAAAGTGAAAATTGGGATTCCTTCTTTTTAAATGAAACAAGATTAATTCAAAAATATTAATCCCGTGGGGGGAAGGTACATTCAGGGTGGGAGGAAGAAGAGAAAGCTACACCACTGCCTGGGGTTTGATTTTTTTTTGAAAAAGACCCTTCCCACTGATATTATTAAAGCTGAAAACTAGGTAGTTTTATGACTGAAACAGAAGGAACTAATCGACAGGGAAGCAATACTAAAAAGTGTGCCTCCAGAATAGATAATTCACCAAGACCTATTCATAAATTTCTAAGTGAGTGTCTGGCACTTGCTTTACGAGGACCCAATGCCCTCTTGACTCTCCAGGGAGACCTCTGGAGTTCGAAAGCTATTTTAAAATAGCAAGTGAGGAAAAAGCCTAATAATCTACTTCTTAGTCCTGAGGGGACACAGTGCTGTCCTTGAGATGGGAGGACAAAGCGCATATCTAGTTCAATTTATACTTTGTTTGAGAGACGCATGCCTGAAAGAGGATGGTGTTTTCCTATAAACTTCGGTCTTCAGGCTACCTGCTCGTCTCTGCTCACAGAGAACCCCTGATGTCTGCAGTGAAAATACTCTCCTGTATTAACTATGCAACGGGCCTGAAGAATGCAGATATAATACATCTGTCCAACCAGGTACTGTCCACGCTTTTGGAGAAAGGTTACTGTAGTTTTAACCATGTAAAACTACAATGGTTAGAGCTGGGCAGTTTTGGGGGTGGGAAAATGACAAGAGAGCACTAATCTAAGCAAGACTAGGGCTGCCATATGCCCTGGTTTCCCCAGACATACCCATGAATTGCGTTTGGGTGAAATTTCCGAAAATGTCCAGGGAAACCCAGAAGTATGGCAACGCATGTTGGAAGTGTTGACTTTTTTGGCAAATGTCCTTAAAAACTGCTCAAAAACCAAGAAAAAAGCTCAACAGCTGTGCCAAAAAAAAGCTCGGCAACTTTTGTGTCCGGATTTTCACTTTTTGAAAGATGGCAACGCTACGCAAGACTGAGTTGTGTGTGAGAGAGAGGCAGGAGGTCCACATCTCTCTTTCTTAGAACTGAAGAGTTGGAAGGAACCACGAGGGTCATCTAGTCCAGCCCTCTGCAATGCCTGAATCTTTTGTCCAACGTGGGGCTCAAACCTGCAACCCTGAGGTTAAGCACCTCGTGTTCTACCTACTGAGCTATCCCAGTGTTGTCTTATTTGGGAAGAAAGGAAGGTAAAAGGAATGGGTGAGCAGGGAAGAGTAAAGAGTGGATTTGGTGAACTTAGATGTGCCCCCTTCAGCACATTTTAATCATATTTGTTTTAGCACATATAGTTAATAGCTTGTGAGGTCTGCACCCAATCAGATGCCCTGCCCATTATTTAATTCCTTGTAAAATATTTACTAACTTTTTACACTGGCATCGCTTAATATGGTGCGTTATCGTTCTGGGTTCTTGGTAGATATTTCCAAACGAGGCAATCTAAGCTCAGTAAATAGTTTTAAAACAAGTAAAAAATGATCAGAAGACCAAGTTATGTTGTGCCATATACCAGATTATGGTCACATGGACTCAAAAGACAGATAATATATTTTTGTTATGACCGAAATTAAGAAGCCACACAGTAGCAGCAGCAGCATCATAAATAGACATTAATTTTACTTTTTATAGAGAGGACCAAGTACTAATTTTCAAAGAAAGGTATAAAATACAAATTAGTCACTCTTGAGTAGACATTGCATACAGTGTTTCAAACATGCCTGTACTGCATATAAATCACAGTATATAAAAGACAAGTCAAAATTCATTTTGACTTAGCTTCAATCTAAAAGGTTAGGCTTGAGTGAAAACTTAAAAAAAATCTACTTGAAATTCCATAAAACCCTATAGAATATTATTACCAATAAAAGCACAGATTTTGTGTCTTCACCCAAAAAATCTGCCTGTTGGAGCTGCAGAATAAAAATCTATTTGGACCATAAGGCTCAGGCAGAGTTCAGTTGAGACTATAAATAATTTTTTTCCAGGGGAAAACAATTATTTAGAGGGGAAAGGACAGAGACTCCCAAAGGTCTCTCCGAAAGTCTTCTAGAGTTGCTGGTCTGGTACATCAATCCTGAGGACTCTAACTTTGGACTTATAGTGATATTCTTTCAGATACAACTTCACAGAGGGCGGAACGGGAAGGGCGTCTATGCCATCGTAAGTCGTGTTGTTGCAAATAACTGTCCTGCATATATGTTGAAGGGAAAAGGGGAAAGTCCTGTTTAAGGGAGTCGAGAGAAGTGGCTCAAAGAACATGCAAGAGCTTGGATCTTTGTAATGTTCCAGGAGTCCAGTGATGTCGGGAGAATGGAAGACGCATGGGTCGTGAGCATCAAAGCTGAAGTTGTGATTCCACTGCTCGATCCTGGCATGAAGGGACCGGCTGTAACGCCTAAAACTGACCGAGAACAAGTAATCTTCCTGGGCAGAGTCTCGCAGCAAAAAAGTCCCTTCTGGCTTCCCATCTAAAAGTGCTTCTGCAGCGTATTTATCCATCACTCCCCAGTAGCAGGGATTATTATTGATCTGAAGGAGGTCAGGGACAAGACAATGAACATAATCTATCTGGGTGTGATATTTAGGAGGGGTTTCCAGCTGCAGCAGCTCGTCATCCGTTTCCCACCGTGGCTTGTTTCTCTTCCTGGAGCTAGTGCAGAGTGTCACCACCTCATCGTCGGAGTCCATGTCACTTTCCTCTCTGCTGTTCCTTAGCTGCTTGCCTGCGGCAGGGTCACCTTGAGGGTCGCACCTGCAGGCTGCAACGTCAGGAACGCTGCATGCCTGCAAAACCGCTGACTCGCCTCCTTCGGTACTCTCAACGCCCCTGAGTTCCCCGTTCCTCCCTTCACCTTGTGACGGCTCCATACTTAACCAACTTTCGGACGCCTGTCTTACCGGGGCAGTGTGCCGTTTGATTAAATGCCACCGGAAGGCCAGTTCGGATCGTGGCGGGAAAGGACACTTGTCCAGCATGAGCTCGCTGATATGGATCTTTCTCTTTGATGGAAGCACCGAAGAATGTCGACTGCTGCAGTTCTTTATGGGAAAGCACTGGCCCACAGCATCCTGCAGTTTCTGCTTAAGGGAGCGGCCTAGGAGTCTGTGGCCGCAGGAACGCTCCAAGTCTAGCTCAGTAGAGGAACAGCTGTGTTTCCTCTCCTGGTTCCTTAAACTAAACATGGATTTCCCTGAGGTGCTGGCTGTTTCAGCGTCAGCACTGCCTTCACTCCTTTTTGACCAGGAAAGCTTCTTTCCGCTCCACACATAGCCGTCCTTTCTGTCTGCGCTTCTACTCCGGCTGGTTTTAGGCCTCACATCTGGATTTTTAGGACTCCTTTCTTTATTTTCTGCCATTTCCCCACAAATGCAACCGGATTCATAAAAGTTCCAAGGCTACCGTTGCCAAATCCTCTGGAGCCAGTTTCTATCTCAGAAAGCTTCCATCAGGTGCTGTTCGGATGTACCTACGAAAACAAAAAAGACAGTCCTCAGCTTACGTTATTAGTGAAAGGTAAAGGGAAAAGGGACCCCTGACCATTAGGTCTAGTCGCAGACGACTCTGGGGTCGCGGCACTCATCTTGCTTTATTGGTTGAGGGAGCCGGCGTACAGCTTCCAGGTCATGTGGCCAGCATGACTAAGCCGCTTCTGGAGAACCAGAGCAGCACACAGAAATGCCGTTTACCTTCCCACCGAAGTGGTACCTATTTATCTACTTGCACTTTGACGTACTTTTGAACTGCTAGGTTGGCAGGAGCAGGGACCGAACAACGGGAGCTCACCCCATCGCGGGGATTCGAACCGCCGACCTTCTGATCGGCAAGCCCTAGGCTCTGTGGTTTAACCCACAGTGCCACCTACGTCCCTTTACATTATGAGTACATGTGTGATAAACCCAAGCATACACTCAGGCTTCCATCACCCAGAGACAAAGCGTCAGAGCCCGGCTGTTCACAGCCTTTCTGCACCCTCCCTAGGAATATCTGGTGGCTTGTCCTTCCCCAGGAAAAGCAGTAAAGCTGCAAACTACTTCCAGGAAAAGCAGTAGAGCTGCAAACAAGGAGCAAGGATAGTGCACGCTGCTGCATGTTCCTAGGGGAGGATTTGAAGAGCATCTTGACATAAAGGGCCCGGCCACAGTGCTCGTGTGCCCAGCAGCACAACAGAAGCTCTATTGGAAAGGAAAGGACTACACTGGTTTCTGTGGGGTGATTAGAATTGTACTTAATCCATTAAGTTCATACAGAGACAAGCACTAAATACCGTATATTCTTCCTCTTTTGTTATACCATACTTCCTTCAGGAGCTCAATGTGGCAGACATTGCGTGGAGGCATTCTACTGCTTTAAAAATCCTGTATGTGGTGTGGTTTGGGAATTAAGGGGTTAACTTGTTTCCAAGAATCAAGCCTTGGCTGGCAGATATCCACTTAGGAAAGCGTTATTAATTAATTGGAGGGAGAGGTTGAATCAGATAATCTATATCTGCCACAGAATCAGGACAATCGTATTTTATTTGATATTTTGAAACGTTTGTGGGTGGAAATGCAAATCAAAGCTAAACTCCAAGTTATATCTTGCTAGCTTATTCCACTGATATTCAGATCAAGGCGATTAGATCACTTGGACACCATATTCATGCAAGATCCTTTTTACCTGTGGAACTATAAATATTAGCATTTGTGCCAGCTACTGGAATACCCATAGTTACTTGCTTAATGTTGTTTTTTTATTAAAAAAGAACAACTACCAGAATTCCAAATTCTTTATTATCGTATTTTTTGCCCTATAGGACACACTTTTTTCCCTCCAAAAATGAAGGGGAAATCTGTGTGCGTCCTATGGGGCGAATGCAGACTTTCGCTGAAGCTTGGAGGGCGAGAGGGGTCAGTGCGCAACGACCCCTCTCGCTGTCCAGGCTTCAGGAAGCTATCAGCAAGCCTGGGGAGCCTGCAGGAGTTCCTGCAGGGCTCCCTAGGCTGCGGATAGCAGCCTGCTGCCAGGAGTGTGGGGCGCGCTGAAGCCACGGCTGGGGGGGAATAATTTTTTTTTCTTTATTTCCACCCCAAAAAACTAGGTGTGTCCTATGGGCCGGTGCGTCCTATAGGGCGAAAAATACGGTATTTTAAATCTGTGTTGCTCAAACTTGGATCCCCAGCTGTTGCTGGACTACAACTCTCATCATCCCTGATTGCTGGTCCTGCTAGCTAGGGATGATGGGAGTTGTAGTCTAACAACAGCTGGGGAAACAACTACAAATAATAGAGTAACAAAGGGTCCTCAAAATGTACAACTTAAGTGCAAAAGGCCATGGTAAATAGGTGTGACTTCCAGTGCTTCCAGACAAATGGAACTGTGGCTGATGGACCTCTGTATTACCTGAAACACAATTCTAACTTAATTAGCTCTCAAGGACTTCCTCCATGATCATGTTATGAGAGATAAACTGCAGAGACGGCTTAACGTCATCGCTGGAAGTGGGCATACTTCTAGGACCACCACCACGCCGTTGGGACAAGTGCTGTACAGTAAACCTGCAACTTACACAGGCCAAAATCATATAAAGTCAAAACACATTGGGTTCAATGGCGGGTGGGGTTGCCAAATGCTTTCCCCCCAGATGTCCGCCCCCTTCATAGTGACTGGTGGTGATGGGAATTGTGGTCAAAAACATCTGGAGGGCACCAGGTAGCTGAGAGCTGTTGGAGAGGATTTTGCTTTGCCTGTCCTTTTTAGACAAATGCTATATATATATTCATGCCAGTGAGTCATTCAAGAGCAAAACCCCCAGAAGAGAGGCAAAGTAGGCCAAGAAATATTACATGCTCAAAAGATTCACGTTATGCTTGTTCAATATTAGTTCACATAAGTGTGATGTTAAGAGATGTTATTCTATACTGACACTTTCAGGTCACACTCAAGACAGAAATTAATTAAAAATACATAAGTTACATACTGGGAATCTCTTGGTACTCTTGTCACTTGCTTTTCAAGATGAAGGGTTTTCTCTTTTTCTTTTTAAGGGACACCCCCAAGGCACTTGAAGTATCTAGGGCTTTACATATTGAAGAGGATTATATAAAATCCAGTTCCTTTCATGAAAGCAATTTTGAAAGACCATGATGGATGGCTTTTTTTTTTTTAAGGGATTGCAAGAGGGGGGGGAAATGACACTACCAAAATTAAGCCTTTTTCAAGATTCAACTCATGCACAACACATGCCTTTGTTTGCCTCCCCTACAGTTTAATGTTTATCTAAACACACTGCTGGCCCCAGGGAGTAAGAAACATGCAAATGGAACATAATACATTTATAATATGGAGCAAGGGTACTTGAACCTCTGAGGCATTTTTAAACGAGTATTTTAATATTACTTATTATTAAGCCACATACAAGCTACCTTTAAGGCAAATATTTTAACTCAATGTGGTTTACACACAAATAAAACAAAGTACTGTATCAAAACTACAAGATGTTTTAACCTCTCTTAAAAGATGGTAGCACTATGCTTAGGGGAGTGGGTGGCTCTGTGGTCTAAACCACTGAGCCTCTTGGGCTTGCCGATTGGAAAGTTGGTGGTTCGAATCTGCGTGATGGTGTAAGCTCCCGTTGCTCTGTCCCAGCTTCTGCCAACCTAGCAGTTCGAAAGCACACCAGTGCTAGTAAATAAATGGGTACCACTGTGGTGGGAAGATAAACAGTGTTTCTGTGCACTCTGGCACTCATCACAGGGTCCCGTTGTGCCTGAAGCAGTTTAGTCCTGCTGGCCACATGACCCGGAAAGCTGCCTGTGGACAAACGCCCGCTCCCTCGGCCTGAAAAGCGAGATGAGTACCGCAACTCCATAGTCGCCTGTGACTGGACTTAACTATCCAGGGGTCCTTTACCTTCTACCTTTTTACAACGCTTAGATTCCCTAGAGGGCCTACAATTGAAAAGGCCACAGCCATGTGCTAGAGATTAAGAGGACAGCCTCTTCCACACTTTGTGTGAAGTCTGTCTGGAAACCAACAAGAAGCCAGTGTAGTTTAGAACAGGTGCAATGTCACACAATTTTGGTGACTAGCCTTCACAAAAAGCCAGACCCCTGCATTGCACACCAACGAATGTTTCCAAATACTTTTGGTGGGTGGGCTTCTCTGCGCCTCTCAGACTGCATCAGAGAGTCTAGCCTGGAAGTTACTGAAGAAGAATGGATAAGAGATACAGTGAGACTGCCGTCCAAATGACCAGTTGGTGGAACCTGCCCTTAGCCACTGCTCTGTTTCAGCTCTGCTTCTAATGGCAGACCAGGAGTGGGGAACCTTTGGCCCTCCAGCTGTTGCTGAACTACAGTTCACATCAGCACTAGCAAACCTGGCCAATGGCCAGAGATGATGGGAGTTGTAGTTCAACGACATCTACAGGGCCCAAAGGTTCCTCCACACCTGCAGTAGATGCTGGAGCACAGCAAGACTGTGAACTTGGTTCACCAAAAGAGAAAGACTATTATTCATCAAGTGGAAACTGACCCCTGGAGAAAAGGGACTACTAGCTGGCATTGGCAGCATTTTGTAAATCCATCTACCGTATTTTTCGCTCTATAGGATGCACTTTTCCCCCTCCAAAAATGAAGGGGAAATGTGTGTGTGTCCTATGGAGCGAATGGAGGCTTTCGCTGAAGCCTGGAGAGAGAGAGGGGTCGGTGCACACTGACCCCTCTCGCTCTCCAGGCTTCAGGAAGCTATCCGCAAGCCTTGGGAGCTCGGCGGGAGTGCTCGTCAGGCTCCCAAGGCTTGCGGATAGCAGCCTCCAAACCCGACCTGGTTTGGAGGCTGGCGGTGGGGAAAGCAGCGCTCCCCCCCCGCCAGCCCCAAAGAGCAGGTTGAAAGGAACCCAAAGCCTCCGGAGCCCAGCGGGAACTCCCGCTGGGCTCCGGAGGCTTCGGGTGAACGCACCTTGAACGCACCTTGACTTAGAGGGGGAGAACAAGAACCCCCCCCCCGTTCTCCCCCTCCTATAGTGCATCCAATAGAGCGAAAAATACGGTAATTATGGTCTCCACAAGCTTGTTTGCAGCCGAAGCTGCTGCTTTTGGGTCTGTTCTAAAGGGAAAATGGAGTCAGGCATCATCCGCACACGAAATGATTTCACTCGGTGATTTTATACAGATATTATACAGACAGAAAGAGGGCTATGAAACTTTACAGAACAGCTCACACGTGTCCACAAAGGAGTAAACCCTCAACTGCCTGGAGAGCATTAGAACCAGCATAAAGCTGCCCGGCTTATTCCTATTGACTCCAGCAGGAGGTCCAAAAGAAGTCACAATTAACACAATGTGTTCTACGCCAAACTTCTTCTGAAATGTCTTCAAAAATTTCAAGTGATTTCTATGCATGTTTACTCAAAAGTTGCCCTCTCCTATTTCATGTGTTGCCAAAGGTCTAGTTTTGATAGCCATAGATTTACATGACCTGGGAACAAGGTACTTTAAGTGCTGTCTTCTCCTGGACAGATGAGATAGTGACTGGAGGCCTTCTTCAGGCAACCCCCTAGTCTGAAGTTAAGCCGCTGGCCCCCGGAAATGGAAATGGATGTTCACCTGGAGCTGTCCTTATTATCTTTTAGGCATCAGGCAAAGCCTGTCTTTGTTTATGTGAGCCTTTGGTGACTGGTAACACTGTTCTAATGGTGACCAGTGGGTTTTTTCTGCTAGCTTGAGTGCTTTTGTTTGTTAACTGTTTGAGGTTATGTCTTTGGGATTTTGTTCTCTTGGTTTTAAACTGCTTGAACCTGCTGTTAATTATAATACAGTATTTTATGTTATGATGCTTGTGGTTATTTCAAGACTTGAATGCCATTTTTGGAAGAAAATCAGGGCACTTAAAAAACAACAATCCGTTAATCTTTTCTTTTATGTCATATCAAAAGCCACTGAGAGGTCAAGGGTAGAAAAACCTCCACAGAGAAATGTTTCCCTTGTTGATCTCTGATGATAGACTAACCAGGCATCCCCAACCTGTGGCCCTCCAGATGTTTTGGCCTACAACTCCCATGATCCCTAGCTAACAGGACCAGTGGTCAGGGATGATGGGAATTGTAGTCCAAAACATCTGGAGGGCTGAAGGTTGGGGATGCCTGGACTAAGCAATCCTATGTAGGCTTACTCTAAGTCCCACTGTGCTCAGTGGGGCTTACTCCCTAGTGTTCACATTGCAGCCCAAGACACAAATCTGGTGCCTCATCTGTAAATGGTATGAAAAACAGTGTCACTTCCATTGCTGATAAAGATTTATTTAAACAAACATAATGTTTATCACCTTGCGCGGTTGGGATATGTTGGACTATAAATCAAAAGCAATAAACCCTCTTTCTTAACAATAAACATTCTTCTGCAGAGAAATATTATCTTACACATGCCATAACCTTTGGAGAAATCTAAGCGCGCGCACACACATTCTTCTCCATGTTTATAACTCAAAGCATATTTCCCCTGCCCAGCTGAAGATAAAGAGGAAGGAGCTCATCTGTACGCACAGAAACAGGGCTTTCCACCAGACCTTTGGAGCAACCATTTTACACCACGCTTACATTTCTATTTCTCCCAGCTCAGCTCTCCACCTCTTCTTCTTAAATGGACTGAGATGACTGAAAAAAGCAGCTCTCGGGTCTTCTCTCCATTTAATTAATCTATTCCCTTCATTATATTTACCCTCACAATATTGCTACTGAGAGACACCCAGTGTCTGTGTCCTATTCCCCGAGGGTAGATACCACTGATTTCTCAGACATTGTCTCCTCCTCTTCAAATGAGCAAGAGAAAGGGGCTATTTATTAATGTTATGCTTAGCCAGCACCATTTTGAAGGCTAGAGGAACCTAATAGTACATTAACACAAAAAGGAGGTCCAAAAAACCAGAACAAGGTCTTATGCAAATACAAAATTCTAAATGTACAAGATCGCCAGCGTAACCTCAGTAACTTAATGTAAGGACATTTCCATTTTAACAACACAGCAAGACAACAGAAAATTCCCAACCACCCTTGGTTTAGACGAGGAACACTCACATAAATTGGGATTCACGCCAGCTGTACAGACTTGCTTAATATCATGCTTTAACTTGTTCTCCTTCCCCTAAGTCTACATCCCAACCCCCCACAAATCAGGCTTTAACGACATCTTCATAACCCAAGGATATCTGAACCAAATAAATGCATATAGCTCTATGTTCACTAATGCCAGCAACAAAGATAAGAACAAAAGACCACGTAGATATTAAGTATATTTTCACCCAGAGGGCAACACTGATGGAATGGGCCATTTGATAAGCCACATTATGAGCATCTGCTTTGTAGGTTTTATTTTCACTAAGAAACAGAGCGGATGTGACATAGGTCTCAGCAGAAAGGATGCTCACGTCTTTCATGTACAATTTACTTGTTAGTGGGCACACACTGAAAGCCTTTTAAAAGCATCCTGCCTTTGACAAAACACTTAAGCACGCAGCTAGCTCCCACACACAGACAATAAAATAAAGGCTTCCTTTTGGACCATATGATTCCGCCACAGGGAAGTAATCAGAGCATGAAAAATACTGCGGAGGAGTTTGATTCGTTGTTCTTTGACACAGGACTGTCTCTTTTGTTGGTTGCAATCGCAATGGACACTTATCTCAGGGAGAGAATGGAAGCCAACATTGTTCCTTTTCACTTCTCTCATACAGCTAGTGAGTAGATCAGGCATATCCAAAGTCCGTTCTAATCCGGCCCTCATAGACAGTTCCTCTCTGTGGTTCTAAAAAAAAGGTCAACAACTCAACTTTGGGGTAAAATCCTAAAAAAAGGGTCAACAACTTTGTTCAGCCCTCATGCATGTTCACTTCATCAAATCTGGCCCTCTTTTTAAAAAGTTTGGACACCCCTGGACTAGCAACTAGGAGAAATTTGACTGATCTTCACAACAACAGGAAGGACAGCAGAAGATTGGAGAAGTCTGAAACCAGTTACTTTGGACCCTGCATCATGTGTGGACAGATATAAGAGGCCCAGAATAACACTCTTCTTCTGAGACTAAGATCATATCCAGACTTGCCCTTGCACCACTGCTTTCCCCTGGGAAAATCCAATATTTACTGCTGAATCAGAGCAAATGTCAATTGGGTTCTCTCCAGATTGACGTTTGCTCTGATTTATTGCCAAAGAGCAGGTTTTCCATGGGAAAGTGGAAGGGCAAGGGCAAAACCACTGAGATTCCTGCACAGCAGGGGGTTGGACTAGATGATCCTCGGGGTCCCTTCCAACTCTACAATTCTATGATTTTATGACCCTTGCTAGAAAGTATGGGACATGTGGAAAACTGCCCGGACCCATGCTTTCTAGGCACTGGGCAAGTGGAAGTATGGATAACCTCCAGGTGGCTGATAAAGACCAGGGAATCCATAAGCCTGCATTTCCCTAAAGAGAGAAATTCTATCTCCAGTAATAAATCCATAGGAGCAATGAATGTGTTATAACCGCATACATGCAGGCTGCAAACAAATAGTATTTGCTATCCCAGTGTAATTTAAACTGCAATCTTAGTTCCATTTGCTCAGGGTTGAATTCAACTGCTAGGTTGGCAGAAGCTAGGACAGAGCAACGGTTGGCAAACCCAAGAGGCTCAGTCAGGGGTCAGCAAACTTTTTCAGCAGGGGGCCGGTCCACTGTCCCTCAGACCTTGTGGGGGTGGGGGTGGACTATATTTTTTGGGGGGGGGGATGAATGAATTCCTACGCCCCACAAATAATCCAGAGATGCATTTTAAATAAAAGCACACATTCTACTCATGTAAAAAACACGCTGATTTCCAGACGCTGGATTTAGAAGGCGATTGAGCCGGATCCGGCCCCCGGGCCTTAGTTTGCCAACCCATAGTTTAGACCACAGCGCCACTGCGTCCCTACACTTCAACAGGATTTACATTTGAGTAGACATGGTTAAGGTTGTGCTGTTGGTAAGAAACCAGACAAATACCAAAAGCTGCAGCCCATCAGCACTCTTCTGTTCTTAAGGGCAATTCGTTCCTCCCTCCTACCACTCAAGAGATGGCTCTCTCAGCTTAACTCAAAATAGGCATCAGAATAAAACCTACTAGAGCACCATTTAGACTATAAAGCAGATCAAGGACACACATTCTATGAAAGTTACCATACACTATAAGCAAATATGTTGTGAAAACTGCTTGCAAGTTTGTTTTGTTTTTAAAAAGTTTTCTGCCCAGGAGTGATTACTGTTGTTGGTCCAGTAGTGAATATAAAAGCTAGCTTCAGCTGCAGAAATGGTAAGAGGAAATTCTCTTTTCCGTTCAGGTATTTTGTAACATGTGTGCCAAAGACATTTTCTCTTTAAAAACAGTATGTATAAAATATTGTTTCAAAGATTGGTTGTATTTTAATGCAGGTACTCATTGAAGCACAACTGACTACAATTGTACTTATAGTAGCCCCAATTCTGCAGATGTTAACATGCACTCAAAATGTAGTAAATATATTGGGCTTGAACTACAAAGTGCTGAGAAAACAGGCTGCCAGCTCTTCAGCAGACTTAAGAGGGGACTGTGCAGTGTTGTATTTTTTGTCATTTGGAGACTCACAGTGCAATCCTATATATGTCTGGTTAAAGCAGGCCCTATTTGAGTACTCCCAGAATGCAAGACCAGCAAAATCCAACCCATTGTTTCAGTAAAGAGGCATTAGGTACCATTATTTGTGTGCCTGGTCACATGAGTTGTGAGAATCATAGAATCTTAAGAGTTAGAAGCGACCTCGAGGGTCATCTAGTCCAATGCCCTGCAATGCAAGAATCTCAGCTAAAGCATCCATGAAAGATGCTTAGAAATCTCCAAGGAAGGAGAGTCCACCACCTCCAGTGGGAGTCTGTTCAACTGCTAAACAGTTCTTACTGTCTGAAAGTTTTTCCGAATGTTTAGTCGGAATCTCCTTTCTTGCAACTTGAAGCCATGGGTTCGAGTCCTACCCTCCAGAGCAGGAGAAAACAAGCATGCTCCCTCTTCCATGCGACAGCCCTTAAGATATTTGAAGATGGCTCTCCTATCTCCTCTCAGTCTCCTCTTTTTCAGGCTAAACATACCCAGCTCCTTCAAGAACTCCTCATAAGGCTTCATTTCCAGACCTCTGATCATCTTGGTCGCCCTCCTCCGCACACCTTCCTGCTTGTCAACACCCTTCTTAAAATTGTGGTGCCCAAAACTGGACACAATATTCCAGGTGTGGTCTGACCAAGGCAGAATAGAGTGGTACTATTACATCCCTTGATCTGGACACTATACTTCTACTGATGCAGCCGAGAATAACATTAGCTTTTTTTGCTGCTGCATCACACTGTGATAGTGAGATAGTGCCATGGGGTGGGGAAATTACTTCATGCAAAAACTTTGTTTTATCAGTTGCTGTTTTTGGCAAATGATTCTTAGTCATCAGCACGTAAGACATAAGAAGTGTGAAGAGTACTAAACTGTGCTAGACCTTTGCTTTGGTGCCAGAGGCAGAAAATTCAAACTGCATCCTTCCATACGTTAATCAATATTACTTATTTATTTATGGCATTTCATAGAATCATAGAATCATAGAGTTGGAAGAGACCACAAGGGCCATCGAGTCCAACCCCCTGCCAAGCAGGAAACACCATCAGAGCACTCCTGACATATGGTTGTCAAGCCTCTGCTTAAAGACCTCCAAAGAAGGAGACTCCACCACACTCCTTGGCAGCAAATTCCACTGTCGAACAGCTCTTACTGTCAGGAAGTTCTTCCTAATGTTTAGGTGGAATCTTCTTTCTTGTAGTTTGGATCCATTGCTCCGTGTCCGCTTCTCTGGAGCAGCAGAAAACCTTTCTCCCTCCTCTATGTGACATCCTTTTATATATTTGAACATGGCTATCATATCACCCCTTAACCTCCTCTTCTCCAGGCTAAACATGCCCAGCTCTCTTAGCCGTTCCTCATAAGGCATCGTTTCCAGGCCTTTGACCATTTTGGTTGCCCTCCTCTGGACACGTTCCAGTTTGTCAGTGTCCTTCTTGAACTGTGGTGCCCAGAACTGGACACAGTACTCCAGGTGAGGTCTGACCAGAGCAGAATACAGTGGCACTATTACTTCCCTTGATCTAGATGCTATACTCCTATTGATGCAGCCCAGAATTGCATTGGCTTTTTTAGCTGCCGCGTCACACTGCTGGCTCATGTCAAGTTTGTGGTCAACCAAGACTCCTAGATCCTTTTCACATGTACTGCTCTCAAGCCAGGTGTCACCCATCTTGTATTTGTGCCTCTCATTTTTTTTGCCCAAGTGCAATACTTTACATTTCTCCCAGTTAAAATTCATCTTGTTTGTTTCTCTGGGTGGTGAACTGAAGGACCTCACTTTCAGGTGTAATACATAAATACTACTAAAATTCAGCAGTACAAAGTACAAACCTCTTCTTTCTTTCTTTCTTTTCTTTCTTGGTACAAATCCCTTATAAAACACATAATGCCAGAGAAAAATCAATAAAATTGGTACCTTAAAAGCCAAAACCTCCCTCAGAATCCTGGAAGGATAAGAATGTATTCACCTGGCACCAGAAAAAAATACACAACAGGGGTCAGGTGAGGCTCTCTGGGGAGGGCAATCCACAACCAGGGTGATATTACTGAGAAGGCCTTATCACTACTAGTTGGATCACACCTGGTGGTAGTACTCAGAGATCATGGACTCAAGGTCTGGGTATATGTGGGAGGATGCAATCCTACTGGTAACCTGGCCCAAAACTGCCTGGAAATAAACAAGAAGCCAGAATATCTGATAATGTACTAGCATAATATGTTTCAGTTGCCTAGTCCTGGTCAACAATCTCACTGCCCCATTTTGGACTAACAAGGTAATTGTTTTCAAAGGCAGCTACATACATAACACAATAATCTAAGGGGAGGTTATCAGAGCATGGCTGACCGTACCGTAGCCAAGCTATCTCTGTCCAAGTAAGATTGTAGCCGATTTCTCACCAGAAGTCGATAAAAGGCAGGACATTTTCAGCCCCCGAGGACACCTGTGCCTCTAGTCATGACAATATTGGATGCTGAGTACAGTGGTATCTCGGGTTACAGACGCTTCAGGTTACAGACTCCGCTAACCCAGAAATAGTACCTCGGGTTAAGAACTTTGCTTCAGGATGAGAACAGAAATCGCACAGCAGCGGTGCGGCGGCAGTGAGAGGCCCCATTAGCTAAAGTGGTGCTTCAGGTTAAGAGCAGTTTCAGGTTAAGAACGGACCTCCAGAACGAATTAAGTTCTTAACCCGAGGTACCACTTTACCTCCAAACTGCAAATTGGATCACTTAGGGCAGGGGTCAGGAAACCTTTTCAGCAGGGGGCCAGTCCACTGTCCCTCAGACCTTGGGGGGCGGACTGTATTTTTTTTTTGGGGGGGTGAACGAATTCCTATGTCCCACAAATAACCCAGAGACGCATTTTAAATAAAAGCACACATTCTACTCATGTAAAAACACGCTGATTCCTGGACCATCTCTGGGCCGGTTTAGAAGGCCCCCAGGCCTTAGTTTGCCTACCCATGATTTAAGGGGAGTGCAACCACATCCAGAATAGGTTTTTTTTTATTATTATTATTAATTTTGTATACTGCCCTAGACCCGCAGGTGTCAGGGTGGTTCACAAGATAAAACCACAAAATACATAATAAAAATAAAAACAAAAACCACCCACTCAACTTGGCAGACAAACCATCCACCTACTGCCTCTCTATCTTATCTGGGTTAAGCCTCAGTTTATTCAATCCATTGTCATCTCCAGGCATGAAAGGGGACAGAATGCCTTGGGTTCTCCTTTGCAAGGCTCATTCAAATGAATGGAAACTGAAGAAAAAATATTACTCTTGTGCAGCTCCCATTTAAATATCCACAATTTGTTTCTCCCCCTACACAGAAATATATTTAGCTTAATTATGGATCTGAAATTCAACCAGAATTGAGATCCTCAATAGGTATTTATCATAATTTCATTTTAAAAAAGAAGCCCTGTTAACACTCCAAAAATAAAAAGAGTACGGTAAAATGAAAACACCAATTCTATTTAAAATGTTTCCTTAAATACAACAAAGTGGATATTTAGTTGCTTATTTTTAAATGTCATCTCGTAAAAATTATATTCTAGCTAAGGACAGTCTAATAGCTGTATTTCTAGAAACAGAAGAAGGCACCTATTTGTGTTCAAAGTATATTGCCATATCCTGAAACATCTAGTGAGGCAGAGGGCCTTCTTGGTAGTCACACCCTCCCGTCAGATGTCAAGGAAATAAACAACTATCTGACTTTTAGAAAACATCTGAAGGCAGTCCTGTTTGGGGAAGTTTTTAATGTTTGATGTGGTATTGTGCTTTAATCTGTTGGAACCCAGTCAGATGGGTAGCATATAGATTAATAATAGTAACAATAATAATAGTACACACACACACACGTGTCAATATGAGACCAGAAATATTTACACATGTATTGTAAGCAGGGCCAAACAAACAATCCAGAGCTATTTCATGTATTTTGTCAGCCTAGATCTCAACAGCTACTGAGCTACCATTAAAAGGCAAGAACAAGCATTTTAGTTCCTTGTGGTTTCTCCATAAGACACACACAACTAGTGTTGCTGCTATAGTATTATTATAAGCATCATTATCTATTATTATAATTATCATTATAATAAAGGACACACATCTTAAGACCTAGGTTTGGCTTTGAACGAATCGCTTCCGGAATATTTCCAGAATAGAAGGTGGCAGTGAATCAGGCCGGAATTTTAGTCATTCTTAAGTGGCATTTCCATGCATGTTTCAAGACACGAGATGTAAAATGCGTGCCATGTATGAAGTAGAGCTAGAAGCAGCTACACTTGGAAATGTCATCTCAAAGAGAAGAAAGCCTCGCTTTTTAACTTTTGAAAAGTGTGGTGGGCATCCAAAGTGTGATGGGCATATCAAAGTTTTTAAAAATAAGTGCAGTGCTTGGTTTTGAGATGGGGATATTCCAGAATAAAGGGAAATCCTTTGAAATAAGGACAGCATGTCAGCCGAATATCACTTTCTGCCATGGGTGGATATAAGATACTGAAGTGACCCGTAACACAGTCAAATGCTTGGTTACTCACTAGTAGATGCTGTCCAGAAAAACCTTGAGAAATGCAGTCAAGGATCCTAAACATTTATTTGCCTATCCATTTTTTAATACACATCCCTAGAGCGGGTTAAAACTGGGAACTTCTTGAATCAAAATTTATTACCGAGCACCAATTCCAACCTTAAAGGCACAGACTCATTTAAAAGTTTTGCCTTCAGCTGTTTTCTAAAAAAGAAGTTACATTTCTGCGACGGCAGTTATGAAACCAACAGCGAGCCAGATTTTGTCAGAATACAGCCTACTCCTCTTCCCACCAGAAAGATACCCGGCCAATGCAAATAACAGACCCCCCAACTCCAGTTCCAATAACCCCCCAGATACACTTTCCCCATAATGTTAAGCAGTGCTTTTTTTCCTTAAAAAAAATGTTTAGGGGTACTCTCATTTTCCTACTCATGTTGAAATACTGCTCCTTGATGAGGCCAAACTTAGATTCACAAAATGTTTAGGGGTATGCGCACCCCTGCGTCCCCCCAGAAAAAAGCACTGATGTTAAGGAAGAATATTACGGTTCATTAAATTTCCCAGAATGTTAAGAAACATGCCTTGAAGATGGCAATCGGAAAGCCTTTAGCAGTTAATAATAATGATAAAAAAGCAATTTCCATAATGAAGGGGATGCTGCCCCCACCCCCATTGAGCATGCTTACCTGCCGCTTACCAGAAGAGGCATGTTGTTGGTGGGGGGGTGGAGGTCTGGCACCCAAAAAGAAGGGGTCCAAGAGGGGCTTCACCCCAGCAAGGAAAGGCACATCCGCTCCCCATCAGACACAAAGCCAGACTGGATTAACTGCACAGCTGGAACTGTGGGGGGGGGGGAGGTGGGCTGGGCTGAGGAAGCAGGAGATGGGGAGGGAGGAAGGAAAGAAAGTGGGGGGGGGGCAAGGAAGGAGAGTTTAAAAGGAAAGAGGAGGAAGGAAAAGGGAATGGGGAAGGTTGAGAGGGGAAAAGCATCGGGAAAGGGGGAAGGATGGAGGCAGCGGAAAAGGGAAGGTGGGCAGAACTGAGTGCAGGGGAATTTTAATTCCTGTATTTTTCCATGTATAAGACGCCCCCCATGCATAAGACGACCCCTTTTTTGGAGCCCCAAATTAAGAAAGAATGAATTGGAGCCCCCAAATTAAGAAATAATGAATTGCAACCGTGTAGACGACGACCCCCAGTTTTTAAACTTAAAAAAATGGGGGGGGGGAATATAGTAAGTCTTATACACGGGAATAGGGAGGCACGGTTTTTTTTTGGGGGGGGTGCCGTCCTAAAACTTACTCCCCTAGGAAGAAAAGAAGGAAGAAAGGAGCCCCCCTCCTCCCCAATGGGGAATATTTGACAAAAATGCCAATGGAGAAGGGGTTATTTGAGGAAGGAAAGGCGAGAAGAAATGAGAAATAAACGCGGGGGGGGGGAATTAAAAATAAATAAATAGAAGAGAGAGAGGGAGGTGGGAGCTCCGAAATAAAGAGATTAATGGGGAGAGAGGAAACCGTGAGGCAGAAAGTGCTGAAAAAGAGGAAAGTGTATATATCCTATCCAGCTCCCCACAGAGATGTCCTTTTAACACCACAGGGTGGAGAGGAGAAGGGAGAAGGGAAGAGGAGCAGCCGAGAGGCCCGGCCAGCTGCTGCCCGCCCTCCTCGTCCGTCTCCCGGCCGCGCAGAGGCGCTTCTTCCCCTGCCGCCTCTTCGTCTTCTCCTCCCTCGCTCGGTGCCAGGCGGCCCGGTCACCTCAGGCGCCTCCTCCGCCCCCCATCATCACCGTCTCGGAGGATCCGGCCGGCCCGGGAAGGAGGAGGAGCGGGAGGCGGAGAGGAGAGGGAGGCCGGGGCTCTGACGCCCCACGCCGGCTCCGCCTCAGGCCCAGAGCGCGGGAAGAAGGAGGAGGAGGAGGAGAGGCCGGAGGTCTCCGTGTCGCGGTGAGGAGGGGGGGCTGTGTTGGGGGGGCGCCTGCCTCGGCCCTGTTTTTCTCTCCTCAGCCCCCCAAAAGAGAAGCCGAGGAGGAAGAAAAAGGGGAGGAAGAAGCGCCCCTTCGCAAAAGGCGAGGGGGGGGGATTTGTTACCTCAGGCTGCCCCCATAGGCGGCGCCACGAGGGGGTCGGGGGTGAGGGGCAAGCGATCCCCCCCACAAACAAGGACCTACTACTATTACTACTATTATTGTTTTATTTTGTGGTGAGGGGCAAGCGACCCCCTGAACAAGGACCTATTATTATTATCATCTGTGGAGAGGGGCAAGCGACCCCCTGAACAAGGGCTTATTATTATTATTTTTTGTGGAGAGAGGGGCAAGCGACACCCCCCCAAACAAGGACCTGATATAATTTATATTATTATTATTATTATTATTATTATTATTATTATTATTATTTTGCAGAGAGGGGCAAGCGATTCCCCCCCACAAACAAGGACCTACTACTATTATTATTATTATTTTATTTTGTGGTGAGGGGCAAGCGACCCCCTGAACAAGGACCTATTATTATTATCATCTGTGGAGAGGGGCAAGCGACCCCACCAAACAAGGACCTGATTTTTTATTTGTGGAGAGGGGCAAGCAACCCCCTGAACAAGGGCTTATTATTATTATTTTTTGCGGAGAGAGGGGCAAGCGACCCCCCCCCAAACAAGGACCTGATATAATTTATATTATTATTATTATTATTATTATTATTTTGCAGAGAGGGGCAAGCGACCCCCCCCCCAAACAAGGACCTGATATAATTTATATTATTATTATTATTTTGCAGAGAGGGGCAAGCGACCCCCCCCCAAACAAGGACCTGATATAATTTATATTATTATTATTATTATTATTATTATTATTATTTTGCAGAGAGGGGCAAGCGACCCCCCCCCCCAAACAAGGACCTGATATAATTAATATTATTATTATTATTTTGCAGAGAGGGGCAAGCGACCCCACCAAACAAGGACCTGATATAATTTATATTATTATTATTATTATTATTATTATTATTATTTTGCAGAGAGGGGCAAGCGACCCCCCCCCACACAAGGACCTGATATAATTTATATTATTATTATTATTTTGCAGAGAGGGGCAAGCGACCCCCCCACAAACAAGGACCTGATATAATTTATATTATTATTATTATTTTGCAGAGAGGGGCAAGCGACCCCCCCCAAACAAGGACCTGATATAATTTATATTATTATTATTATTATTATTATTATTATTTTGCAGAGAGGGGCAAGCGACCCCCCCACAAACAAGGACCTGATATAATTTATATTATTATTATTATTATTATTATTATTATTATTTTGCAGAGAGGGGCAAGCGACCCCCCCACAAACAAGGACCTGATATAATTTATATTATTATTATTATTTTGCAGAGAGGGGCAAGCGATCCCCCCCACAAACAAGGACCTACTACTATTACTATTATTATTTTATTTTGTGGTGAGGGGCAAGCGACCCCCTGAACAAGGACCTATTATTATTATCATCTGTGGAGAGGGGCAAGCGACCCCCCCAAACAAGGACCTGATTTTTTATTTGTGGAGAGGGGCAAGCAACCCCCTGAACAAGGGCTTATTATTATTATTTTTTGTGGAGAGAGGGGCAAGCGACACCCCCCCAAACAAGGACCTGATATAATTATTATTATTATTATTATTATTATTTTGCAGAGAGGGGCAAGCGACCCCCCCCAAAACAAGGACCTGCTATTATTATTTTGTTGTTACCCCACCTTTTCCCCCAGACAGGGACTCAAGGCGGCTTACAGATAAAGAGAAGAGCAGCTACCCCCACTTGCCCCACTTCCCCCTCTATTTCTCAACTCCTGCCGTTGACATGTGTGCTGCTATTTTTCTTTCTTGCCTGCCTAGAAGTGGCCTCACACCCCACTCCTATTTCTTGGTGTCTCCACTGCTTCCCCGCTGCTCCTTTTCCCTTTTTTGTGGGAAAAGGTGGGGGGGGGGAGAGAAGAGAAGAGATGACTGCTGTCTCTCTGACTTCCTTTCTCTCTCCTTCCATTCTTCACCTCTCCAAGTAGCAAACTTTGTGGGGAAATAAGGTATGCAAGGCCATATCCGCCCCCCCCCCTCAAACAAAACATTATGAGGCATCATTGGGTGCAGGTTGTTTCGGATTAAGTGGCAGCCAAGCTGGGATCCCAGGAATTTGGTGCCCTCCTAAGAGAGAGTAAGCAGGAGCCTGGCAACTCCTTGAGTGAAGAGTCACCGGTATGGCTGATACCTTTACAAAAGGTGTGCTTCTAAACAGTGTAATCCAAAGTATTTGCACTACCCATGTCATTGCTTCTTGTCTTCTTTGTGAAAGAAACCCTCCTAATGTTGTGATGATGGTGATGATGATGATGATTTATCGCCTTGCATGTATGTCCCACTGTGGTTTTTGCATTTACAGGACTATACGCTTTCACTGCAGGTCACTGAATCTGGAATTGCACCGCTTTTACCTCTACCTCAAATCACTGGCACCGATTAGGAAACCGCCCATTTGGAGATTTCGTCGAGGGGCTGCTGACGGAAGAAAACGTAAGCATAACAAGACAAAGGAAGGAAAGGAGTCTAATAATAGCCAAGCCTTCATAACATACGGAATAAGTTATTGACTTTTTCCTATCCTAAAGAATTGTGTCTGTGGCAAAATGATGAAAAAGGACTAATACAGTTGTCCATAGTATAGTAACTGAGATTCTTTATAATGACATTGCAGTCTGTAGGCATTACTGTATATGTTACCGAGATGAGCCCCGCAACCCTAGAGTCGTCCGTGACTGGGCCTAATGGTCAGGGGTCCCTTTACTTTTACCTTTACATACTACTATTGCCTCTCCACTTCCCCATTCACACACCTCCAGCCTAAAATTAGGTAGTAAGCTTCTACAGGTAATCTTTTGGCTGTGTTACACTGTAAAATTTCATGCAGGTTAATGACGTTATATTAAAAAATAAAAATAGTTTGAACGTAATTGTAGATTTGGTGATTTTTGAACTCAAAAACCGGTTAATCACTTGTAATTGTTTTGCTTGAAGCCCTTTTTAACTTTGTAACCTAGATAAAGAATATGCCTTTGTCACAAAAGCCAATGAGATACGGCCACACAGAAGGTCACACAGATGTTTGCTTTGATGACATTGGGAGGTAAGTGACTGAGGGCCCAGTTGCATGTGATTAATGTACACACACACAATGTATGTATATGTTGGGGATGGGTAACTTGTGGCCCTCCGGATGACTCACAACATCACTAGCCATATATATAAAAATATAAAAATTGTCTAGTAGCACCTTAGAGACCAACTAAGTTTGTTCTTGGTATGAGCTTTCGTGTGCAGTCCCATGGACTGCAAGAAGATCAAACCTATCCATTCTTAAGGAAATCAGCCCTGAGTGCTCACTGGAAGGACAGATCCTGAAGCTGAGGCGCCAGTACTTTGGCCACCTCATGAGAAGAGAAGACTCCCTGGAAAAGACTCTGATGTTGGGAAAGATGGAGGGCACAAGGAGAAGGGGACGACAAGAGGATGAGACGGTGGGACAGTGTTCTCGAAGCTACCAGCATGAGTTTGACCAAGCTGCGGGAGGCAGTGGAAGACAGGAGTGCCTGGCGTGCTCTGGTCCATGGGGTCATGAAGAGTTGGACACGACTAAACAACAAGGTGGTGCTACTAGACATTTTTTTTTATTTTTATATATATTTCTACTGCATCAGACCAACATGGCTACCTACCTGAATCTAGAACATCACTAGCCATTGGCAATGCTGGCTAAGACTGGTGGGGTTTGGAGTCCTGCAACATCTGAAGGATCATAGGTCCCCCATTCCTGGCATAGATGGCAGGAAGTGATTGTTATTGGCTTCCCACAGTGTTTGTTTCATGTGAAGAACAAATAAATGACTTCATAATTCTTAAGACCCAAAGATTTTTGTTTATGCTATGGGTCAAAGTGATGTTGTGCCTTTATTGCCTATCCCATCTGAATGACGGCTGCCAGATTACAAGGGAACTCCAGCATTGTGTGGAACTGAATACTCCATTGACAACTAGGAATAGTACAGTCATGCACAGATGGATTTGCATGATCTCAGTGCAAGCAGATTCTACATTCATCTTTTCTGCCAGGTGGCACAGTAGTGAAGAGCAACAGAGGAATGAGGACAAACTGTCATGGCCTGGTGGCCAAAACAGATGCACTTAGCCAGGGTGCTGTCCTTTTTTAGAGTGATGTAGTTTGAACTCCGCAAAAATGGATTTCATTGGTGCCAAATTTATAAGAACTGCCCTCCTGGATCAGGCTCATGGCTCGTTTAGCTCATCATCCTGTTCTCAGAGTGACTGACCAGATGACTGTAGGAAATCCGTAAGCAGGACCCGAGCACAACAGCAGTTTCCCCTTTGTAGTTTCCAGCAGCTGTTATTTAGAAGCATACTGCCTCAGACTATGGAGGCAGCACATACCCGTTGTGGCAAGTAACCACTGATAGTTAAATTCATGAGGGAGGAAGCAATTTGCCTACTATGCACCATTCGTTTAAACCACATGACTTCAGCTAAAGAATCCCGGGGACTGCAGTTTGTTGGGAATTGTAGTTCTGTGAGGGTTTCCCAGGATTCTTTGGGGGAAGTCATGTGGTTTAATTGTATGGTCTTGCTGCCCAAGGTTGGGTTTTTTGCATGTATTCAAGATATTGCCTCTTTCCTTATGCCTTGTTTTATCACCATAATCTATAAGGTTGAGATGTGAAGTAGTCACCTGAAATTTAGTAGGACACCTCATCTTTTTACAGTGTCATCCATAGTGACTGTTGACACCAAAGCTAGCACCTTCCTCTTGTGATCAATTTACAGTCGTACTTTGGATTCCGAATGCCTTGCGAGTTGAATGTTTTGGCTCCCAAACTCCGCAAACCGGGAAGTGAGTGCTCTGGTTTGCGAGCATCCTTTGGAACCCAAACGTCCCGACTCGGCTTCCACGGCTTCTGATTGGCTGCAGGAGCTTCCTGCAGCCAATTAGAAGCCGCGCCTTGGTTTCCGAACATTTTGGAAGTCGAACGGGCTTCCAGAATGGATTCCGTTCGACTTCCGGGGTACCACTGTAGATTGTTTCTGAGGAATGAAAGCGTTTGCAAAGAAACTTCCGTCACTGTTTCACTTTAGTGAAAACTGTGAATAATTTTGATACAGTTTCATACATGTTTGTGTAAGATTGATCTTGTTTCTTTGAATAGCTGTATTGTAACTTGCGGCAGTGATGGAGATGTCAGGATTTGGGAAAGCCTGGATGACAATGACCCCAAGTCAATTAACGTGGGAGAAAAGGCCTACTCGTTTGCTCTCAAGGTACTGCAGTTATGAACTATACAGCGGGAACGTGGAGATATTCTGGTTCTTCCAGTATGTGTGCAGGGCTCCTTTGTAAAAGTGGTGTCATCAGATAGGCCTTGTGCATTAGGCAATACCTACAATGAGGTCATTTTCACAGCTGTGCTTTATTCTGATTGGAAGTCAGCAACCTTTGAGCAACCTGTTGCTTCTATGCAGTGTACAGTGGTGCCTCGCAAGACGAAAAGAATCCGTTCCGCGAGTCTCTTCGTCTTGCGGGTTTTTTCGTCTTGCGAAGCAAGCCCATTAGCGGTTTAGCGGATTAGCGCTACAGTATTAGCGGCCTAGCGGGTTTAGCGGGCTTAGCGGATCAGCTGATAAGCGGCTTAGCGATCAGCTGTTAAGCGGCTTAAGGATCAGCTGATAAGCGGCTTACCGATCAGCTGATAAGCGGCTTAGCGATCAGCTGTTAAGCAGCTTAGCCGATCAGCTGATAAGCGGCTTAGCGATCAGCTGTTAAGCGGCTTAAGGATCAGCTGATAAGCGGCTTAACGATCAGCTGATAAGCGGCTTAGCGATCAACTGTTAAGCAGCTTAGCCGATCAGCTGATAAGCGGTTTAGCGGCTTGGGAAAAAGGGGGGGAAAAGGAAAAAACCCCCGCAGGAACTCGCAAGACATTTTCGTCTTGTGAAGCAAGCACATAGGAAATTCGTTTTGCGAAGCACCTCCAAAACGGAAAACCCTTTCGTCTAGCGGGTTTTCCGTCTTGCGAGGCATTCGTCTTGCGGGGCACCACTGTATTATGTTAGGATTGAATATAGTCACTGACTTGATTACCTGTGACGTGAGAATTATGACTAGGCACAAAAGCTTTTGTAAATTGGAACAGCTGGTTCTCTTCATTCACCTAGGCTGTCTGTGCTACAAATTGTTTGTGTGAACTCGTTAGACAAGTAAAAACTTCTGGTGTAGCAACTTTCTTTTCAGTGTTGTGCAGGGTGTTCAAAACTGCTTTCTTGATTGAAAGAGGTATCACTTATCATTTGTATCGTCTGCTGCATGGCTAGGCAAACTAAGGCCCGGGGGCCAGATCCGGCCCAATCGCCTTCTCAATCCGGCCCACGGATTTTTACATGAGTAGAATGTATGCTTTTATTTAAAATGCATCTCTGGGTTATTTGTGGGGCATAGGAATTAGTTCATCCCCCCCCCCCCAAATATAGTCCGACCCCACACAAGGTCTGAGGGACAGTGGACCGGCCCCCGCTGAAAAAGTTTGCTGACCCCTCGTCTTCTATTTTAACATTAGCAGACAGTAGATGTATTTAGAGTTGGGCGGAATGTTTCTTGAAACAAAATAATTATTTTATGTTTCTTGTTTTGATGGAAAAATAGAAAAAGGTGAGTAAAACATTAGCAATACAAATCCATATGTTTGGCATCAGCAACTCCTTTCTGAAACAATATTTGCACTACATTTTATTTTGCTAATTTAAGTTGGGCTCTTGTTTCAGAGTTTAACAAGACTTTCTTCATTGCAGTATTATCATTTTGTTAAATTTGATACTCAGACTGCAGTTTTTAATAACAGTATTTTATTCGTGAAACCTTGCCCAAGTCTGCCCTCTTGTGAATACAGCAAGTTAAAGCAACTCAATTGATACTTATAATTGAGATTATTATTATAAGCCTCAAACGAGACTGCTATTATAAGAAAATCACCCCCTAATTTTTTCAAATCTTTATCTTTTATTAAAGGTTGCTTTTGCTGTGCTTGTGAATTTACCTGGCTACTTATAACACTGTCAGCATTAAAGTTATTGTGCTGTTATGTGTTTGCTGTGACAGTTTTACCATTTCCCTCTTACCATTTTGGCCCTGGGACTCATGTTTGCTGCCCCCAACTTCATGTCGTTACTGAATTTGTGCTTCAGTGGCTAATCTGCTACAGCATCCAATTATAGTACGTAACTAGACCAGGCATAGGCAAACTTGGCCCTCCAGATGTTTTGGGACTACAGTTCCCATCATCCCTGACCACTGGTCCTGTTAGCTAGGGATGATGGGAGTTGTAGTCCCAAAACATCTGGAGGGCCAAGTTTGGGGATGCCTGTACTAGACTGCTGCTTGCTATTCTTACGTGGAAAGTATTTTGAAGAGGTAATTTTACAATGGTTGTTAATTTTACAATTGTGCATATATATATGGATTTCCCTAGAAATAGATTTAACTGTAATTTGTAATCCATGCAACGACATTCCCAAGCCCATATTTGCCAAGGGAACATAAATGGGGGAGGAGGAATGGCCTCTCCCCAGTCTCCACCCTGGCCAGTCTTTGAGCCCAGCTGAGTAATATGGATATTCACCCTGAAGTGTATTGACAACTTTATTAGTACTGAAAAGGGGATACCATCAATTTGTCCCTTGACACCGGGACATCCCCAGGGGAATTGAAGGAGGCAGTGGTGAGCCCGCTCTTAAAAAAACATCGTTAGATCCTTTAGATCTATCCAATTACCGCCTGGTTTTGAATCTTCCGTTCCTGGGTAAGGTGATTGAGAGAGCGGTTGCTGAACAGCTTGGTGGGTTTCTGGATGAAACATCGGCTCTGGATCCATTCTAATCCGGCTTCCGCTTTGGTCATGGGACCGAGACGGCTCTGGTCGCCCTAACAGATGATCTCCGTAGGCAGCTGAATCGAGGCGGGTCGGGGCTGCTGATTCTTTTAGACCTGTCAGCAGCCTTCGACATGGTCGATCACGAACTCCTGGACCACCCGCCTCGCTGGCGTGGAGATCCAGGGCACAGTCCTTCAATGGCTGCACTCGTTTCTCTCTGGTTGGGGACAGAAGGTGGCGCTGGGGGGGGGGACTGTCATCGTGCCACTCCTTGGTGTGTGGAGTGCCGCAGGGTGCAATACTCTCCCCGATGCTTTTCAACATCTTAATGTGCCCCCTAGCCCAGTTTGTCCGGAGTTTTGGGTTGGACTGCCATGAGTATGCTGATGACACCCAACTCTATCTTTTGATCTTTTGACACACTGATCAGATGTTTGGAAGCTGTGGCTGGATGGTTATGTGGGAGCCGGTTGAAGTGGAATGAACTGCTCCTGGAGTCAGTAGATGTTTATTTAAATCACCTGACCCTCCCATTGCTTTATTTGTAGAATGGAAGATTGATTACGGCAGTCTCTAACAATACTGTCCAGATCCATACATTCCCAGAGGGTGCTCCAGATGGTATCCTGACACGCTTCACAATGAATGCAAACCATGTAGTTTTCAGTGCTGATGGGAGCAAAGTAGCTGCTGGATCCAGGTAATTTGACTCTGAAGTAGAAGAAAAAGACACACAAACGGCTTTCCCTATGACTTTTGAATACCAGCAACCTTGGATAGAAGACATTGTTTTAATATTCTGTTCATGTATGATAGGGAAAAAGTTTGCATGCTCTGCTGATTGTATTTAATGTTGGGATTGTTGCAAGAACATTGTATATTCTCTCTACATATAATTGGCATTCCCTTGAGAAAAACCCATCAGCTTTGCTCATAGGAAGCTGTCTACATTCTTGCACTGATCTGGTAGAGAAGTGAGTCTGGCTGTACCTAATTTAATGCAGGCTGCAGAAGAGTATGTACGATATAAGTTATCACTTTACTGAGTTTCTGAAGGTTAGCTTAAAGCACTCCTGCCGACTTTTACTGCCATTTTTCTACCTCTTGCTCTTGTTATAAGCATTTGCAGGTGATATTTGTGGAGGTGGTTCTCAAGAGTCCTTAATTGTCATTTTAAATTAGATCAATTTGTTGTAATTGCCTTGAGGGGCTCATGGCAGGAAGACAATTTGTCAGAGTTAGTAGTTCATCATAATCAACAGTTTTAATATGCATTATGAAAATGGTTTTTATGTCTATAATGTTTGATAACACAAATGAATCTCTGAATTGCAGAGATTCAACAGAGGTTAACTTTTTCTCTGGTAGAATAATTGTGTGTGATTGTGTTAAGTGTGCCCACACTTGCGTAGAAACCATGCAGTGCCTTTTAAAAAGTACATCTGCACTGTAATTGTAATTGAATCATTTCTAAATGGAAGAAATACAGCTTCATTTATTCCAATAAAAGTTAGATTTTCAATTTTTCATTATATAGCACAGCTCCTAATAGTAGTATTATGCTTATCCCTAGTGACTTCCTGGTGAAGATTGTGGAAGTAACTGACAGCAGCCAGCAAAAGACATTTCGAGGACATGACGCACCTGTTTTAAGTGTGTCATTCGATCCAAAGAACACTTTTCTGGTAACAACTTTTCCAGTGGACATTTTCTTCTCTTGTCTCTTAAAAGTGGATCACACATTTTAATTAAGGTGGTTTTTGTAAAACCTCCTTAATGAAATAAATTAATAATTTAAAAATTCAAAACTAAAATTACTTTGTGACATATATAGAGCACAGAATAACCTGCAAAGCTATATAACTATGACTTTCAGCATTCTTTGGGGAGAGACACGACAGTCAGATGTTAATAAAAAGTTTATAGTGTTCATTATCACTTTTTAAAAATGAGATTTTGTCATGGCTTTGTAAATACTCAACCATTTCTTTTAAGAGTGCCTTCAAACAAAATATTTCTCTCATATATGTGTGTGTGTGTGTGTGTGTGTGTGTGTGTATATATATATATATATATATATATATATATATAATATATATGATGTGGCACTGGCAAAGTGACTTCATGAAATTGTAACTATGCTAAAAAGTAGAAAAGATAATATGAAAATCAAATTCAGGCTTGATTTTTTCAACTATTCTTTCCAACACTTGATAGGAAAACATCAAGCGCACCTTAAAGGCTAATGCATTTGAAGACCAGTATGTCCATGAATGTTTGATTGCATAATATGTTTAGGATACTGTTTGCTGCTGTTTTCAATGTAAACCTTAATGCAGTAGTACTTTGCTGGTTGGTCAGAGGCTAGTGACTTTAAAAATGTTTCCTTGCACAGGCATCAGCAAGCTGTGACGGGTCGGTCAGAGTATGGAAAATTTCAGAGCAGGTAAAATGCCACTTCTTGGAGTTAAACCAGGAATTTTACCACAAGAGATGCTTAAGTAGGTTTTTAAATTTTATTTCTCTCATGTCTGCATTGACCTCATACCAACTCCCATTGTCTGTATTCAGATATTAACGCTTTCGTGCTCTTAGAAAAACTGCCCCCTTCTGTGTTTAGTGCAAGAGGGCCCATGCCTTCTGGAAGAGAGTGTTTCTTTACAGGAAAAATGGTCACAGGCTACTCAGGCAACCAAGAACCTATACTGTGAAGACAGCAGGTTCATAGAGTACATATTTACCAAATCATTCAAATTTATGGCTTGTCCTACATATCATTTTCCGCACCAGCCCTGTTCAGACATTTTAAAGAAACATTCCAGTTAAGGATGGAAGTGTCTCCATTTCACTTCTCAAAGTTTGAGTAGCAGTATGTAGAGATACTTAACTGGCATAGTTGAAGACCTTTTTTTTGATTCTCCCAGGCTGTGGATCCACAGTGGCTATCTGTCCTTCCTTGGGTGGGGACTTATATTGCACCCCCCTTCATCTAAAACTCATCACTTTTAAATAAAAAAATAAAATAAATGTCCAGTAGCACCTTAGAGACCAGCTAAGGATCTGAAGAAGTGTGCATGCACATGAAAGCTTATACCCAGAACAAACTTAGTTGGTCTCTAAGGTGCTACTGAACTTTTATTTTATTTTATTATTTATTTCGACTGTGTCAGACCAACACAGCTATCTACCTGAATCTCATCATATTTAGAAAAAGTTCATCTCAAGATGGATAACCACTATTAACTTATTTTGCTTCCAGAGTTGTGAGACAAACTGGCCATTGCTGCAGAAATGTAATGATGTGGTGAATGCAAAAACAATATGTAGACACGCGTGGCAACCCAAAACAGGAAAGGTAACAAGTTGTCTTTATGTGTTTTAATCCGTGTGTGTGTGTGCAAATTTGGAAAAGCAATGGGTAGGGAAATGTGTTAGAATCTCTTCTTTTCAAATTGTTGTTCCTCTGAAAATCAACCTGCCCTGATGCCACTGTGCAGTGGAGATGTAGCAGCTGAGTGTTTAGAAATCCAACATGTGGAACAATGGCAGAGCCCTGCTCAGGATTAAGGATGGCGAATGTTGGTGAAGGTGCTGCTGTCGTAATCATAAATGCTGTGTCTTCTAAGTAATGCAGATGCAGAGAGTGGGCAACATATGAAATGGCACAAGAACCTCTTCCCATACAATAGATGATCACGATTAATTACATTTATTGGTTGCTCTTTTCACAAAGCAAAAAGGGCAACCAAAAGTAACTTATAACTCTTGCTAATCTTTTGCTCAGAAAAATCTCTGGCCACCTCTGTAGCTTCAAATTTGGGAGGAAGGGTGGCTACTTGTCATGTTTGCCAGAGGGCAGTGCCACGCTTCTCATGGCAAGCAGCATTGTGGAAGACTGGTACTCGGTATTTCTGCTGTAATATGCATGTGCTTGGCTGATTTCAGACATTTGTTGGATCAGTCTCCATTGCTTCTGAGGGTTTGCAGTCTTAGCCATGAGAGCTGTCCTGCTTTTTCTGACTCAGATTGTTGCCACAGGCTGGCCTCTCGGCTTTGTTGGAACAGGACGGAACCCATACAATGCATTCTGTGTTCTGTGTACAATGCTCTGTGTCTAGTGAGTTCCTTCCAAAATGAACGATGCATCAGTGCTTGCTTATCAAACATCATGTTGTTTTTAACGGTGTTCTTTTATTGTTTTACTCTGCCTTGATATTTTATGACACTGTGGCTTAAAAATACTTTTATAACTAAAGCCACAAAACGAACTCATTTTACAACTGAGATTTGCTGGGAAACCTAGTCAGATGGGCGGGGTATAAATAATAAAACTATTATTATTAAAAACAAAACATTTCCCCCTCTGAATAGTTGCTTGCTGTTCCAGTAGAGAAAGTGGTTAAACTATACAGACGAGAAACCTGGGATCATCAACTAGATCTGTTGGATAAGTCCGTCACACAGGTTGGTATCCGCCAGGTGCTTGCTATTCATTCTGTACATATTGTAAGCTAGAGGGCTTTCCTGACACATGAAGGAAGTGCTGGCTATCCATTGTTAAACTGATCGCTCCCGGGTGGCTATGATATGCTTTTCTAAATGAGCAGTCTACCTGCAGGGAATCCTGTATCTCCTTACCTGGAAGAGTAAGTCTCATTGAATTCAGTGAAACTTACTTCTGTGCAGACCTGTATAATATTGTGCTGCAAACATCCTTGGGATATAGCAGTTCCTCTTTGGAAATCTGATACAGTATTAGTGGTTGTACCGCTTGCTGAAAGGAGTCTACTTGCTCTCAATATCCTGTGCATACGTATAAACAGTTCATTGCAAAGGTACTGTTCAGTTTCAAGTGCACTCAGGCATTGACTCTTAACCAAAGGAAACGAGGCCCAATAGTCCTTCCTACAGATAGATGCATCATTGTTCAGGTAAGCACAGAGTGCAGAGCAGAACAATGGAATGTGTTGGTGCTGACCTTTAAAGCCCTAAACGGCCTCGGCTCAGTATACCTGATGGAGCATCTCCACCTCCATCGTTCTGCCCGGACACTGAGGTCCAGCGCCGAGGGCCTTCTGGCGGTTCCCTCGCTGCAAGAAGCCAAGTTACAGGGAACCAGGCAGAGGGCCTTCTCGGTAGTGGCACCCGCCCTGTGGAACGCCCTCCCACCAGATGTCAAAGAGAAAAATAACTACCAAACTTTTAGAAGACATCTAAAGGCAGCCCTGTTTAGGGAAGCTTTTAATGTTTAATAGGTTATTGTATTTTAGTGTTTTGTTGGAAGCCGCCCAGAGTGACTGGGGAAACCCAGCCAGATGGGCAGGGTATAAATACTAAATTATTATTATTATTACTGTGGGATATTAATTTTCTTTCCAAATGTTAGAATTGTAAAATAGAACCTGACATTTCATAGGACTGGGCAGTGGCTGTGGCAACTGGAAATAGTTTCTCAACTTTCATATTTATATAAGATACAGGGTGGTTTTTTTCCCTTAAATACAAGGCTCCTCATCCCTGGCAAGGATGATAAATGTAAAGTTGAAACGAGTGCCCAGTATCTTCATACATCTGTTTTGTCTTTCAGTTTGCTTAGAAAATCCCAATATAGATGCTTTCTTTTCCCACAAAGAATTAACAATCAGTACAGTTGCTTGGTGCCCAAAATGAAAGTGAGATTGTTCAACGTGTTCTGCGGTTAATGACACATCTTTATTTTTTTCTTTGTCTACCCCCACCCCCTACCAGCCCTTCAATGTTGTAGCCTGGTCTCCGTGTGGACAGTATCTGGCAGCAGGAAGTGTTGGTGGCTGGATAGTCATTTGGAATGTGGAGACCCAGGAGTGTTTGGAGAGGTGCCTGTAGTTTTCATAATGTGTCTTGTAAAGATGAGCTTCCACAAAGTGGAACAATTATTAAGAGAGCAATTGGGAGCCACAGGTCTATAAAATGAACATTTGGCCCTCTTAATAGCCTAGGACCCTCGTACCTACGGGACCGCCTCTCCCGGTATGCCCCACGGAGAGCCTCAAGGTCCATAAATAGCAACACCCTAGTGGTACCGGGCCCTAAGGAAGTTAGATTGGCTTCAACCAGAGCCAGGGCCTTTTCAACACTGGCTCCGGTCTGGTGGAATGCTCTTTCTCATGAGACCAGGGCCCTGCGGGATCTGATTTCTTTCCACAGGGCCTGTAAGACAGAGTTGTTCTTCCTGGCCTTTGGCTTGGAGCCAATTTGATTCCCTCCCCCTCTTTCTTTTTTCTTTTTCCTTTCTCCTCCTGTGATGAGGCTGCATTTTAATATTTCAATGTTTCAATATTTTAATTGTTGTATTTTAATCTTGTTTTTAAGTTGTATTCATTCAACTTGTTTTTATTATTGCTTGTTAGCTGCCCTGAGCCCGGCCTTGGCTGGGGAGGGCAGGGTATAAATAAAAATTATTATTATTATTATTATTATTATTATTTTGCTTACCTTTGGTTTAATCTAGAGGTGAAGCAGCTTATGACAGGACAGATGCCTGCCTTGTTTTCGTTGGGCCATCTCTGTCCATTCCATGCAACCATAACTGTTAGTCTCTTTGTACTGCAGTGCTCAGTGGTGTGGATTTTCTGGAAATTTTTGAACTGGGATTGCTTTTGGGAGAAAAAATCCTATGTAAATTAGGGCAACTTGCATTGGGTGAAAAATCCCGATGCCCTAGAGCAGGAATGTGGAATGTCAGGCCCATGGACCTAAGACATTCCTCTGTACATATCAGCCATGCAAACTGCAAACGGCCCACATTAATTTTTAGCTGGGTGTTGGGCCTGCTTGGGCATAGTGGTGTGAGTTGCACAGACCACATGTGATTCATCTGTCTTAGTAAGAACCAATTAGAATTGTTCTTAACTACATATGATTCAGAAGGACATAGCACATTGAGAAGATTTGATGAGCTCAGGAGGACTAGTGTGTATGTTTCTCACTTAATTGATTACAATTACAGTATTAGGATTCATACATGGCACAGGGTCTTTTCACAGGGTTCTTGTGTTCTGCTGTAGTGATCTTTGCTAAGCCAAGAATGATTTGTCCAAGTCCTGTGAGCCAAACAATTTTTTTCTGTAGCGAGGGTTTAACAGATTGTGATTTTAAACCTGCACAGAACACTGGTTTTTCATTATTTTTTAGGGTGAAGCATGACAAAAGTTATACCATCTGTGGTCTGGCTTGGCACCCAAAAGGCGGGCAGGTTGCTTATACGGACATGGAAGGCAATCTGGGACTACTTGAGAACGTTTGTGATGTAGATGGAAAGAAATCAGACCACAAGGTAATACAAACCGGAAGCTTTCTTGGCTTTTTCGGTATCCTTTACCATCATGGATGGTAATCTTTATCCACTCATGTAAACCTGGAGTTTGGCAGGCTTCAGGATAAAACGTGATGTTTTCTTGATGGCACTATGTGGATTTTATGACAGTAACTTTTAAACCATGGCTTTAGGCATCTGCGCCTGCTGTCAAAGATTACGACGAACTTTTTGATGAGGATGACGGCGAGGACTTCCTGAACAGAGACTCGGTTGGGGATGACTGGGGTTCCAAAGCAGCGAGGAACAATGAAGATGACGACGACGACCCCATGATGGCATCAGGCCGTCCCAGAAACCGAGGGGCAATAATAGAGGATGATGAGAACTCCCTAGGTTTGAATTTCCCAAAGCATGGAGTGAGGGGGCAGAGGGGACGAACACTGCAGGAACTGCAGACACATTGTGGATGCTGCCAACTTGGCTCACAATATCCTTTGGTTGGGGGGGTGGATGTTGCAAGATTTTTTTAAAAAGCTCTTGCCTTCCTAAGCCACTGATACAAAGCTATCTATCTTGCATAGATACTGGATTGCTGAAAGCTAACTCTGCCCTTGATAAGGAGGAAGAAGAGGACGACCAGGAAAGCCTTGCGCCGCTGCTGCCACTGTCATCAACCCAGAGGCCTTTCTACGATGGGCCAGTGCCAACTCCTCAGCAAAAGCCCTTCCAGCCTGGCTCCACTCTGGTTCACCTCACTCACCGCTTCATGGTGAGTTTCATTTCTTTGGCTGATTTAAAATAATAATAATAATAATAAAGTTGGGAAAAGGCACTCTTGGCCATCGGTCCCACCTCAGGATCCAAGAGTGATACTGAACCGAGAAGTACCCCCAGGCTATGCGGCTGATCTTGCAAGGGAGTGTGATGCCACCCAAAACAGTACCAGTTCCCAGATCAATTGGTCCCTTGATCAATTGTTGCCTCCTTTTAAGGGGGAGTGGGAGGGGGAGCGGTCTGAGTTCTTTTTTCTTTTCTTTTTGAAAGCAGTGTATATCTACATAGGCTGCTGTTGCACAAAAAAACCTCCCAGAAAGGGTATGTGTGCGCACCTCACAATGCCTGAATGGGGGTGTAAATGTGGCTTAAGATTTCTTTGTGAGTAGGAATGACTCTTCCCTGCCTCTTCCAAGAAACAAGGTGATGGGGTGTTATTCCACAGAGAAGTGAGGGAAGGTAAATAAACAGATTTCAGTAGATAAGGTACCATTGCCTCTCTTTACAAGGAGAGAAATGAAAAAAGAAATGTCACAGCAGCAAGCAACTTGCCTGGTCTCTCAGACATTGCCCCTGTCTTGCTGTTTGGAGTAATAAACCTGCAGCCTAAACTCTCTGTGTATAATATTGGCCAGCATTTATCAGATCATTTCACAGCAGACATTGGAGTCCTCTCTTGGGCATGTGGTATTGTCATCCTCCTTTGCTTTTTGAAATTTCTTCTGCCCTCAGCCCTTTAAACCAAACATGTCAAAATAATCAGCCAGTTGTCCCCATCTAATTAAGGGGGAAATGGAGAGAGTATAATTTTTATTTAAGTTTTTGTATGCTGCCTTTCAAGAAAAGGATTGCAAAGCGGTTTCCAAAAATCCAGCAATAATGTTTAATAATAATAACAGAAATATTTTATTATTTATACCCTGCCTGCCTGATATTTGTGTGAACATTCTTCTTCTTCTTCTTTGGCAATCACTCGTAGCTGAGTAAGATTGTCTTCCATAAACACGGTTTTAACAATGAGTCCGTAAGTGACTGTGGAGGCCAATTCTGGATCCACACATCCTTCCATAGTGGGGACATTGGTTTCCGGGCGGGAGTTGATAATGGTGAGGGTTTGCCAAGTGTGCCTTCCTCTTAGCACGTTTCTCCCTTGCGTCCTGAGTTTGAGCGTCTTCAAAGTTCATGACACCTTTGGTAAAGGCTGTTCTCCAACTGGAACACTTTCAGGCCAGTGTTTCCCAGTTGTCAATGTTTATACTACATTTTTTTAGATTTGCCTTGAGACAGTCTTTAAACCTCTTGTGTTGACCACTAGCATTACGTGTTCCATTTTTAAGTTCGGAATAGAGTAGTAGCCTCTGCTAGAGTTAGACCAAGTGACCTGGAATCCATTCAGAGTAGAAAGCAGGCTATATGTTGAAGGCTATATGTTGCTTTTCTGAAAGTAGTGTTACTGTTGACGTTCCTCCCATAGGTGTGGAACTCTATTGGTATTATTCGCTGCTATAATGATGAGCAGGACAACGCCATTGATGTGGAATTCCATGACACGGCCATCCATCACGCAATGCACTTGCCAAATTCTTTGAATCACACAATGGCAGCCCTTTCCAGTGACGCTATTTTGCTAGCCTGCGAGAGCACAGAGGAGCTAGCGAGGTAAAACTTATTTTAATGTTTCTGTGAAGAACACAACTTGTTAAAAAAAAACACCCATTACCAAACCTATTTTTGGCATGACATGGGTTTACCTGTAGTGGTCATGATCAGGATGAATGGATCTCAGAGCTGTTGTTAGTGCAACATCTCTTGGAGATACTGTTACCGTTCGTTCCGTGCAAAACCTCAAGGGAACAGCTGAGGAATGAAGAAAAGGTGGAGCTGATAAATGAAAGAAGACTTACAAATTAATGAATTGGTTATCAGTTTTCCTAGCGTGTTTTCAACTTGTAACAGTACAAACCAGCATTCTGGTTTAATTTAGTCTCCAACAAAACTGCTACTATTGCGTGAAGTCCCCCCCACCCTGAAAAACATGTTCAGCAGAAAGACTCTAGTCTGAACATCCCTAATTACTTCTTGTTTTTTCTTCCCCACTCCCCCCTCGCTTTTTCCCATTTTCAGCAAGCTTCACTGCATACATTTTAACTCCTGGGATTCCAACAAGGAGTGGACAGTTGACATGCTGCAGAATGAAGAGATTGAAGCGGTTTGTTTGGGCCAGGGCTGGGCTGCGTGTGCCACAAGCACCCTTCTCCTCCGCCTCTTCACGAATGGGGGAGTTCAGAAAGACATCTTCAGCCTCCCTGGCCCTGTGGTGTCCATGGCGGGACACGGAGAGCAGCTGTTGGTGGCTTTTCACAAAGGTGATTTCCCTGGCAGGCTTCTTTTTCCTGTTTAAATATGTTTGTTTCCTCCCCACCTCCTTTTTCACTGCAAAAAATGTTTCAAAAAATGCCATAGAAGCACCATGCTTTGATTTTGATGGGAAAATGTTGAGTATGTTAATTTAGTTGCATTTCTAAAGTGAGCCGTCATCACATGCCCAACGACTTCCATTTGTTTGTAATTTTACTACCGGCTTTACACCACCCGTCTCTCTTGACACCCCTGTCTTGCCACAATGAAGTTTAGGATTCATTGGAATTGTTTTAGGATAATGAGGGTGAAAGCTGACAGTATCCATCTGCTAGCTGAACAGACACGGTTGACAGGATGGATTCTCTTCTCCTGCACAGACCCCACCCTTCAGGTTGGGGAACCCTCCTTAGCAGACTTGGGGGAGAATGGGGTGGGAGGATGGAAGGCTGTGGTGTTGGGGGGAAGAGGAGAGAGGAAAGAGAAGTCCTGCCACAAACAGCCACTTAACAAAATATATCATTTAATTCAAGTAAATTAAATTAACTCTGGGCACCACAGTTCAAGAAGGACACTGACAAACTGGAACGTGTCCAGAGGAGGGCAACCAAAATGGTCAAAGGCCTGGAAACGATGCCTTATGAGGAACGGCTAAGGGAGCTGGGCATGTTTAGCCTGGAGAAGAGGAGGTTAAGGGGTGATATGATAGCCATGTTCAAATATATAAAAGGATGTCACATAGAGGAGGGAGAAAGGTTGTTTTCTGCTGCTCCAGAGAAGCGGACACGGAGCAATGGATCCAAACTACAAGAAAGAAGATTCCACCTAAACATTAGGAAGAGCTTCCTGGCAGTAAGAGCTGTTCGACAGTGGAATTTGCTGCCAAGGAGTGTGGTGGAGTCTCCTTCTTTGGAGGTCTTTAAGCAGAGGCTTGACAACCATATGTCAGGAGTGCTCTGATGGTGTTTCCTGCTTGGCAGGGGGTTGGACTCGATGGCCCTTGTGGTCTCTTCCAACTCTATGATTCTATGATTCTATGATTCTAAGTAAGACAAAAACCAGATGTCAGATGGCTGTTGCGGTTGCTCAAGAGTAACCAGGCAGGACTCCCAACCTGTGTTTTACAGGCTTTATTTTGGTGCAAACTATTTACAGTGAAGAGCCCCAAAGCTCATGTCTGGCTCAGTCGCTAGCAGAATCCGGGAGTCGTCTCTTTTTGGACCTTCCCCCAACATAAGAATTTCATTACCCCCAAACGTCTCCTCCCCTCTCTGCACCTCAAACTACTGCGCAGGATGGGCGATGGCAAGGGCGTGTTTCCCTCCTGTCCGGCCTGCCCAGAAGCGGTGTTTAGGCTCTCACTAGCGTCCTCTGCCCCTTGCACCTCTTCCCCACTGGAGGTGGGGCTTTCCTCCACCCCAGAAGAGGAACTGCGTCGCAAGATTTCCGGAGGCTCCCTGTAACACAACTGCCCTTCTATTTCTCGCCTCTGAGCCTATGGCAGTTCCCTGACACCAACAATTTAGCAGACAGAATAAATTCAATATTATAAAAGGAATAACCGAGACTTAAGAACTTAGATATTTCTGTGAATGCTTAAAAGTTATCCAGGGGATAGAAATTCAGCCAGGTCCTTCAGGTGCCCAGAAAATGGCACACCGACAGAGCAACTTCCAGCTATCTTCACCCACCAGCAGCAGCTCCTTTTCTGCAACTTCCTTCGGTCTAGAATTAATTGCCCCCACCCCTCTTGCTTTTATAGGTACTGGTTTTGATGGGGATCAGTGTCTTGGGGTGCAGCTGCTAGAGCTGGGAAGGAAGAAGAGGCAGCTTTTGCACGGTGACCCACTTCCTCTTTCCAGGAAATCCTATCTCACATGGCTAGGATTTTCAGCAGAAGGTAGGATGGTTCGCTTCTCTCCTTTATTCTGAGATGTGTCAATATCATTTTCCGGGGGGGGGGGGAGGGGATGTGCAGCATTGTGTGACAGACTCCCCATTCCTCTACTCTCCCCCACAGCCCTCTCACGCCCCATCAATTCTATTCTAGAAGTTCCTATGATCCTTTATATTGAGGGGGTGGGTGGGTACAAGGGGGTTTGCAAGCAGAAGAGGAAGTCCCATTGCACAAGTGAAAGTTTGTTCTGTTAGTGGATAGACATAACAGGATACAGTGTTACCTCTGGTTACGTACTTAATTCGTTCTGGAGGTCCGTTCTTAACCTGAAACGGTTCTTAACCTGAAGCACCACTTTAGCTAATGGGGCTTCCCACTGCCGCCGCTGTGCGATTTCTGTTCTCATCCTGAAGCAAAGTTCTTAACCCGAGGTACTGTTTCTGGGTTAGTGGAGTCTGTAACCTGAAGCGTATGTAACCTGAAGCGTATGTAACCCGAGGTACCACTGCTCACCGGTTTGGATCCTAAGTTTCTCTTCATGAAAGTGAGAGGAGCCAGTTTCCACCACCTCCTCTGCAGCCAGCTGTACTATATTCCAAATCATTCCCAAAGGCTCCCCAGGACAAGTGGGAAGGGGGGCGGGAGGGAAAGCCCAAAGCCCTGGTCCATGAATGTGAACTCCTTAATGTTCAGACCCTATTTCTGCAACTGTAATTTGTTATAGCAGTTTTTAATAGTGAGTTTTGAATGACTGCAGCCCTTGGACCTGATGGTGAAGGGCAGGCAAAAATCTGAATAAAATAACGATACTGATGAGTGAAAGGGAAGTTAGGGTGCAAGTTGTTATCCCTAAGGGCTGGTTTACAAGCTAAATTGGTCACTGGTGTTGTTGAAGATGCCTGCAGCCTCCTAAGACAGGCATAGGCAAACGCGGCCCACCAGATGTTTTGGACTACAACTCCCATCATCCCTAACTAGCAGGACCCAGTGGTCAGGGATGATGGGAGTTGTAGTCCCAAAACTTTTGGAGGGCTGAGTTTGCCTATGCCTGCCCTAAGAGGTGGAGATGCCTGCAACGTCCTAAGCAGGGAAGTTCAGCATTATTAGTGAACACCCAGATCTGTGGAGATGGATCTGGGCAAGGAGCTTTTCAAGAGCATCTCTAAACTTGAGGAGGATACCAGGGTGGGGAAGGGGACCTTTGTGAATGACAGGTGGCTATCCTGCAAGAGTAACATCATTGTCGCTGTCTACCAGCTTAAAAGGGTCACTGATACTTGTGCACTTGCTTGCTCTTGAAGATTGCAAGGGGACGTGGCTGTTAAAACTGAATTTCAACAACTTAGTTACTACAAACTACCAGAAGGTGGTGCCATTTCCAAAGTTAACAGCCCCTGATTCTCTTCAAAATGTGCCATACTTTTTTTATTCAGTAAGGCAGAGAGGAGTGCTGCACTTAACATCCTACCTGTAGCTCTTATGCATCGGCTTCTGAGAGAACCCTCAAAACTGCACTGTGTGTGTGTGTGTTCCTGATTTTGTAGGTACCCCTTGTTACGCGGATTCAGAGGGTGTCGTGCGCATGCTGAACCGAGGACTTGGTAATACCTGGACCCCAGTCTGTGACACAAGGGAGCACTGCAAAGGGAAGTCAGATCACTACTGGATTGTGGGCATTCATGAAAACCCACAGCAGCTCAGGTAGGAAGTTAGAGTTTGCATGGCTATACAACAGAAAAGCACGTGAATATTCAGGTGGTTTTGTCCAAAGCCACCTGCCCGTTTATCCTCTGCTGCTTTCTGTCTACACCTTCTCCACTGCTGCCTGTTTAGTCCAGGCCCCTCCAGCTTAAATTTCTTAGGTGGGAAGAGCTCTGTGTGGAGCTGCTAGCAATGAAAGCGTCTCTTCCCCTTTAAACAGCCAGCTGTGCAACTAAGGCTGCCCTTAATTGACTTGCTTTGGTTTACAGTGGTACCTCGGGTTACATACGCTTCAGGTTACAGACTCCGCTAACCCAGAAATAGTACCTCGGGTTAAGAACTTTGCTTCAGGATGAGAACAGAAATCGTGCTCCGGTGGCGCGGCAGCAGCGGGAGGCCCCATTAGCTAAAGTGGTTCTTCAGGTTAAGAACAGTTTCAGGTTAAGAACGGACCTCCGGAACGAATTAAGTACTTAACCCAAGGTACCACTGTATTTTTTGCTACCTTTCCACAGTGAGCTGTCCCCAGCAGTGACCTTCTAACAGCAGCTAGCTAACAAAGTATGTTAATAAATTTAAGTAAAACAAAAACCTCAACAGTTTGGTAGGCAGAATAAATTCAATATTACAGAAGAAATAATCCAGACTTATGTACCTTCAAAGTGGAAATACAGTTAATAAACAAAGCTCCAGCTGCTGGAGAAGCAGATCTTACTGCCGCAGGCTGCTCTTGCCTTCAGTGATGGTATTGCCACAACTACCATCACCTTAGGGCTGCCCTGAATCTCCTCTTTTACTGCAGACACCCTGCAGATATAGAGCGCAGCCATACATGGTCTCGATACTTTTATCTTTTTCTTCCAATGGTTGCGTTATTTCCCCCTGATAAAGCTAAGCTTGGGCTCACTGCAGCCACTCAGGGAGGCATCTTGCTGTTATCTGTGGACTTGGCCAATTGTACAGAAACGGCACGTTCTTCTGCTTCCCCCATCGAGTCATTCATTTCTAGGGAAACTAATGAAAAGCCCCAGGATACGTCTGGGTTGATGAATGCAAGTCACAGTCATTGTGGTTTTCCTTCCTCTTCCAAGAAAGAAAAAGACAGAAAGTGTGTTATTTAAATACAGGGTTTCTCTTTATATTTATATTTTTAAAATATATCACCCATGAGAATGGATGTATGAAGGATTTGATTGTACTAGTGTAATTGAATGGGGCTAAATTTTTAGATTTAGCAAATGCTTTTTTGGAGTTTTGTTCTACTCTTTGTAATATGTTACTTTTTAAAAATAAAAACTAATGCATGCCATTTTTCTCCCCTCTGATGTGGGAGAGTACAGAAACTGTCCCTCCCTGACCTGTAGACTGAAGTGGTAAAATGCAAGAAAAGCTGTACCTTTTATTTATTGTGCTGTGAGTGCATGAATTGCTCCTTTAGACAGAGCCTGCTGGTGTGGGGAGAGAGACACTGCTTTTAGGTGTGCATCTTAATTCTGTGCTTCCCTCCTTGCAGGTGCATCCCTTGTAAAGGAGCCCGTTTCCCCGCTACCCTTCCCCGTCCGGCAGTAGCAGTGCTGCCATTCAAGCTTCCTTTTTGTCAGACAGCAACAGATAAGGGCCAGATGGAGGTAGGGAAAGTCAACATTGGTTTGGTTTGCTGGCTGTCCTGCGTCTGTGCCCTCTTGACATGTGTGTCCAGATTATTAAAGCAGCCCTTGCAGCGTGTATGTAGTCAGAACTTGGGATTTGGTCCGTAGATCCATATTGGAAAAGGGGGTTTGTTAACAACGACAGTGTTATTAATGAAAGCAACATTATGGTTGTTGTTATTTATTGCACTTTTCACCCTTCATACGTTTGGATCCCAGGTGAAAAATAATAACCGCATAAAACACATACGTCATATGATAAATATTAACATAAAAACCGATTGCGGTCATAGACAAATTCCTTGCAGCAGCCACACATAACAAATGCTGGACTCAAAATAATACCAAGCACCAAAAACTGAAGGGAAAACAATATATCTTTATTTGGAGCCAGAAGACTGAAGACCTAAATAAGGGATTGCAGTTTGCTTCCTTTTCTCAGACCCATTTTGTATGGTTTTTGCTTTGTCTGTATTGCATGGAAGTGGAGCACGTGAGTTCCTTGAGTAGTTTATCTGACACGTCGTTTAATATAAAACACCTCTGATGCAAATTATCTCTGTTGTGAAGAAAAGCACTGCAGAACCCCTTGGTCTTATCTGTGGGGCTCGTCAGAAACATTTGTTGAATTCATGTTTAAATTGCATGTATTGACCAGAAAATGTGCAGAAGCTCTGCCCGTAGTTGTATATGTGTGTTTGCATTCATTCGTTCATTTAATACACCACTGTGTTGTAAAAGCCCTCAAAGCGGTTTACATGCATCGCATGTGGAGGGCATGCATTTGTGTGCTTGTTTATTGTAAGTACTAGAGCAATCTCAGGACCTTGTTAAATTCCTGCAAATATCAGGACCTACAAATGGTCCTGATTAAACAGCAACGTGTTGAACTGTGTCCCTCCCCCTTTCTTTTTTCTGCATGCTTCAGGAGCAATTTTGGCGTTCTGTCTTGTTTCACCGCTACCTGGACTACTTATCCCAAAATGGATATGAACACGATGAAAGCGTGAAAAGCCAGGCAACCCAAGAACAGCAGAATCTCTTGATGAAAATGTTTGCAGTAAGTGAGGGAGGTTCTCAATTCAAAAAGCAACTACAGCTCTTGAAGCATTTTGATGTCACGCTGCTTAGCAAAATAGCATTATTTCTTTGCAGCTTGGGAATTTGGCTGTGACCCTTTATTAACCCCTGAAACATACAAAGGGCGTTTAGGCTTGAGCACGCACTATTGCAAGATCTAGCTTGCCAAGAAGGCTGATCGCTGAAGAATGCATGCTTTTGAATTATGGTGCTGGAGGAGACTCTTGAGAGTCCCGTGGACTGCAAGAAGATCAAACCGATCCATTCTGAAGGAAATCAGCCCTGAGTGCTCACTGGAAGGACAGATCCTGAAGCTGAGGCTCCAAGACTTTGGCCACCTCATGAGAAGAGAAGACTCCCTGGAAAAGACCCTGATGCTGGGAAAGATGGAGGGCACAAGGAGAAGGGGACGACGGAGGACGAGATGGTGGGACAGTGTTCTTGAAGCTACCAGCATGAGTTTGACCAAACTGCGGGGAGGCAGTGGAAGAGAGGAGTGCCTGGCGTGCTCTGGTCCATGGGGTCACGAAGAGTCAGACACGACTAAATGACTAAACAACAACAACAACAGCTTGCCAACACACATTGTGTGGTCTGAGCGTGGGTAGATAATGCAGATAGATCTGCTTAATCAACACACCAGTCTTGTGGCTGGGCAGTGCCAACACCTCTGCTATTCCCAGGCTGCTGCGAAGTCCCAGGTGGGCTGGCTGTGACTGTAGCCACAGCTGCTGCAGTGGGTGGAACCAGAGGTGTCAGGGATGGGGGCAAGGCACAGCGCAAACTATGTGGAATGGGAGGAGAATGGAGAAGGGTAAGGAGGGGCTGGATCAGAGAGGAAGAATGTACCTGGGGGCTAAAGTGTGAGTAGCTAATGCCTAAGAGCAGGAGGCTTTTAAGAGAGGAGCCTTGCTGAGCCAGGAGAAAGCTATGCCAAGAGAGGAACTTGTCATGACAACTGCCCCACCCTTTGCTGGTGAAGCCTCAGTAAACTAACCCCAATACGCCATAGTTCCTTGGTCTGCAGTGTCATAGCCCCAGAACTTTGCACTGCCCATTACTGTCTTGTCTCCTGTACAGTTTTAAAATGTTGAGTTCTACTTCCTAAATTAACAGTTTTCAAAGGCAGTGTAACTCCAGTAGCAGGCTGGTTCCCACCAAAGTTACTGCTTTTTAAAAGAATGACCACAGGCAGGTGGCTTTCCCAGTGACAGGGAGGAGGATATGAGTACAGTGGTACCTCCGGTTGCGGACGGGATCCATTCCGGAGGTCTGGTCGGATCCTGAGGTTTCCACAACCTGAGGACCACTTCTGCGCATGCGCGCGCAGCAAAACCCGATAAAATGCTTCCGGATTTGCCGCTTTCGCATCCCGAAGTTTATGTAACCAGAGGGTTACTTAACCGGAGGTACTACTGTATAGCTTTTGTTCTCTTGATTTTACAAGAGAACCTTCCGTTGCTAAACACCACGGGACTTTGTTTCTCTTTTCCCCTTTCGTACGAATAGCTTTCCTGTACCCTGGAACGCGAGTTTCGCTGCATGGAACTTGCAGAGCTTATGACTCAGAATGCCAGGAGCTTAGCTATCAAGTACGCCTCTCGCTCTCGGAGGCTGAATCTCGCCCAGCGGCTCAGTGAACTGGCAGCAGAGAGAGCAGCTGAGTTGGCAGCTGCTGAAGAGAACGGCATTCAAGAGGAAGAGGAGGAGGAGGAAGATTTCCAAAACCATCTGAATGCTGGGTAAAAAGAAATTCCAGAGTGACACTACAGTTGGCAGACTTTTGCAGTGAAGGAGTTGCAGGGACCTCATTCATCACGTAGGCATGTACTAGTGACAGATAGTGAGTGTGGGCATTTGTGTGGCTTGCAGTCCCATATTCTATCTGCCAGTGCCTGAAGTTTGGTGGTGTTCCTTCCCTGTCAGTATCGTGGATAATGGGGAGCCTTTATACTGGTCCTCAACCCCTGGACTGAAACAATGCTTAAAAAGGGAATAGGCACCATTTGAGAGCCAGTGTGCTGTACTGGTTAAGAGCAGTGGACTCGTAATCTGGTGAACCGGGTTCGCTTCTCCGCTCCTCCACATGCAGCTGCTGGGTGACCTTGGGCTAGTCACACTTCTCTGAAGTCTCTCAGCCTCACTCACCTCACAGAGTGTTTGTTGTGGGGGAGGAAGGGAAAGGAGATTGTTAGCCTCTTTGAGACTCTTAGGGTAGTGATAAAGCGGGATATCAAATCCAAACTACTACTCTTCTTCTTCTTCTATGAGGAACAAATTTTCTATAAAAAGTGAGATACGGCCATCTTTTTATGGCTTGAAGTTGATTCTTGCGGAGACTGGGATGTTTCACAGACTGGGGATGTTCTGGAAGCAAGAGTTAAGCTTATCTTTCTCTCCTAGGACAGAATAGCATTTTGAGTGTAAAGGTTTGAACACACACAGACACACACACATACACACACACACATTTACCAAGGGACTGTGTGAATATACCACTCTTAACCCATTGCCTGCACTCTTTCCTCCTTTCTCACATGAATTTTCTTCACTATTCACCATTTTCCTTAATAGTAGATAAGGGTTGTGTGTTGGCAGTGACCTTCGCTAGAGTGTGCTTTTAACCAGAGACTTGTTGTTAGCTCTAGGACAGTCCATTAAGGTGCTGTGCAACATATGTTACTCTTCTTTATATTTTCCCTGTATCCTCTCCGTCCTTTTAGAAACCTCAGAGTGATTGATATCTTCTTCCAACCACACACACTTAGATTCATCAGTGGTACAGCACTGTCTATTCCTTTATTTTGGTGGCAGGGTGTGTAGTTATCTTCTTCTTTTTACCTAGGTATGCAGTTTTAAGATATTTTCTAGCATGTGACCTAAATCAGTTGTTGTTTTAATCTTACTAATGGCCCAGTGTGTTACATGTGTGGCAGCTGCCTCTTATCTATCTGTTTATCTAAATATCTAGCTAAATGAGTAGACTGCTGAGTTCATTTATCTGCTTTCAGTTACAGTAGCACCCCCACAGAATCAGGTCAGGCCCGGATCAGAAACCTTCAACGTCAGCAAAGTATGGAGAGCTACGAGGAAGAGGAGCAGGAGAAGGAGGAGGAGGAGGAGGAAGGCACATCTGAAGTGACAAAACCTAGTAAGACTGACAGATGCACACAAGTATTCAGGGCAGAAGGCTGTATAGTTGTCACATTTCCCAGGTCCTGAGGATGGGTTGTTGATAAGAGCAGACAAATAATGCATGACAGGCTCCTCAAAGAAGAACTATTTTCTGGGGCTTATTTTTCTTGATTCATTTTCCTTTTTAAGGAAGGAAAAGCTTGCTTCTCCTTTCCCTCAGTAATCAAAGTAGCAAGTAGGGTCTGTCTTCTGTGTTTTCTAGCTTTTAGCATTTTGTAGCTCACTTACCATCTATTTTGCTTAGCTGATGTTCTTAACTAGGACTATAATACAGTGGTGCCTCGCAAGACGAAATTAATCCATTCCGCGAGTCTCTTCGTCTTGCGGTTTTTTCGTCTTGCGAAGCACGGCTATTAGCGGCTTAGCGGCTTTAAGAAAAAGGAAACAAACTCGCAAGACGTTTCATCTTGTGAAGCAAGCCCATAGGGAAATTTGTCTTGCGGAACGACTCAAAAAACGCAAAACCCTTTCGTCTAGCGAGTTTTTCGTCTTGCGAGGCATTCGTCTTGCGGGGCACCACTGTACAGCACTTATTCATGGTTAACCTGGAAGATGCCTCAAATTTCACTCCTCTTCTCGTGTTTGCACTTACATATACACCATTTGTCATATCTTTCTGAAGGACCTCCGCCAATCTCTGAAAAGGTGTCTACTCCCAAATCTGGTGAGTCAAAAGGATTATTATTTTCTAGGCAAGGAAAAGATATTCATGGTTGTGCCGGTTTGTGCAACTTTTGGTGTCAGCTGCTCAACTGCAATTCCTCACCTTTTGTCAAACAGCATGCTTGCATCACTTAATTCTGATGTAATAAATTGGAACAGTTCCTCTCCAGTTCCCACTGTGCACTCCAAATCAGCTGTGAGGAGTTGGGGGATTGCGTGGAGCATGGGGAGAGGCGGCTTCAGGCAAACCTCGTTTTATTGTGTTTTGCTTTATTGTGTTTTGTGGATATTGCTCCTTACCGGGACATGGGTGCCACTTCAGGCAGCCCAGCCAGGGGAAGGAAGCTCCCCGCTGCTGCCCCTCTTCTGGCCATAGGAGTAGACTATGGCTGGAGCTGGGTTTTATTGCAATATTAGCTTTATTGTGATGGTCTGGAACCGAACCTGCAATATCGCTGAGGTGTGCTTATAAATAGAATCCCATGTATACAGCATTGAATACAACCCTAAAAATAAAAAACACATAACATTAATTAATAAAGCACTTCTGTATAAGCAGGCCCAATTAACTATCGTAAATGAAAACAATTACTGTAGTTCCTTTTCCCGAAAGGCATACACAGTGTTTCCTAAAGGTTTTCATTGGTGGTCTTCTCCCCTATCGCTTCTCTCTCCAGTAACAAAAGCTGCAGTTGTTTCCAGCAGTCAAAAGCGAGTCAATCCCTTCAAGGTGAGAATTTGGTGGTTTTAGTTCACTTCAAATTTTAAGTAAAATGTGTGAAGATTGTCAGAAATCCTGAGCGATGGAAAGTAAGGGTTTTTTTTTTTAATGTTTTGCTCCACTAGGTATCCAGTAGCCAAAAGGATCAACTGGTTCAGCTGGCTAATATCATAGACAACATGACCAAACAGGGCAAGAAAAATTCCATGCCAAACAGCCGAGTTGCTCCAAACAAGAAGAGTCCAGTTATAAAACCGCTGGTTCCTAAGCCGAAGTCAAAGCAGGTGAGCTTCGTGTTGACTTATAGTTGCGTGGTCAAAAAGCTAAGACCCTGGCACGCCTATTGTTTTGCTTTTCAATACAAAGAAACAGGAAGTAGGTGAAGATAAAATACATACAAACAAACAATAAATGCACACACACACAAAGCAAAAGAAATGCTGTCTCACTAACTTCTTCTGTCGTAGTTAATAATGCATTTAAAACTGTTGACTGGGAGAAAAAAATATCTATAAAGACACACTTTCAAGGGAAATGTTTTAACATCAAGAGATGGGCGCCCAGAGTATTTTATGGTCTGAAATGCATAAATAATACATGTTCACTGTGAATTTTAGGAATCTGTATCTAATTGTATAGGCTGCAGCAGCTGCATTTTTCCAACCCCGAAAACCTAACACTGAAAAGAAGAACATAGATGAGAGAGGAGGGGGAACTGAAGTACCCCCACCTGAACCACCTCAAACTCCGACTGAGAGCAGTGACAATAAAAGGTCAGTGTCCCAGGAAGGCAGTCTTTCCCATTGCCATTGTGGGGTGGCTAATCCAGAAACCTCCCTGGGCGTTCCAAAAGTTCCACTGCAGAACATTTCAGAATCCCTTTCTCCTCCTCCTCTTCTTCTTCTTCTTCTTCTTCTTCTTCTTCTTCTTCTTCTTCTTCTTCCTCCTTTTTTCAAGGCCAAAGACTGGGTTCCAGATGTGGCTAGATGAGAACAGAAGCTGCATTGGGGCAGATAATCCTCATTTTGAAGAAACAGAGATAATAAAAGAAGGCATGAGTCGATTCAGAAATCTGTCTGCTGAAGAAAGGATGGTAATGGAGTTCCGCCATGGAATGTTCATTTGCTTCTTCTATAGAAATCCTTCCCCCGCCCCCCTGTTTCCTTTCCCCATTCCTGGGTTCTGCGGCTTTTCCATTGCCTGCTCCAGCATTGTTACCATGCCCCAGAATGAATGAACTTGGAGGTAGCTGCGTGAAGCATTAATCTGCATGTTTAGCACAGTATGGCCTATGTTGTGCCATGCCAGGTGTGTAGAAGCTCAGACCCTTCAGATGTTGCTGAACTACAACTCCCATCAGCCCCTGCAGGCATGGGGGTGGGGTAGCTAATGTCGCAGAAGACGTAATCGGGATTCAATGTGACTTTAGCAGAATGGAGAACTGGGCCTAAGCTAACCAAATGAATTTCAGTAGGAACAACTGTAAGGCATGAAGAACCAGCTACACAAATAAAAGATGGGGGACACCTGGCTTGCCACTAGTAAATGTGAAAAAGATCTTGGGGTCTTGGCAGACCACAAGCTTAACATGAGTCAACAGTGTGAAATCACCCAGTGAGCTTTCATAGTAGAGATCTGAACCTGTCTCTCTCCAGGTCTAGTTCAGTGCTAATCACTACAACATGCTAACTATAATATTTGCACTGCACCCCCTGATCAACATCTCCCCATCTTTGCTGCAGTTGGAAATCTGGTCTAGGGGTGATGCCTTGAGAGAAGCCAGGATGCAGCAGCCAGGCTCTTCTGATCTTATTTTGTTAGGATTCAGTGCTGGTGAAGAAGTATCCCATTCCACAGAATTCAGTGACACTGCACTTTACATCTGAATAGCTGAATAATGGCAAATCCCTGCTACATTAGTTAATTGGTTTCCTCCCCTGCCCTAGGTTTGGACCGAGAAAGCCAAAGGAAAAGAAGCTGGCGATTCGTCGGAAGGGAAAAAGCGGAAGCGCTTGGAAGTTGTTAACAGTGATGGGCAAGAAGGCCAAGGGAAAAAATCAAAGGAGGACACAAGCTCGGTCACAAAACCCAGTTCCATTCAGGAGTCTGCCATCGCAAAGCTATCAGCATTTGCCTTTAAGCAGAGATAAACCAGCTTGTGCTTTTCTAAGGGTACCTTGTGGGTTAACTTTAACCTATTGTTTGAACCAGCCTCCAAACAGGTGTTGCCCTTTTTATGTCATGCCACACATTTAGTTGGTCCCAGTAAGCCAAATCCAAATATTCCTGGCATGAGACCTGTTATTTCAATAGTGCACCGTGTTTCCTTTGGGACTGCACCATGGCAGTAGAAAGCGGCTATGGCCAAGGAGAAAAGGCAGAGAGTCCGTTCCATAGATGTCCACTGTTCCTGCTTGACACTGTTCTTCTGACCTTCTGTTTTCCACTACTTCTTTGTTGCTTTTCCTTTTTAAGTTACAGAATGTGTGAAAGCCTTTGTTAGGCTCTGGCACTTTGGGGGTTTGCCTGTCCTGCAACGACAGCCTTGTGAGCTTTTGACTTGACTCACCGTGTGCTGATAGGTGAGCGGAGAACAGTGGAGCCATCATGCAACCCCATTTCCCACCCAGCCATGTTGAAGAAGAATCATTCACCCCACACCCATCTGGTTTGTGTAACTTTCCCCCTGATCTACGTAGGAAAGGAATGTAGGAGAGACTTGTCTCTTAGGCCGGGGTAGCTAGCGCAGTGCCCTCAAAATGTTGCTGGACTCCCCATTGGCTCCATCCAGCCTAGCCAGTGATCGGGGATGATGGGTGTTGTACTCCAACAACTTCTGGAGGGCATCAAATTAAATACTCCTGCCTTAGGCATGTGAGCATCATCGGGTATATCTGAGTTCTGCATAGCAAATGTTTTTCTTCCAAATGCTGGAATTTTTGTATTTTTATGTAATGGTTCTACTAAATAAAGTGGTGACATTTGTATATCTTCTTGTTGTTGTTTAGTCGTTTAGTCGTGTCCGACTCTTCGTGACCCCATGGACCAGAGCACGCCAGGTACTCCTGTCTTCCACTGCCTCCTGCAGTTTGGTCAAACTCATGCTGGTAGCTTCAAGAACACTGTCCAACCATCTCGTCCTCTGTCGTCCCCTTCTCCTTGTGCCCTCCATCTTTCCCAACATCAGGGTCTTTTCCAGGGAGTCTTCTCTTCTCCTGAGGTGGCCAAAGTATTGAAGCCTCAGCTTCAGGATCTGTCCTTCCAGTGAGCACTCAGGGCTGATTTCCTTCAGAATGGAGAGGTTTGATCTTTTTGCAGTCCATGGGACTCTCAAGAGTCTCCTCCAGCACCATAATTCAAAAGCATCCATTCTTTGGCGATCAGCCTTCTTTATGGTCCAGCTCTCACTTCCATACATCACTACTGGGAAAACCATAGCTTTAACTATACGGACCTTTGTTGGCAAGGTGATGTCTCTGCTTTTTAAGATGCTGTCTTGTATATCTTAGTTGATGCATACTTTGTTTTCACTTATCTCAGATGCTAGTTTTATATTTGTGTAGGTCTATTTTGTCCCCTCCAACTTAACTGATGAGAGGACAAATCCTTCTCCCCTCCCCTCATACGTCAGTTCAGCTCCCAGCACTTTGGAGCCCTGGAGAGGAAGGACTTTGAGCCTACAGAACAGGAATGGGGAACTTGTGCCCCTCTAAATAGTTCTGGACTCCCAACTCCCATCATCCCTAGGTCCCTTGGCCATGCTAGCTGGGGCTGCTGGGAGTTGGCCTCTAACAACATCTGGAGGGAAATGGGCTTCCCATTCCTGTGCAGTAAGGCTTAACCACTTTTAACCTTGCCACAGCCAAGTTGATGATAGCCAAAGAATCCATTATCACAGCCATTGTTATAGTAAACTCTGTAGGACTCAATAAATTCACTAATTCATTGGAAGGATACTGTGATCTAAGTGTGAAATTGAATAATCGATCCAAGGATAACAGTGCCCCGAGGTAAATGAGCAAAGAGATTCAGGAGCACGGCTGTCCTGAATTGCAAATCAAAAGACTGTCCTTCCCCATCCCACTTTCATTCAGAGGCATTTGGAGAGGGCTGCAATTTTAAGAAAGCAAGGGGACGGTTTGCTAGTCTTAATGGACTGGATAAAAATGGACTGTGAGCCAGGGATGTCTAGTTCGGAGCTCAGGCATTCAGCAAATGGCTTGCCTAAGGTTGCCAATCTCTGGATCTGTAGCCCTTTCATTTTGGAATTAAAAAATATGCTGAACTGCCTTGCAGGGCTACCTTAAAGATTACGGAGGCAGCTTATGTAGAACCGCTCTTAAGGTGCTTCATGCATGATAAAGTCTGGTTGTGAATCCACAGCAGTGACCAGAGGAGGAATGACCAAACCCCTATTGTTTGCCTTCAGCATCTGATAACCCAAGGTATGCTTCTTCTGAGTATGAAAGTTCTGTATATTGTTTGGGTCTATTCTTGGATATTAGCCATCTTATCCATGAAGCCAAGCTCCATGTGGAAATTCAGCATTCACCCAGGTTTTAGGGGTGCAGATTCTCTGACCCACACCCTCCCGATAGCTGCACTTTGAGTTTTTAAACCACTGGGGTTGCTTCCATGTTAACTTCTTTTTTTTGGAATCTGCCGTCATTTGTTCACTTGTTTTTTATGAAACATCCAGACGATGCTGTCAGTCTGCTCCATTCTGGGGTTTGCATTCCTTATCTGGACCTGTGATTGAATGCTGATGCTTTTCTGTAAGCAGTGAGATTTAGTTCTTCTCTATCTGTGCCTAGGTAAAGGTAAAGGGACCCCTGACCATTAGGTCCAGTCGTGACCGACTCTGGGGTTGCGGTGCTCATCTCGCTTTATTGGCCGAGGGAGCTGGCATACAGCTTCCAGGTCATGTGGCCAGCATGACTAAGCCGCTTCTGGTGAACCAGAGCAGCGCACAGAAATGCTGTTTACCTTCCCGCCAAAGCAGTACCTATTTATCTACTTGCACTTTGACATGCTTTCGAACTGCTAGGTGGGCAGGAGCTGGGACAGAGAAACGGGAGCTCACCCCGTCGCGGGGATTCGAACCGCCGACCTTCTGATCAACAAGTCCTAGGCTCTGTGGTTTAACCCACAGTGCCACTCGCGTCCTTAATCTGTGCCTATGATGAAACACTAAAAGCAGGACTGCCAGATATGTGCAACTTGGCTAATTGACTGCTTTCACCACCTCATTGTGAGTTACATCTGGGGGATAAGTGAAGAGTTTCCCAATAATTAGCCTCTTTTAATTACCCCAGTGCTCATTTCTGTTTCCAAGAGGGAGCCTTTAATGACTGCTCAGTTAAAGCCCCCCACCCCAGACAAATCAACAGGCAGCATTGAAACAGGCTGAACCTGCAAACAAGATTATAATTAATTCTAGCGAGGAACTTAGCTGCATGCAGTTTACATAATTGTGAGCAACTACAGTGATACCTTGGGTTGCGAACAGGATCTGTTCCGGAGCCCCGTTCGCAACATGAGCAGAACGCAACCCGCTTCCGCGCATGCGTGTGACGTCATTTTGCACGTCTGCGCGAGCGGCAAAACCCGGAAGTAACCCTTTCTGGTACTTCTGGGTCGCCGCGGGACGCAACCTGAAAACGCACAACCTGAAGCAAACGTAACAAGAGATATGACTGTATTATGGAAGGCTCTTGGCCATGGGGAAGTACGTAAAAATGTATTGCGTTTAGTGCTGTGTGGAAGTCCTGTTTTAATTCAACTTCCATCTAATTGCTGATAAGCAACACCCCTGCATAGAATATTGGAATTGATGGGATCTCAAAAGGTCATCCAGCTGAAGCAGAATGGCCTCTTCTACAACATTCCTGAAAGGTGGCACCCCAGTCTGGAAGGAGAGTCCACTTCTTTCCAAGTTTGCTGCATTGTCTAGCTGACACCCCTTCAGATATCTGAAGGATGTTTATCCTGTCACTTTTAAATTGCATTTTCTCTTGGCTAAACAACTCTCTTAAGATTTCCTCCCAGGAAGCTCCCTTACCACATTCTTCCCTGGACACTAGAGGATTCCAGCATGCAAATAAACCTAAGCTTTTTCATGGAGGGCAGGGCGGGGAGAGGACTTTGCATTATCTGAAGCTCACTGTTTGGCTTTGCAGATGTGTTGAAATCTGGGGACACAGCCTTCTGTTTATTGATTAAACAAGATGTAATACCTGGCCTTAGGGCAACCTTTGCCCTGACCCTAGGCTCAATAGTTTATCTGTTACAACATACCATCCTTGCCGTGGATCACAAAGCTGGAGAAATTGATTACACGCACTGAAAAAAAGTTAGAAGTAAAGAATGTGGAGACTTGCGTCAAGCAGCATAACATACAGAAGAAGAAGAGTTTGGATTTGATATCCCGCTTTATCACTACCCTAAGGAGTCTCAAAGTGGCTAACAATCTCCTTTCCCTTAGCAATCTTAGCAAACAGGTGATGCACAGTGTTCTGGGTATCTTTTACGGAAAGGTCCTTGCTGGTGGTAGCACCGCATCTATGAAATAGCCTCCCAAGAAAGACTCACCTAGTGTCTTCTCTATGGTCTTCTCAGCCCTGGAGAACATTGACCCAGGCCTTTTTATTTGGGGGGAGCACAGGCAGAAGTGCCGTGATTCATCTGCATCAGCCCAACCGGACACCTTCATCTGCCCCAGCTGCAACAAAACATGTCTGTCCCATATCGGTCTCTACAGCCACAGCAGGCGCTGTAACTCTTCAATGATTTGACTTCTCCCCCAAAGGTGCACTCCTCCACTGTCTCCCAAGACAGACAGACGGATGCCAACCAACAGTTACAAAGCACTTAACGGTTCCTATATTTTGGAAAGCTCTCTGTCTCCACGCTGTATTCAGACAGCTCTTAAGGTACTATAGCCAAATTTGGAGATTGCGGAGCAGGATTCGGTCTATGGATGCCATTGGGTACCATTTTGAACCAAGATGGCAGACCGAACCTTTCAAAACAACACTGATTAGGACACCTAAAATATTGTAACTGTCGTGTCCCTGAGTCACACCATTGGCGCATCTATTCCAAAGCAGATGTTCTGCCACTGAGATACATTCCTACCCCATAGTTATGGCTGAGGGTGGCACCCATAATTTCTGCAACAATTTTGCTACACAAAATTACCGTATTTTTCGCTATATAGGACGCACTTTTCCCCCTCCAAAAATGAAGGAGAAATCTGGGTGCGTCCTATGGGGAGAATGCAGGCTTTCGCTGAAGCCTGGAGAGCGAGAGGGGTCGGTGCGCACCGACCCCTCACGCTCTCCAGGCTTCGCGCACCTCTCCGCAAGCAGCGGGAGCGCTCCCACGGCTTGCAGAGAGCTGCCTATTTGGGGGCTGGGGTCGGGGGAAGCTCGAGCTTCCCCCGCCCCAGCCCCGCGCCTGGGGGAAAAAAATAATTCCCCCCCTTTATTTCCCCCCCAAAAAACTAGGTGCGCCTTATGGGACGGTGCGTCCTATAGGGCGAAAAATACGGTATCTTGGCTCATCGTGAGGCTAGGAGAGTTGGACACCCGGTGGCCATGTATACAGAGCTGGATGTGGTACACAAAAGGGACTCCTGAAATTATTGGGGAGAAAGGAGAGTTCTCAGCAGAATAGGCTTATAAAAATTGAGACTCTCTTCACTTTGGGGGGGGGGGATGATGGAGAGAGGCTACAAACCTCACTGAATTACTTGCACATGTCATCAGTACATCCTTTGTACCACATACACTTCATACAGATCTCTTGTTTTGAGTAAAAATGCATTTAAAGTAGTTGAAATGTTGCAATATTTATGTTGTTTTCCTTCTCCTCTGGCTTCTGTAGACTTAAAAGAAATCTACAATATTTTCAAAATGTTCTTTGCAACCATCCTCTGGAGTAGAACTCTTTTCACCATGGTGATGATGATTAAAAGAAGACTTTATAATAGTTTATAATTAACAAGGAAACAAAGATTCCTTGGGCTAAGTAAATGGGCTTCATCTTGCGTTGAAAGTTGCATGTGTCATTTTGCTGTTACAGCCCTGATGGTGATGGTGCCACCCCCCTCCCCATTGGATCTTTGTTCTCTCTATCTGGGATTCTGCAAACACCACCCCTGAGCACTGAGCTGCCCATTCTGTTTTCTCTTTTGTTTTGAATGATCTTTTTTGGCGATCACTCATAGCCAAGTAAGGTTGTCTTCCATGAACACGGTCTTAGCAGTGTGTCTGTAAGTGAGCGTGGAGGCCAGTTCTGGACCCACACATCCTTCCACAGTGGGGACATAGGTTTCCGGGCAGGAGTTCATTACGGAGAGGGTTTGCTAAGTGTGCCTTCCTCTTACTACGTTTCTCCCTTTTGTCCTGAGTTCGAGCGTCTTCAAAGTCCATGACACCTTTGGTAAAGGCTGTTCTCCAACTGGAGCACTTGCAGGCCAGCGTTTCCCAGTTGTTGGTGTTTATACTACATTTTTGGAGGGACGCGGGTGGCGCTGTGGGTTAAACCACAGAGCCTAGGACTTGCCGATCAGAAGGTCAGCGGTTCGAATCCCCACGATGGGGTGAGCTCCCATTGCTCAGTCCCTGCTCCTGCCAAACTAGCAGTTCGAAAGCACATCAAAGTGCAAGTAGATAAATAGGTACCGCTCCAGTGGGAAGGTAAACGACATTTCTGTGCGCTGCTCTGGTTTGCCAGAAGCGGCTTAGTCATGCTGGCCACATGACCCAGAAGCTTTACGCCGGCTCCCTCGACCAATAAAGCCAGATGACTGCCACAACCCCAGAGTCGTCCGCGACTGGACCTAATGGTCAGGGGTCCTTATACTACATTTTTAAAGATTTGCATTGAGACAGTCTTTAAACCTCTTTTGTCGACCACCAGCATTATACTTTCCATTTTTAAGTTCGGAATAGAGTAGTTGCTTTGGAAGACAATAATCAGGCATCCACACAACATGACCAGTCCAACGAAGTTGATGTTGAAGAATCATTGCTTCAACACTGGTGATCTTTTCTTCTTCCAGTACACTGGCTTCGCTCATAAGGATCATAGGAACGTGCAAGCCCATTCACCACGACAAGGTGATGATTCAGCGAGCGAGGTTTTGAATGATACCAGGTGCCCAAAAGGGACAAAGAGGAAATGAGTCACCAAAGCGTATTTATGACATATTTTCCTTACCCAGGCCCTTATCTCCTCGACAACTAACAATTTCCTCCGTTTCATTTGGCAGCAGGAATACTGACCACCGAGCTAACAGAGCTCTGCAGGGAAGAGGCAAAAAAGCAGTGGAAAAAAACAAAACAAAAAACAAAGCACACAGAGAAGATCAAAGTCTTCAAAAGTAGTGGAGCTATCTGGTGCAATCTTCCTTCCTATTACAGTGTTAGAATGGGTTGAGAGGGTTAAACCTCACGCCCAATGACAGCTACCAACCTAGATATGGCTGAGGAGGGACACTGTGTGCCTGTCTCCATGGGAGAGAAAGTGTGACTGCATCTATATCTGCACTGTGTGGCCTTGACAATCACTGGCATGGAGCTCTCAGTAGGGTTGGTGATGAGGAAATGGCAGGTTTTCAGGGTCAAAAAGGTTGCCTGTGCCCAAGGCCAGCTCAAAACATTTTGCTGCCTGCGTTGAATGACAAGATGGCGCACACAAACACACACACGCCCAGTTACACACAAAGTAGCCGACTAGACTAGCAATGGACTAGCAATAGCTCAGTATGGCAGAAGCTCTCCAATTTTTCAGACAGGCATGTATTTCTCAGCCTTTCCTGGAGATGCTGAGATGCAGCCTGGAACCTTCTGCACAGAAAGCAGATTGAATTGAAATTGAAATACTTTATTCAATCAATCAATCAATCAATCAATCAATCAATCTTTATTATGGTCCAGAGACCCAACAAATCGTTACAAAGCAATGCACAATTCAGACAGCCTACCTCCAGGTTAAACAAGCATCTTGTTCAGACCTAGAGATCATTGGTTCTTGCAACCACCGATAAAAACTTTGAAATACTTTATTGTCACTTGTACAACTTGTATACAGTGTGATTACACGAGCACCCCCCACTCAGCTCTCTTAGACTTAATTCCGCTCATTTACTGATGCACACCCACCAAACCCAAAAGTCAGTTGCCCTGTTGTTATCTTTTCATTCAGCAGCCTAATAGCCCACGGATAGAAGCTGTTCTTTACCCTGTTGGTGCGACTTAATCGTGCTTCTATATCTTCTGCCCGAGGGCAGGAGATCAAGAAAGTGCCGGCCAGGGTGTGAATCATCTCCTGAGGCAACGTTCTTCCGCTATTTCATCCAGCGGATTCACGGGACAGCCCATAATATCTTGTGCTGTATTCACCACCCTCTGTAGGCACTTCCTATCAGTTGATGTCAAACCAGCGTACCACGCAGATGGAGTCTCTGTTGGGCTTTCTTAACCACCTGGGTTGTACTGATTTTCCAAGTAAAGTCTTCAATGAGATAAACTCCTAGGAAGTTTGTTCATACCACTGAGCAACAGCCAGGTGTGGGACAGGCCACATGATGTACACAGTGTTGTGTAGTGGTTAAAGTTTTGGACTAGGACCTGGGAGACCAAGGTTCAACTCCCCACTCAGCCACGAAGCTCATTGGGTAACTTAGAGCCAGCCACTGCCTCTTGGAGAATCATAGAATTGTAGGGCTGGGCTGCCACAGAGAAAGGCAGGATACAAATGTGAAAATCTATTCCTACCCTGATTCATTCCTATCATTCCAGGTCTCCTTTCTTCTAAGAAGACTTCAGGCCATTGTGCACATGCTACGTTTATTATTACATGACCAGTGCATGCCTTTCTTCACGGGGAGGAAAACCCTAATGGTTTGATGGTGATATAAATGCAATCCCTTACAAGGAAGCGGCGTCTCTAGTGCCCGATATTACCCCAGCTGAAACAGACATGGCTTAAGTGAGCCTGTGGTTCACTCCCACTGGTATCTCCTTACAAGTTTTCAGGAAACATTTAGCATGTGCAGAAATAGACGTCTTCCTGAGAGCTTCCTCCAGCCAGAGGGTGGAGGACTCAGTAGCCAATATTATGCATGCATGAATTTAATAATATGCATTGTACATATATTGAAAGCTGAGACACTCCCTGCCCACATGTTCATTCTCTGGGGTATCTTAATCTATTTTCTATTTGTTTTTTATACTGTTTTTCTTCTTGTATGTCTGGGTAGCGTGCAAAGGAGGTTACCTCACTTTGGCATTGCAAAGACCTGGTGCTCATGAATAGGAGTTTGAACCCTTTTCTCCTCTGTGCACTAAGCTTTCCTGGAACCACCCGCAAGGCGCTTCATATGTATTATTCACTAACCCACACAACTATCTTGCAAGGCAGGCCATTATTATTATTCAACGCCTCTCTTTTCCTTGCTCTCTGGCTGTTATACTCACCCTCACTTCTCTGAGCAGGGAAAAAGCTCCTGGGGCACAAGACTCAGTCAGTTGGGGTTCCTCTGGAAGTAGGACGCTACTTACTTTCCCCCCACAATGGGAACTTTTGAGGAATTGAGTACAGTCAAGAATAAAGATTATTAATAGCTGATAGTGCTGGAAAGTGTTTTCATATCTGACTCGATTTAACAATGGGTAATATTGGTACATTATTTTATGATGGACATTGGCTATTTTTTGATGAATTAATGTGTAACAACTAATATTGTAAGACTCCTTCTTTAGAGGTTTCTAAGCAGAGGTTGTCCTTGTCCACGGAGTTTTCTTGGCAGGGATATTGGAGTGGCTTGCCGGTTCCTCCTCCAGGTGGATCACGTTTGGTCAAAACTCTCCACTATGACCTGTCCATCTTGGGTTGCCCTGCATGGCATAGCTCATAGCTTCTCTGAGTTATTCAAGCCCCTTCGCCACGGCAAGGCAGTGATCCATGAAGGGAAGCTGAGGCTCCAATACTTTGAAGGCCAGTATGGTGTAGTGGTTAAGAGCGGTAGTCTCATAATCTGGGGAACCGGGTTCGCGTCTCCGCTCCTCCACATGCAGCTGCTGGGTGACCTTGGGCCAGTCACACTTCTCTGAAGTCTCTCAGCCTCACTCACCTCACAGAGTGTTTGTTGTGGGGGAGGAAGGGAAAGGAGAATGTTAGCCGCTTTGAGACTCCTGAAGGGGAGTGAAAGGCAGGATATCAAATCCAAACTCTTCTTCTTCTTCTTCTTTGGCCAGCTCATGAGAAGAGAAGACTCCCTGGAAAAGACCCTGATGTTGGGAAAGATGGAGGGCACAAGGAGAAGGGGACGACAGAGGACGAGATGGTGGGACAGTGTTCTTGAAGCTACCAGCATGAGTTTGACCAAACTGCGGGAGGCAGTGGAAGACAGGAGTGCCTGGCGTGCCCTGGTCCATGGGGTCACGAAGAGTCTGACACGACTAAACAACAACAACAAGCAGAGGTTGGATGGTCATCTGTCCTGGATGCTTTAGCTGTAATTCCAAGAACATTACAGTGACATTCAAAGCAAAACAAAACAAGAACGAAAGTGAATTGGATTCCACGCTGGTCATTTGGGTTTTAGCGATTTCACATTGTTTTGATGTTTTCATGATTTTATCGTACCCGTCGGCCAGGATATTGTTTTTTTAAGAGTTGGCAGTGCGCAAAGATCCTTATGAACCAAATAAAAGCCATCAGGCAGTCTCCTGCGCTCCCCACAGCGACCCAGCCTCTCCCGCTTCGACAGGGGCTCCTCCGCGTCCCCGCTTGGCCCAGCCTGGGCTCCCCCGGCCGCTACCCCCGCTTCCGCCCGTGGAGCTCGCCGGCCGCCTGATCCGCTTACAGGCTGCCAGGGCGGGTGACGCACGGGCAGGGGAGCCCAATAGGAGCTGCGCCGAAGCCTGGCGCGCTATAAAGTGGGGCGAGCTGGCCGGGGAAAAGTCCGAGGGTGGAGCCGAGGGAAAGGCAGGGCCGGATCCTGACATCGGTGTTCTTTTCCCTCCTCTGTCGAGGCGCGCCACGCTTTTCCCTGCCGGAACACGCTCCGCCAGGAACTTCCCAACCTCTCCGGCGCCAAGGCGCACGGGTCACCGCTTTGGCGCACCGTCTCCAGCGCTGGAGACAACGCTGCGCTGCGGATCCCTGCGCTCCTCGTGGGTAGAAAGACTCGCTCCCTCTGTCTGAGACCGGGCACGATCCCTCGGGTGTTCGTCCCTCCAGGGCGCGCGTCCTTTTGCGCGCAAAGTCTCCAGATCCAGCCCACATCTCCAGGGTTTTCCGCAGCCGCACGGACAGGTCTCCCGGTTCCGGAGCCATGGAGAAGGTGAAGGCGCGGGCGCTGCTGGAGCAGCCTCTGCGAGCCTCCAGCTACAACGGCTACGCGCTGGCTGAGAAGCCGCCGCAGGCGCTGCCCGGCCGCTCCTCCGCGGACGCGCCGCGCTGCCCGAAGGCTGCAGCCAGCTCTTTCGAGAGCTGGAGAGAGGAGCGTACCCGCAGCGAGGAAGACAACGAGATGAACCTGCCCGGCTTGGCCGCCGCCTACAGCACCATCCTGCGCGCCCTAGGCGAGGACCCCGAGCGCCAGGGGCTCCTCAAGACCCCCTGGAGGGCGGCCACCGCCATGCAGTTCTTCACCAAAGGCTACCAAGAGACCATCACAGGTGAGCAGGGCTCCGGTGCACGAGGGGGCACCTGGAGAATAGATCCCCGCCAAACTAAAAACAAAGCAGAATGCCCAGTGCTTTGCATTGCTCCTGTTCCCAACAGCCTTGTGAGGTAGGCAGGCTGCTCTTCTCAAATTAGGGGCAATTTGAGCTGGCTGTAGTGTCCTGGTTCCAATAAATGAATGTACTTAAAGGGCTCCGTGTAGGTCCTTTCAGGCACCCTCACTGTTCCCATGGGGTAGATTATAGCAGACTCTGTGCCTTCCAGCTGTTTTGGACTGCAGTGCCCACTAGGCAGTGCTGCCCAGGGCTGGTGGCCTTGTTTTAGTCCAAAGCAACCAGAGGGCACCGGAATAGAGAAAGGTTGGGGAAGAGACTTGCCTGCAGGAGATTACAAAAGTTGGTAAGTGAATTTCCAATGAAATCATTGTTACTTTGGAAACGCATTGGAATTTAAGAAGCTGGCTTCTACAGAGTCAAGCCATCTAGCTCAGTATGCCCACACTGACTGGCAGAAGCAGCTCTTTAGGATTTCAGACAAGGAGTGTTCCCCAGCTATAATTGGAGATCATCATCATAATACAACAATTTATTATTTATACCCTGCCCATCTGGTTGGGTTTCCCCAGCCACTCTGCGTGGCTCCCAACAGAATAATAATAATAAACCAACAAAACATCAAACATTAAAAACTTTCCTAAACAGGGCTGCCTTTGAGTATCTTCTAAAAGTTAGGTAGTTCTTTATCTCCTTGACATCAGACGGGAGGGCGTTCTACAGGGCAGGCGCCACCACCGAGAAGACCCTCTGCCTGGTTCCCCGTAACTTCGCTTCTTGCAGTGAGGGAACCGACAGAAGGCCCTCGGAGCTGGACCTCAGAGTCTGGGTAGAACGATGGGGGTGGAGATGCTCCTTCAGGTATACTAGGCTGAGGCCGTTTAGGGCTTTAAAGATGCTTCCAAGGATTGGACCAGGTGCCTTCTGCAGGCTCCTCCCATTTTAAGATGACTTTAAAAGTTAATACTAAACTTCAATTTTAATGAATGAAACAACTTTAAACTGCTGGGTCACTTTGTATGGCGCCGGCATAGCAAAGCAGCTAAGAAACCTGAGGCCTTGTTCACACTCCCGTTTACTAGCTGTGTTGGGTTTTTAATCCCTGCTCACAGGACATCATCCAGAATGCAAGCATATCCTGTACTTTGTTGTGAAATAATACCATCTGGGGCACTGTTTTTCCAACCAGCTTCACACAGATCTGAGTCCTTAAGGCTAAAACCACTCTTAATCTCTAGACAAGGTGTGGACTCCTTTGCATAGGGTAAAGACATCCCCAATAATGTCCCCTGGTGTGAACACACCCTCGGTTGTGAATCAGAAACTCCTGAGTATGAATCTTAGCTCTTCCCTGAACTCCATCTTCGATCTGGTCTCAGAGGAGTCTTCCCTTCCTCCCTCTTTCTTCCCCTTCCTCTCCCTCTGACTAGTGGCTCTCCAGGATTTCAAACAGGACTGTTATGTTTGGCCAATATAAAAATAATAAAATTGTTATTAGCATTATTATTAGTACTATGTACACCAGGGTTTCCCAAACTTGGGTCTCCAGCTGTTTTTGGACTGCAATTCCCATCACCCCTGACCGCTGGTCTTGCTAGTTAGGGATGATGGGAGTTGTAGTCCAAAAAGAGGTGGAGACCCAAGTTTGGGAAAGTACACCAACTAGCAGGATTTTAGGATGGAGTCTCTTTCAGCCGTGAGGATTGAATCTCTGAAATTTTCTGCATGCAAAGTTAATGCCTGTCCCTGACCCATGACCCATTCCCTAAAAATAAATGATGGCTTAGAGCAGGCATGGCATGTCCAAAGTCCGTTTCGGGGGCCTGTCGGATTAATCCGGCCCCTGTGGTAGGTTATTTCCTGGAGTAAAATCCTAAAAAAAGCCCAACAACTTTGCGGTAAAATCATAAAAAGAAGGAGCGTCTCCACCCCCATCGTTCTGCCCGGACACTGGGGTCCAGCGCCGAGGGCCTTCTGGCGGTTCTCTCATTGCGAGAAGCCAAGTTACAGGGAACCAGGCAGAGGGCCTTCTCAGTAGTGGCACCCACCCTGTGGAACGCCCTCCCACCAGATGTCAAAGAGAACAACAACTACCAGATTTTTAGAAGACATCTGAAGGCAGCCCTGTTTAGGGAAGCTTTTAATGTTTAACAGACTACTGTACTTTAATGTTTTGTTGGAAGCTGTCCAGAGTGGCTGGGGAAACCCAGCCAGATGGGTGGGGTATAAATAATAAATTCTATTCTACCCTAAAGAAAGCTCAACAACTTAATCCTAAAAAAAGCTCAAAAGCCCTCAGGCGTGTTCACTTCATCAAATCTGGCCCTCTTTGAAAAAAGTTTGGACACCCCTGGCTTAGAGTTACATGCCATTATAACAAGTGTACTTGCCCCACGGGTTTATGCAATGCTATTGTGATCTTGCTATTGTGGGACACGGGTGGCACGGTGGGTTAAACCACAGAGCCTAGGACTTGCCGATCAGAAGGTCGGCTGTTTGAATCCCTGCGATGGGGTGAGCTCCCGTTGCTTGGTCCCTGCTCCTGCCAACCTAGCAGTTTGAAAGCACGTCAAAGTTCAAGTAGATAAATAGGTACTGCTCCGGCGGGAAGGTAAACGGCGTTTCCATGCGCTGCTCTGGTTCGCCAGAAGTGGCTTAGTCCTGCTGGCCACATGACCCGGCTCCCTCGGCCGGCTCCCTTGGCCAATAAAGCGAGATGAGCGCCACAACCCCAGAGTCAGTCACGACTGGACCTAATGGTCAGGGGTCCCTTTACCTTTATTGTGATCTTGGTACCGTATTTTTCGCACCATAGGACGCACCGGACAATAGGACGCACTTTGTTTTAGAGGGGGGAGAACAAGAAACAAAATTCCCCCCCCTCTCTGCCCAGCGCCCCTTCAGCGAAGTGGCAGGAGGCACTGTGCAGAGAGGGGGAGAACTTTCCCCCTCTTGTTTTCCCGCTCTAAAACAAGGTGCTGTTTAAGGTGCGTTCAGGCGGCTACCTTGGAAGCCTGGAGAGCGAGAGGGGTCGGTGTGCACTGACCCCTCTCGCTCTCCAGGCTTCAGGTTCCTTTCCGCTGCTCCCTGACCTGCTCTTTGGGGCTGGTGGTGGGCTTCCCCCCGCCAGCCCCAAAGAGCAGGTCAGGGAGCAGCGGAAAGGCGCAGCGGAGAGGCTCCTGCCATAGCCGCGCGTCACCTCTGCAGCTGGGAGAGGGTCGCGGGGGGCTGCTTTAGCCCCGCGCGTGCACTCTCCCGGCTGGAGAGGTGACACGGGGCTGTAGAGGTTCCTGCCATAGCCGCGCGTCACCTCTCCAGCCGGGAGAGGGTCGCGGGGCTATGGCATCTTCGCTCCATAGGACGCACACACATTTCCCCTTCATTTTTGAAGGGGAAAAAGTGCGTCCTTAGGGGCGAAAAATACGGTAGTTTATTCTGGATCTTTTCCCCAACGATCCCTAGCATGGAATTCTCCTTTTTCGCAGCTGGGTCAGAATCTTAGTGGGTGGCGTCCTCTGGGGCTGTGCTGCCCCCATCACCTCCCTCCAGCCGCGTCACTGGGAGGGGCGAGGTGGAAGGGAGATCAGAGCAGAAATCAGCTGGGCACCAGGCACATTTTGCTACTGACAGAGGTCCAATGGCGACTACGTGGAGACCACAGTGGCAACCACAGCTTAAAAACCTCCACCTTAGTCCATAGTTAATTCTGTTTCCATTTCCACTGTGTGTGTTCCTCCTCTTTGCATACAGGGATGAGTGAATTGTGAGAGCAAGCTGCAGTCAAGCAACGGACTCGTAGAATTTTAGAACTGGAAGGGACCACAAGAGTCATCTACTCAAAACCCCTGCAATGTTTTGCCCAATGTGGGTCTAAAACCCATGTTGTAAACAAAATCTGCCCTTTTCCCCTTATGGGGTATCCAAGAGCCCATATAGAGTCCTTACGTAGGTTCCCTATTGGTAGGAGAAAAGAACAGAGGCCAACCAGAGCATATTGAGAAGCAAAGCAGCTAGTAAGCCTGATCTTTATTGAACTGTTGCAACAAGGTGCTCCCCTTACCCGCAGGAAAGGAGGAGGAACCCCGAAAAATGCTGCACAAGGCCTTATAAAGACTTTTGAAATTGCCACCCTGTAGATCAAGATCACCCCCAGAAACATCATACATACATCACAGAAGGGGTGTAACCTAAGACCACCCCTCAGATACATTACACCTACATCACAGAAAAGGCGGTCTACAGGAAATCTGAGTGCTTTGTTTACCTGTTTAATGGTCAATTGATTGGATTGCCTTGGGAGCCTGGCCAGTCTTTTGTAATGATAAATACTTAGTTCCTGAGCCAGGTCAGGATCACACCCTATTCATATCTTAAATGTGCCCTTAGGACAGGATTTGTGAGGAAAGAGACAATGGGTAGGTTTCCCACTTTGACCTTGCAGAGAAATAATTTGCTCAGTTTGGGAATCAAAATTTGTTTCAGGTCGGTCTTCCTGTGCTGATCTATGTACGTGATTGGTTGGTACACTTATGAACATTTAACATATACCTAAGACCTCCAAATTCCTGTCACACCCATGACCCTCAAGTTAAGAGTCATGCTCTACCAACTGAGTTGTCCCAGCAGATTGTAGTTGAGATAATAGAATCGTAGCGTTGGAAGGGGTCATCAAACCCAACCCCCTGGCGACTGGACATTCCATTGTGGAGACCATAACCTAGGTTTAAGGTGCAATTTGGCACCTAGCGTATACATCTCGGTTTCTAACACTGCTGCCAGGGTGCTTGCACCCAGTGGCGGAGGAACCCGGGGCAGGACGAACCGCCCGGTGGCGCACATGCGACGTCTGTACGGACTGCGCATGCACGGCATCCCTTACGGAGTGCGCATGCGTGGCAGCCCGTGCGGTCGCTGTGCGAGAGGCAGCCCATATGGACGCCACGTGCCCTCAGTTGCTCTACAGCTGGGGGGAGGCAGGGGCCATCTTGTCATGCCCCCCCCGAGTGCCACCCGGGGCAGCCCGCCCCCTCTGCCTCCCACTTCGTATGCCCCTGCTTGCACCACACCAAACTTGTCGCTGCCCTGTCAGGTTAGCAGTGCGGATGAGGTCAGGTGGGCTATCCACTCCCAAGAACTCTTTTTCATGGTCAGTCACTACCAGTACAGACCACATGAGCATACATGCAAAGTTGGGATGCGGGTGGTGCTGTGGTCTAAACCACTGAGCCTCTTGGGCTTGCCAATCAGAAGGTCAGCAGTTTGAATTCCTGTGACGGAGTGCGCTCCTGTTTCTCTGTCCCATCTCCTGCCAACCTAGCAGTTCGAAAGCACACCAGCACAAGTAGATAAATAGGTACCGCTGCAGTGGGTAGGTAAATGGCGTTTCCATGTGCTCTGGTTTCTGTCATGGTGTTTCATTGCACCAGAAGCGGTTTAGTCCTGCTGGCTGCATGACTCGGAAAGCTTCTGTGGACAAACGCTGGCTCCCTTGGCCTGAAGCGAGATGAGTGCCGCAACCCCTTTGACTGGACTTAACCATCCAGGGGTCCTTTGACTTTTTTTTTTTTAACATGTAAAGTGAGTTGGGTATTTTGTCCCAATCACTTTGCCCTTGCTTGCGTTTTTGTCCGTCCTGGACAGGAGCCACACCAGGGCAAATTCAGAACTGCTTCCGCCGAAGGCGTAGCGAGGCAAATGCTTCAAAATTCCTGCTCTGCATTAAACCACAGGCTTTGGAGTTAGCGCTGTAGGCTGCCTGCCACTTGTCAGTTTGTTTGCCTTTTTGTGTCATAAGGTCTAGCCGTGTGCAATTAGCTGCTGAGCAACCAGTAAGAACCAACAAAGCGGCGATGGCGACGGCTTCTCCTTACTGACTTCTGCCTGGTGAACCACCTGAAAGTGCATTGCAGATCACTGTTTTGAGAATCACTTGCGATTTTTAATCAGTGGTGCAGCTCCCTTGGTGTACCGCTTTGCATTTTCTAGATGCGAAACTTGAGAGCAGTAGATCATGGATCTGAACACAGGTGAAGTAACCTTAAGGGACTCTCAGGATCTGATGCCAGATGTAAATGTTGTTGAACCAAATACAGATAGTGACCATAGTGCTATCAAATTCAATATATATATAAATGGGCAATTGCCAAGAAAGTCCAGCATATTTACATTTGACTTCAAAGGAAGAAACATCCCCTAGAAATTTGGGGGACTGGTAAAAGAGGAAGTTGAAAAGAGGAGTCAAAAGTGGTTAAATCTCTCCATAATGCTTGTGGTTATTCAAAGGCACAATATTAGAAGCTTGGCTAAAATATACGCTGTATATCATTTGTTTGCTGCCTTTCCAAAGTTCAAAAACATGCTCAGGACAGGACTGCTTCCAACATGAGAATACACATAACTGCAAACATAATGAAACTACTCATAAGCAATATTCGTAGTTGTTTAGTTGTGTCCGACTCTTCGTGACCCCATGGACCAGAGCACGCCAGGCACTCCTGTCTTCCACTGCCTCCCGCAGTTTGGTCAAACTCATTTTTAGTAGTTTTGAGAACACTGTCTCATGTTTTGAGAACCATCTTGTCCTCTGTCGTCCCCTTCTCCTTGTGCCCTCCATCTTTTCCAACATCAGGGTCTTTTCCAGGGAGTCTTCTTTTCTCATGAGGTGCCCAAAGTCTTGGAGCCTCAGCTTCACGATCTGTCCTTCCAGTGAGCGCTCAGGGCTGATTTCCTTCAGAATGGAGAGGTTTGATCTTCTTGCAGTCCATGGGACTCTTGAGTCTCCTCCAGCACCATAATTCAAAAGCATCCATTCTTTGGCAATCAGCCTTCTTTATGGTCCAGCTCTCACTTCCATACATCACTACTGGGAAAACCATAACTTTAACTATACGGACCTTTGTTGGCAAGGTGATGTCTCTGCTTTTAAGAAGCTGTCTAGGTTTGTCATTGCTTTTCTCCCAAGGAGCAGGCGTCTTTTAATTTCGTGGCTGCTGTCACCATCTGCAGTGATCATGGAGCCCAAGAAAGTAAAATCTCTCACTGCCTCCATTTCTTCCCCTTCTGTTTGCCAGGAGGTGATGGGACCAGTGGCCACGATCTTAGTTTTTTTGATGTTGAGCTTCAGACCATATTTTGCACTCTCCTCTTTCACCCTCCTTAAAAGGTTCTTTAATTCCTCCTCATTTTCTGCCATTACATAAGCAATATAGAAAACATTAAAAAATACAAAACCAAACCGAACAATTTCCACAGCGTATAGTTTTGTGCCAAAGGATTTGTGCAAAAGAGACAAGTGTGTCCGTCTGCCTTGAAAGTGGCGGAATAAAGCCTGACTCTGCCCCCCTTGTTTCCACTTGCGCTGTGTGCAATCACAAATGTGAATTAAATTAGACCTCTTTTCTCCGCTGCCAATGTTGATGGAGGAACTAGCAGATGCTTTCCAAACAATTGATTCCATTTGGGGCTCGGCGCATGATTCCAGACCTCATTAGAGACACTGATGGCAGAAGCAAACCTTGTTGCCTCTTGTACGTCACTCTTCTTGTAAATACCGTTTTGGCAGGAAAGCGGAGTGAAGAAAGGCTGCAATTTCGACCAGGTGTCTCTTAAAGCCTTTTATTGCCTCTGAATGATCTGCCGTGTCTTCAACTTGTTTAAACTGTCAATACATTGGGGGAAAGTGCCTTAATGTGACTCTCATGAAAAGTAAACTAGCCAAAGCTCTTTTTTATTTTTCAGAATTTTTTTAAAAAATGTTGGCACAATTTTCTATTTTCTTTTTCACAGCTTAGCTGTGAAAAAAATATGAGGGGGAACAAGAAAGGAGTAAAATTTTGTAACCAATAATATTTTCTTCCGAAGTCAAGTTTCGTTCTGTGGTGTTTATGTTTATAGCTATAAGACTTCCTTGCTAGCGCTGTTGATGAAGCAGAGAATGGGGAAAACGCAGGGTTCACCCCCTTTCGATGGGAAGTTACTTTCACGGGAATAGTCCTAGTACCACCGTATTCTACCATGGTCAGACCCCACCTGGAGTACTGGGTCCAGTTCTGGGCACCACAATTTAAGAAGGATGTTGACAGGCTGGAAGGTGTGCAGAGGAGGGCAACCAAGATGAACAAGGGTCTGGAAACCAAGTTTTATGAGGAGCACTTGAAGGAGTTGTATATGTTTAGCCTGGAAAAGAGGAGATGGATAGGAGACAGGATAGCTATCTTCAAATATCTGAAGGGCTGTCCAGCAGTGGAGCAAGCTGATTGGGCGCCTGGGGCAGCGCACGTGCCAGCCGCCCACGTGGCGTGGCCAGCCGGGGCAGGACGCTCCGCGAGGCCTCCGAGGAGTCGGCCTGCTTCCTCCCACTCTGCCGCCCTACAGCTGAGGGGCAGGCAGCGGGCGGACCGTTTGGGCGCTCAGGATGCTGTGTCACTCCTGGGAGAGACGCGTGGTTCGGAATCACTACAGGCCCCCGCGGTGAGTGCCGCCCGGCATTTTGTCACCCCCCCTCAGAGGTAACACCCAGGGCAGCCCGCCCCCACCGCACCCCCTTCCTCCGCCCCTGGGGCTGTCACATGGAAGATGGAAGGACCCAAACCGATAGATTCAACTTACATGAAAGGCGATTCCAACTGAACATCAGGAAGAACTTTCTGACAGCTGGAGCTGTTGAATGGTTGAACAGACTCCCACTAAAGGTGATGGACTCTCCTTCCTTGGAGCTTTTTAAACAGAGGTTGGGTGGTCACCTGTCATACAGTTATCAAATCACCCCTCGGTCGTCTTTTCTCCAGGGTGAATGTATATTATCACCCTTCTTAAACTGCTGTGCCTGTTGGGATTTCATTCCTCCCGTTGCAGGGTGCGTGATTGTTTTCATCACATGTCTGTGTTGACATTCCATACTGTTGGAGTCACGAGAACGGAAGTTCAGTTACGCTGTTCTGTTTTACTATTGCTTTTCTGTTCTCTCTCGGAGATGAAGGAGGAGAGAGGACCCACAATTTCTTTTGTTCTGTTTAGTATGTAATAAAGTAGCTTAGAAATCCACACCTCCAATGCCTAGCTACTGCTTGGACTCTGCTATTGTACTGTGTGCACATATCTTCGGATATGTCTCGCAGAAGCGCATCGGGAAAGAAGAGTGATGAATCATTCTGAGGGTCGCTTATGGGGGAGAATGTAGCTGCCTGGCGTTCTCTAGTTGGTACAAGAAGCCCAGTGAGGTCCAGTTCCGTGTGCCCATTCACCAACAGAGCCCACAACTAGACACGGGCAAGATGGACCAACAGCCTCTTTTATTATGTTCTTAAGAGACCAAAGGATGCGATGCCTGTTGCACTTGCTTGAAAATCCAATGCTCCATTGAAGAAAATGTTCCATCTAACATTTGTTTAAAAACCTGAAGCATTTTTGTTAGGGATTGTAAGGAAAGATCTGCCAAAAAAGCTGAAAAACATCTTCATGTATGCGACAACAGCTGTGAGAGTCCTAATAGCACAAGGATGGAAGACTGAAGAAATTCCAACTAAAGAATCCTGGCAAGAAAAACTGATGGACTATGCAGAACTGGCAAAATTGACACATAAGCTACGGGACAAGGATAACTGTGACTTTAAAGATGAATGGGAACCCTTTACAAAGTATTTGAAGAGGCAACAAAGTGAATTGGACTCATTGGCAGGTTTTGAATAAACATCACAAACTTTTTATTGACAATAATCAGTTAAATAATTTAAGGATTTAGACAACTTTGTAACATGCAGAGAACAGCATTCACAGAGAAACCAAAGACTGGAACGGAGGGAAGTCAGGGGGGTGGGTGGGTTTTGTGGGGGGGGAGGGAGGAAACAGAGGGGAAATTAAGCATGACATGTTTTTGGATAATATGTTTCGTTTAAATCTTTAATAAAAATTATACAAAAAAAAAAGAAAAAAGAAAATCCAATGCTCCCACGGGCATTGAAAAGTTAATGACCCCCGCCGTAGCAGAGTGCAACTCTTGCCAGTTATGTGACATTTCCACCCACCCATTCATTGTACTTCTGAGCTGGCCTTTTTCCAAGTCAGGGAAACTTAGAGAGTCCCATCCACAGAGGGCAGAGATGATGGGAGGCGAGAAGGCAAGAGTCAGGGGTTTTGAGGAGAGCCCTTTGGCAGCACATGGGTTTGCATAGGCGCGCATGCACCCAGTCTGAGCCCCTGTAAGCATTGCTGGCTCATGTTCCGGCTCTGGCATTTGAAGCAACTTCGTAAACTCCTCGTGGTTTTTGATTATTCCGGCTGTGGCCGGAGAATGCAAAGCACCAGAGAGCCAGCCATCTTAGCCATTTTGTGTCTTCCGTTAACCTGCCCTAAAGGCTGTAAAGGCAGCCTCTTCATCTTTTCCTTTTCGCTCGCCTCCCGAGTGACATTAAAGCCATGCAAATAGTTCCTATAGCAACAGGCTCTTTTACCTCTGACGCAAAGGCTCCAAATCATGGGCGATTCTCTTCTCTTCCTATTCAGATTTTATCTTCTCCCAACTGTTGCGATCCTCTCTTTCATCCAACGTCATGTCTGCCGATGGGGAGTTTGCACTCCACACATGCTCTAAATGCCCCAGTGGCGCATGCTTTATATTTGTTGTAGGCAAATGCATTTCAGAGGGTTGGACTGGATGACCTTTGGAGTCCCTCCCAAAACATACACAGAAGTTAAATTCTATTAAGTTCAGTGGGACCTTGCTGTGCTTTTACCTGGGAGTTGGACATAATAATAATAATAATAATAATAATATTTATACCCCGCCTTCCTGGCCAGAGCCGGGCTCAGGGCGGCTAACACCAGTAAAATTACAATAAAAACATAATGGGGGGGGACACACAAGAAGACAATTTAAAATACGGGTTAAAATGCAATTTAAAATGCAGCCTCGTTTTAAAAGTAGCCCATAGATCAAAACCATAAGGGGAGGGAAACATAAGGGTCAGACTGAGTCCAAACCAAAGGCCAGGTGGAACAGCTCTGTCTTGCAGGCCCTGCGGAAAGATGTCAAGTCCCGCAGGGCCCTGGTCTCTTGTGACAGAGCGTTCCACCAAGTCGGGGCCAGTACTGAAAAGGCCCTGGCCATAGTTGAGACCAATCGAATCACCTTGCGACTTGGGACCTCCAAAATGTTGTCATTTGTGGACCTTAAGGTCCTGCACGGGGCATACCAGGAGAGGCGGTCCTGTAAGTACAAGGGTCCTAGGCCGCATAGGGCTTTAAAGTTCAAAACCAGCACTTTAAACCTGACCCTGTACTCCACCAGGAGCCAGTGCAGTTGGTAAAGCATCGGATGAATGTGATCCCACGGCAAGGACCCCGTAAGGAGTCTCGCCGCGGCATTCTGCACCCGCTGGAGTTTCTGGGTCAGCTTCAAGGGCAGCTCCACGTAGAGCGAGTTCCAATAATCAAGCCTTTGTTAGCATCTGTGTAGGCGGGTATAGGATCACACTCCTGTTTGCGTTCAGTAGGACTTAAAAGCATTTCCCTTGGGCAGGAAGTCCAGTTTCCTTCGCTAGTTGACTCTGGTTCCTAAGCGTCACCTTCTTAAGAGCAGCCCTGTCAGAACCCAGGCATAATAACCGCTGCTAATACGATGGCGATGTTTCCGTCTGTTATTTCCGCACCAGGGTATAAGAGTCATGTATTGAATTCATTCTCACAACAACCTTGCGAGGTAGGCAGTTTTGTAGCCATTTCACAGAGAGTGATTGGCCTTTCCCGACCTGGTGTGCTCATGAGAACACCTGGTCCAGCTCCCTGTTCTCACAAGGCCACAGCTAGCTGCCTGTGGGAAACCAGTGAGTAGGATTCATGCATAAGAACCATTCTCCTGTCCTGAGGCTTCCAGCAACGGGTGTTCGGAAGCACAGCAAAGTTTATATTGTTTGATTGTGTTTTTATATTTTTGCTGGAAGATGCCCTGAGTGACTGGGGGAAGCCGGTCAAATGGATGGCAAACAACAACAACAACAACTTTTTATTATTTATACTCAGGGTAGCTTCCCACACATATAAAAACATAATAAAATGCCAAACATTAAAAGTTTCCTGATACAGGGCTGCCTTCAGATGTCTTGTAAAAGTTGTGTACAGTGGTGCCTCTGGTTGCGAACGGGATTCGTTCCGGAGCCCCGTTCGCAATGTGAGCAGAACGCAACCCACGTCTGCGGGTCGCGATTTGCCGCTTCTGCGCATGGGTGTGACATCATTTTGAGAACATGCGCGAGTGGAGAAACCCCGATGTAACCCTTTCCGGTACTTCCAGGTCGCCGCGGGACGCAACCTGAAAATAATAATAATAATAATAATAATAATAATAATAATAATTTATTATTTGTGCCCCGCCCATCTGGCTGGGTTTCCCCAGCCACTCTGGGCGGCTTCCACAAAGACCAAAAATACACTAATATGTCATACATTAAAAACTTCCCTGAACAGGGCTGCCTTAAGATGTCTTCTGAATGTCAGGTAGTTGTTTATCTCTTTGACATCTGATGGGAGGGCGTTCCACAGGGCGGGCGCCACTACCGAGAAGGCCCTCTGCCTGGTTCCCTGTAGCTTTGCTTTTCGAAATGAGGGAACCGCCAGAAGGCCCTCGGCGCTGGACCTCAGTGTCCGGGCAGAACGATGAGGGTGGAGACGCTCCTTCAGGTATACTGGGCCGAGGCCATTTAGGGCTTTAAAGGTCAACACCAACACTTTGAATTGTGCTCGGAAATGTACTAGGAGCCAATATAGGTCTTTCAAGACTGGTTTTATGTGGCGCCGGTGGCCACTCCCAGTCACCAGTCTAGCTGCTGCATTCTGGATTAGTTGCAGTTTCCGGGTCACCTTCAAAGGTAGCCCCACGGAGAGCGCATTGCAGTAGTCCAAGCGAGAGATAACCAGAGCATGCACCACTCTGGCGAGACAGTCTGCGGGCAGGTAGGGTCTTAGCCTGCGTACCTGATGGAGCTGGTAGACAGCTGCCCTGGATACAGAATTGACCTGCACCTCCATGGACAGCTGTGAGTCCAAAATGACTTCCAGGCTGCGCACCTGGTCCTTCAGGGGCACAGATACCCCATTCAGGATCAGGGAGTCCCTCACACCTGCCCACCTCCTGTCCCCCCAAAACAGTACTTCTGTCTTGTCAGGATTGAACCTCAAAGACGTAACCTGAACCGAACGTAACAAGAGGTATGACTTTAGTTCTAAATCTCCTTGGCATCTGATGGGAGGGCATTGTACCGGGAGGGCACCACTGCCGAGAAGGCTCTCTGCCTGTTGTTGTTGTTGTTATTGTTGTTGTTGCTTCCAACTGTGGTGGCAGAGCATAGCCAAAACAGCTAGCACCCACCGATTACCTCTCCTTTATGAATTTGTCCAGTCCTCTTCTAAAGCCATTAAAGTTGGCAACCATCATTGCCTCCTGTGGCAGAGAGTTCCACAGATTAATTCTTCGCACTGCATGAAGACACCCTTTATTTATCTGTCCCGAATCTTCCAACATTCTGCTTCATTTGCTGCCAACGAGCCCTGGCATTAGGAGAGAAACTTTTCTCCATTCACTCGCTCTGGAGGCCTTTGAAGTCCCCATCAGTCACACAGCCAGAGCTGATGGACAGGAGTTGTGCTGCACAACGTGTGGAGGGCACCAGGTTGGCAAAGGTTGCCTCGCGGGAAGGGAGTTGGCCAGAGGCAAACGTAATCTGCCCTTTGTACTCGCTTGGAAGGCCTCCCTGCCCTCCCTCCCTGCCCCCCCGCCTTCTCCAGACACTTTCTGGTGATGGACATGACAGAGGAGCCAGAGCAGCTCCATCCCTGGTCGCCAGGGTTACCTGCCTCCATCTGGCTGCGCACAGGAAATTAAAACCACCCGCGATAGCATATCACTATCAGCCCTAAATGGCAGCTCCTAGGCATCGGTGGCCGTGTTTGCGAGAGGTGTCTGTGCGTCCGTGTTTGTGTCAGAGGAAGCTGTAAAAGAAAAGGCGTCTAGCACAGCTGTAGGTTTTTTTATATTAGCTTTTGAGTCACTGGGAGACGGGGCGGGGAGCTTTTGATCGGCTTCGAGGGTGGGGACCGCTGCCCGAAAGCCCTTTTGTTCTTATTCAGATTGGCTTTTGCACAGGAACTGTGTAAAAAGTACAAAATGAAGTCCAGCTACGCCTTTATGCACAGACTTCCTTTCCTTCCCTCCTTCCCGAGGGCAGGTAACCCAGAGTGGGAAAATTGCAGACGGCAGAAAATGTGCGATTCTGGTGCCGCCTCTTTCGACTTTCCCCATCTGCTTTACAGTTTGTTTGTTTGTTTGTTTGCTTGCTTGCTTGCTTGCTTTCACAATAGTCGTGCAAGGGAGGCAGCTGCTGTACCCATTTTACAGATGAAGAACTGAAACAAAGATGTTACTCAGTGAGGTCATGGCAGCCTCGTTGCAAAAGGGATGCTTTTTAGAGCATCTACCTTTGCATGCCTGGTCCCAGGTGCAATCGCTGCCATTTCCCAGGAAGGACTTAGGAGAGTGCCCTGTCTGAAATAATAATAATAATAATAATAATAATAATAATAAATTTATTATTTATACCCCACCCATCTGGCTGAGTCTCCCCAGCCACTCTGGGTGGCTTCCAGCAAAATACTAAAATACAATAATTCATCAAATATTAATAGCTTCCCTAAACAGGGCTGCCTTCAGATGTCTTCTAAAAGTCAGATAGGTGTTTATTTCCTTGACGTCTGTATCGTTCCAATTTTAGTATATGTACTGCCAAAGCGAGCACAGTTATTTCCTTGAAATCTGATGGGAGGGCATTCCACAGGGCTGGTGCCACTACCAAGAAGGCCCTCTGCCTGGTTCCCTGTAACCTCACTTCCCGCAGGGAGGGAACCACCAGAAGGCCCTTGGCGCTGGACCTCAGTGTCCAGGCAGAACAATGGGGCTGGAGATGCTCCTTCAGGTATAGTGGGCAGGGTTGCTGCCAGTCAGGTTCGATAATACTGACCTGGGTGGGTCTGTGGTCTGACTCTGTATAAGGCAGCATCCTATGCTCCTAAGCTGAGACACAAACTAAAATCTCACAGATCCAAGTCTAACGGTGCTCCTGGATCCTTTGCTGTCGCTCGAGGCTCAGGTGGCATCGGTGGCCCGGAGTGCCTTCTATCAGCTTTGGCTGGTGGCCCAGCTACGCCCCTATCTGGACAGGGATAGCCTAACTACTGTTGTCTGTGCTCTGGTAACCTCAAGGTGGTTGTTGTTGTTGTTTAGTTTAGGAAGGGCCAGAGCTTGGGATACAAGGAGACTGCAATTTCTGTCCTGTCCTGCTTTCGTTGCAATATACACTGTTTCCATTCAGCTACAGTTCGGTTTCTGCTAAAACCATTTTGCTACCCACTGAAGTTACCATAATGAATTGTGTCGGGCAAGTCAACCAAGCCTTATGAGGAACGGTTGAAGGAGTTGGGTATGCTTAGCCTGGACAAAAAAAGACTGGGAAGCGATAGAATTGTTGTTGCTGTTTAGTCATTTAGTCGTGTCCGACTCTTCGTGACCCCCTGGACCAGAGCACGCCAGGCACTTCTGTCTTCCACTGCCTCCTGCAGTTTGGTCAAACTCATGCTGGTAGCTTCGAGAACACTGTCCAACCCTCTCATCCTCTGTGGTCCCCTTCTCCTTCTGCCCTCCATCTTTCCCAGCATCAGGGTCTTTTCCAGGGAGTCTTCTCTTCTCATGAGGTGGCCAAGTCTTGGAGCTTCAGCTTCACGATCTGTCCTTCCAGTGAGCACTCAGGGCTGATTTCCTTCAGAATGGAGAGGTTTGATCTTCTTGCAGTCCATGGGACTCTCCAGAGTCTCCTCCAGCACCACAATTCAAAAGCATCAATTCTTCGGCGATCAGCCTTCTTGATGGTCCAGCTCTCACTTCCATACATCACTACTGGGAAAACCATAGCTTTAACTATACGGACCTTTGTTGGCAAGGTGATGTCTCTGCTTTTAAGATGCTGTCTAGGTTTGTCATTGCTTTTCTCCCAAGAAGCAGGCGTCTTTTAATTTCGTGGCTGCTGTCACCATCTGCAGTGATCATGGAGCCCAAGAAAGTAAAATCTCTTACTGCCTCCATTTCTTCCCCTTCTATTTGCCAGGAGGTGATGGGACCAGTGGCCATGATCTTCGTTTTTTGATGTTGAGCTTCAGACCATATTTTGCGCTCTCCTCTTTCACCCTCAATAAAAGGTTCTTTAATTCCTCCTCACTTTCTGCCATCAAGGTTGTGTCATCTGCATATCTGAGGTTGTTGATATTTCTTCCGGCAATCTTAATTCCGGTTTGGGATTCATCCAGCCCAGCCTTTCGCATGATGAATTCTGCATATAAGTTAAATAAGCAGGGAGACAATATACAGCCTTGTTGTACTCCTTTCCCAATTTTGAACCAATCAGTTGTTCCATATCCAGTTCTAACTGTAGCTTCTTGTCCCACATAGAGATTTCTCAGGAGACAGATGAGGTGATCAGGCACTCCCATTTCTTTAAGAACTTGCCATAGTTTGCTGTGGTCGACACAGTCAAAGGCTTTTGCATAGTCAATGAAGCAGAAGTAGATGTCTTTCTGGAACTCTCTAGCTTTCTCCATAATCCAGCGCATGTTTGCAATTTGGTCTCTGGTTCCTCTGCCCCTTCGAAATCCAGCTTGCACTTCTGGGAGTTCTCGGTCCACATACTGCTTGAGCCTTCCTTGTAGAATTTTAAGCATAACCTTGCTAGCGTGTGAAATGAGTGCAATTGTGCGGTAGTTGGAGCATTCTTTGGCACTGCCTTTCTTTGGGATTGGGATGTAGACTGATCTTCTCCAATCCTCTGGCCACTACTGAGTTTTCCAAACTTCCTGGCATATTGAGTGTAGCACCTTAACAGCATCATCTTTTACAAATTTAAATAGTTCAGCTGGAATACCATCACTTCCACTGGCCTTGTTATTTGCAGTGCTTTCTAAGGCCCATTTGACTTCACTCTCCAGGATGTCTGGCTCAAGGTCAGCAACCACACTACCTGGGGTGTACGAGACATCCATATCTTTCTGGTATAATTCCTCTGTGTATTCTTGCCACCTCTTCTTGATGTCTTCTGCTTCTGTTAGGTCCTTACCACTTTTGTCCTTTATTATGGTAATCTTTGTACGAAATGTTCCTTTCATATTTCCGATTTTCTTGAACAGATCTCTGGTTCTTCCCATTCTGTTGTTTTCCTCTATTTCTTTGCATTGCTCGTTTAAGAAGGCCTTCTTGTCTCTCCTTGCTATTCTTTGGAAATCTGCATTCAATTTCCTGTATCTTTCACTATCTCCCTCGCATTTTGCTTGCCTTCTCTCCCCGCTCTTAGGAAGGCCTCGTTGGACAGCCACTTTGCTTTCTTGCATTTCTTTTTCATTGGGATGGTTTTAGTTGCTGCCTCCTGTATAATGTTGCGAGCCTCCACCCATAGTTCTTCAGGCACTCTGTCCACCAAATCTAAATCCTTAAACCTGTTCCTCACTTCCACTGTGTATTCATAAGGGATTTGGTTTAGATTGTATCTTACCGGCCCAGTGGTTTTTCCTACTTTCTTCAGTTTAAGCTTGAATTTTGCTATAAGAAGCTGATGATCTGAGCCACAGTCAGCTCCAGGTCTTGTTTTTGCTGACTGTATAGAGCTTCTCCATCTTTGGCTGCAGAGAATATAATCAATCTGATTTCGATGTTGCCCATCTGGTGATGTCCATGTGTAGAGTCGTCTCTTGTGTTGTTGGAAAAGTGTGTTTGTGATGACCAGCTTGTTCTCTTGGCAGAACTCTATTAGCCTTTGCCCTGCTTCATTTTGATCTCCAAGGCCAAACTTGCCAGTTGTTCCTTTTATCTCTTGATTCCCTACTTTAGCATTTCAATCCCCTATAATGAGAAGAACATCCATCTTTGGTGTCACTTCTCTAAGGTCTTGTAAGTCTTCATAGAATTGGTCAATTTCAGTTTCTTCAGCACCAGTAGTTGGCGCATAAACTTGGATTACTGTGATGTTAAAAGGTCTGCCTTGGATTCGTATCGAGATCATTCTATCATTTTTGAGATTGCATCCCAGTACAGCTTTCGCCACTCTTTTGTTGACTATGAGGGCCACTCCATTTCTTTTACGGGTTTCTTGCCCACAGTAGTAGATATGATAGTCATCCGAACTGAATTTGCCCATTCCCGTCCATTTTAGTTCACTGATGCCCAGGATGTCAATATTTATTCTTGCCATCTCATTTTTGACCACATCCAACTTACCCAGGTTCATGGTTCTTACATTCCAGGTTCCTATGCAATATTTTTCTTTACAGCATTGGACTTTCCTTTCGCTTCCAGGCATATCTGCAACTGAGCGTCCTTTCGGCTTTGGCCCAGCCGCTTCATCAGCTCTGAATCTACTTGTACTTGTCCTCTGCTCTTCCCCAGTAGCATGTTGGACGCCTTCCGACCTGAGGGGCTCATCTTCCAGCATCATAACTTTTATATGCCTGTTGTCTTTGTCCATGGGGTTTTCTTGGCAGGGATACTGGAGTGGCTTGCCAGTTCCTCCTCCAGGTGGATCACGTTTGGTCAAAACTCTCCACTATGACCTGTCCATCTTGGGTGGCCCTGCACGGCATAGTTCATAGCTTCTCTGAGTTCTTCAAGCCCCTTCGCCACGGCAAGGCAGTGATCCATGAAGGGGCAAGATTACATTACCGCAATGCATTAAATGTAGGGCTGCCCCTGAAGACTGCTTGGAAATTTTGGCTGGTGCAGAATTTGGAAGCCAGGTTGCTCAAGATGGTGTGAGCATTTATCACCGATTCTGCCTGCCACTTAGTTTCCAGGCCCAATTCAAAGTGCTGGTTATGACCTATAAAGCCTCAGGACCTCAATTCCTCAAGGACCACCTCTCCCCATAAGAATAGTTCCAGACCCTGCAATCATCATCAGAGGCCCTTCTTTGTGTGCCACCTCCTCCTCGAGAAGTCCGGAGGTTTGCAACACAAGAAAGAGCCTTTTCTGTGATGGCCCCCTGTTTGTGGAATGCTGTCCCCAGAGAGACTCACCTGGTGCTATCATTACATGTCTTTAGGTGCCAGGTGGAAACATTCCTCTTTACCCATACCTTCGGCCGTTAAATAATCTATGGCCTGTTAAATGGGGGTGGGGGGGGAGGACTGTTATTATTTAAGCTGTATTTTAGTTAACTGTTTTTGATTTTTTCTTTTACACTTTATTGTAATTTATTTTTGGTGTTAGCCGCCCTGAGCCCGGCCCTGGCCGGGGAGGGCAGGTTATAAATAAAACATCATCATCATCATCATCATTATTATTATATTTTATTATTCTGTGTTAGAGGGGTTTTTTCTTCTGGTGGCAGACGACAGAACCACGAGACCGGTGTAAAACACTCAAGCAAAGGTTTTATTACAGCTATACAAAAACAAGAACACAAAGCATGTGGCTGTTCTCTCTTTGCAGGCAAATTCAAACTGCAACTTCTCCTCCTTTTGTACTCATCACTAGCTGTACCTAATCAGCCTAGAAAACCTCTCACAGAAACCGTTCTTAAAGTTACAATCATCTTCTCTGTTTCTTTGCATAATGACTCCTAACATTCTGTTCATTATGTTCTTAATGTTGTGCACTTCCATGGGACCTTTGGATAAAGGGCAGTCTATAAACCAAGCAAACAATAACTAAATACAGTGGTACCTCGGGTTACAGACGCTTCAGGTTACAGGCGCTTCAGGTTACAGACTCCGCTAACCCAGAAATATTACCTCAGGTTAAGAACTTTGCTTCAGGATGAGAACAGAAATCGTGCTCCGGCGGCGTGGCGGCAGCGGGAGGCCCCATTAGCTAAAGTGGTGCTTCAGGTTAAGAACAGTTTCAGGTTAAGAACGGACCTCCGGAACAAATTAAGTTCTTAACCTGAGATACCACTGTAACTCTGTAGTCGCAGGCCCAGGTAATTTAGCTCATGTATATTCCTCTATGAGGACTAGACGCTTGTTTTAAAAGGGACGGGGTTTGTTCTGTCGGTGCAAGCATTTCAGTTTGTCAGGCAGAACAATCTCACTTCTCTTCCCTTGCACACTGAGCCAATTGTGGGGGGCATTGCGTGTGTGTTTGTGTGGCGGCGGCAGGGAGTAGAAGCAGAAAGCCCCATTTGCAAACAGAAGTAATAGCCCAGGGCTTCCAATGATTACAGTATTTTTCGCTCTATAGGACGCACTTTTTCCCCTCCAAAAATTAAGGGGAAATGTGTGTGCGTCCTATGGAGTGAATGCAGGCTCCTTGGCTTCAGCGAAAGCAACGCGAAGCCTCCGGAGCGTGGAGGGAGCGCTCCCTCTGCGCTTCGGAGGCTTCGCGTTGCTATCGCTGAAGCCTGGAGAGCGAGAGGGGTCGGTGCGCACCGACCCCTCTCGCTCTCCAGGCTTCAGGGATAGCCGCCTGAAGCCTTTGAAGTGCAGCGGGACTTGCGCTGCGCTCCAAAGACTTCGGGTTCCTTTTGCTGAAGCCGGGAGAGCAAGACTCTCCCGGCTTCAGCAGAGAGGGAGAGCTGCGCAGCTCCCCTTCAGCCAAACGAGAGGAGAAATGGAAGGGGCTCCGTTTCTCCTGCCGCTTCGCTGAAGGGGCGCTGAGCAGAGAGGGGGAGATTTTTTTTTCTTGTTCTCCCCCTCTAAAACAAGGTGCGTCCTATGGTCCGGTGCATCCTATAGAGCGAAAAATATGGTAGATGAATCTCTCCCATAAAACTGGGCCAGCCAGATGCAGAAATCTGTGCCTGTGTCACAGAAGTACAAATGTGCAGAATTATAATATATAATTCGGCCAAACAAGGATCGATACCAGATATTTGGTTTGGCGACGACCCAGTTGGGAACAGCGAGGGCGGAAGCAGTCAAAAAACACCGTTCTTCCTTCACCGTGATCAGTAGCAACTTGGTAACTACTAAGGAGAGCCAGTGTGGTGTAGTGGTTAAGAGCGGTGGACTTGTAATCTGGTGAACCGGGTTCGCTTCCCCGCTCCTCCACATGCAGCTGCTGGGTGACCTTGGGCCAGTCACACTTCTCTGAAGTCTCTCAGCCCCACTCACCTCACAGAGTGTTTGTTGTGGGGGAGGAAGGGAAAGGAGAATGTTAGCTGCTTTGAGACTCCTTAAAGGTAAAGGGACCCCTGACCATTAGGTCCAGTCGTGGCCGACTCTGGGGTCGCTTTACTGGCCGAGGGAGCCGGTGTACAGCTTCCGGGTCATGTGGCCAGCATGACTAAGCCACTTCTGGTGAACCAGAGCAGCGCACGGAAACGCCTTTTACCTTCCCGTCGGAGCGGTACCTAGGGTAGTGATAAAGCGGGATATCAAATCCAAACTCCTCCTCTTCCTCCTCCTCTTCTCCTCCTTCTTCTTCTTAATGTGCTTTGCTTAATTTCAGATGTACTAAACGATGCCATATTTGATGAGGATCACGACGAAATGGTGATCGTGAAGGACATAGACATGTTCTCGATGTGCGAGCACCACCTGGTTCCATTTGTGGGAAAGGTAATTTTTGACTTCCATCACCCTTTCTCACTTTTTTTAAAAAAAACCAACCACGCACACAGAATGAGCAGGCGTATGAATCTGAATGTTTGGTTCACCAAAGCCTTTAGGGATTCCATCAGCAAGTTATCGCAGAATCGCAGAATCAAAGAGCCGAAAGTTACCCGCAGGGGTCATCTCTTCCATCTCTCCCCTGTCATTCAGGGATCCCAGCTAAAGCAGCCATGGCAGATGGATGAAAAGGAGTGAAAAAATGGAAAAGTAACACAGGCAACGTCTACGTGTCTGGGTAGACTTGTCTGAACAAAAATGTTTTAAGCGGGTGCCTTCTTGATGCATGTTTGTTGTGGGATTAGCTGTGTGAAGATGATTGTCATTGTCTCATTGATCTTTAATAATAATAATAATAATAATAATAATAAATTTTCTTTATACCCCGCCCTCCCCGGCCAAAGCCGGGCTCAGGGCGGCTAACACCAGTAAAATTACAGTAAAAACATAATAGGAAAAAAACCTAATTTAAAATACAGGTTAAAATGCAATTTAAAATGCAGCCTCATTTTAAAAGTAGCCCATAGAGCAAATCCAAAAGGGGAGGGAAACATAAGGATCAGACTGAGTCCAAACCAAAGGCCAGACGGAACAGCTCTGCCTTGCAGGCCCTGCGGAAAGATGTCAAGTCCCGCAGGGCCCTAATCTCTTGTGACAGAGCGTTCCACCAAGTCGGGGCCACTGCTGAAAAGGCCCTGGCCCTAGTTGAGATCAATCTAACTTCCTTGAGGCTCAGGACTTCCAAAATGTTGTCATTTGTGGACCTTAAGGTCCTCCGCGGGGCATACCAGGAGAGGCGGTCCCGTAGGTATGTGGGTCCTAGGCCGCATAGGGCTTTAAAGGTCAAAACCAGCACCTTAAACCTGACCCTGTACTCCACCGGGAGCCAGTGCAGTTGGTAAAGCACTGGATGAATGTGATCCCACAGCAAGGACCCCGTAAGGAGCCTTGCAGCGGCATTCTGCACCCACTGGAGTTTCTGGGTCAGCTTCAAGGGCAGCCCCGTGTAGAGCGAATTACAGTAGTCAAGCCTGGAGGTGACCATTGCATGGATCACTGTGGCCAAATCAGGGCGAGAAAGGTAAGGGACCAACTGCCTGATATGGCGGAGATGAAAAATGCCACCTTTGCTGGGGCTGCAACCTGCACCTCCATGGAAAGGAAGGCATCAGAGGTTACACCTAAGAAGGCGCTGGCACTAATTGAGCCCCCGCATGATTGATTTGCTTGTAAATCCCGCCTTTTCCCTCCCAGGAGCTCAAGGAGACATACATGGTTCTCCCTCTCCCCATTCAATCCACACAACAACCCTGTGAGGTAGGCTAGGCTGAGAGGAGGCAGTGATCAGGCCCAAAGTCACACCTAGTGAGCTTCATGGCTGAGTGGGGGGATTTGAACCCTGGTCTCTCCCAGGTTCCAGTCTGAAACTCTTAACCCAGCGTTTCCCAAACTTGAGTCTTCTGCTGGTTTGGACTACAACTCCCATCATCCCTAGCTAGCGGGACCAGTGGTCAGGGATGATGGGGGTCGTAGTTCAAAAAAACCTGGAGAAACAGCTTGGGTAACCCTACTCTAACCACTACAACACAGGGCTGTCTTTCTGGTCCTCATGGAACACTACTTGGGTAGTGTTTGGTATTGTGTGAGAAGTAAGTGTTGACCTTAGCCACATGGGGGCAAGCCAAGGGCTTCATTGCCTGTTAGTTTTGCCTGCGGCTCTGTTTCACCTGCGGGACACAGGTGGCGCTGTGGGTTAAACCACAGAGCCTAGGGCTTGCCGATCAGAAGGTCGGCAGTTCGAATCCCCGCAACAGGGTGAGCTCCCGTTGCTCGGTCCCTGCTCTTGCCAACCTTGCAGTTCGAAAGCAGGTCAAAGTGCAAGTAGATAAATAGGTACCTCTCTGGCGGGAAGGTAAACGGCGTTTCCGTGCGCTGCTCTGGTTCGCCAGAAGCGGCTTAGTCATGCTGGCCACATGACCCGGAAGCTGTACGCCGGCTCCCTCGGCCAATAAAGCGAGATGAGCGCCGCAACCCCAGAGTCGGCCACAACTGGACCTAATGGTCAAGAGTCAGGAGTCCTGTTTCACCTGCGGCTGAATTTTCTGCAAATTTTAAGACATCGCTGCCGAATTTGCTGCCCAGAATTGCCACCCGGAACCGAGCGAATGCTGGTGCAGAGCTCAGCACTGATCTAGCCGGCAACTGGCATCTGGGTCATAGCTGTCAACGTTTCCCCTTTTTAAAGGAAAATTTCCTTATTCCGAACAGGATTCCTCGCAAGAAAGGGGAAAAGTTGACAGCTATAGTCTGGGTGGGTGGGGCTCAGTGTTGGCAGACAGCTTTTCCAGTGCTGGATTCAGAAACCCAGACTCAGGAGCCAAGGAAACCCGAATTGCGTAAAAGAGGATAAATGGCACGAGTTGAAATTGCGTCTCTTCTGTCATTTAGTACAATTTGCTTTGCTTCAAAGCGAGTTTTGCAAGGAAGGGGGAGGTGGTAAGCAGAGGAAGGCTCAAGCTGTTTCCAGGACGCGAAAGCGTAAGTTGCTTGTTGCACATTCAAGAACCAGGTTTTTAGAAAGTGGGTGATGTGTGTGTGGAGAGAAAGAGAGAGAGAGTCTCTCTGATGTCTCCCTGCAAATCCTCCCGGTGCTGTTTCTGGAGACCTTTCCTTGCCGAAGTCTTTGCCGACTTCCCTCTGGAAAGGTTGCCCCCACTGTCTTTGCACTGGTCTCGCCTCCTTCATCATAGCTTCTGACATTTCATTTCAAAGCCCTTCGTACCAGCAGCCTTCCTCGAGGGCAGACGTCTGTGCATTAAACCTGATTACCCTGGACATAAGCTCTGATCTCTTCCAGGTCACACGAACCGTCAGTTAAAAAGGCAGCATCGCAGGAGCACAGAACCTGCTGTGAGCAATAAACTTCTGCTTTATTCCGCCCCCCTCTGTTTTTTATATTTTTTTAAAAAGAGAAGCTTTTTCCAAAAGATTCAAAAGTTCTGGATGCTGGGAGTTCAGAATCTAATCTGTGCTCAGATTTATTATTATTATTTGTTATTATTATTAATACTACTACACAATCAGGAAAGAGCTGGGGAAGCAAAAGGACTCTTCCCCCATCACTGTGGGAGGAAATAATAATAATAATTTATTATTTGTACCCCGCCCATCTGGCTGGGTTTCCCCAGCCACTCTGGGCGGCTTCCACAGAGACCAAAAATACACTAAAATGTCACACATTAAGAACTTCCCTGAACAGGTAGAGAGGAAGCAGGATAGTGCCCCAAATCCCTGGCAAGGCCTTGAGCCTTCTAGCATGATTATGGTTTAATTACTGTCTACCAGCTTCACCTGGTACGCAGGCTGAGACCCTATCTGCCCGCGGACTGTCTCGCCAGAGTGGTGCATGCTCTGGTTATCTCTCGCTTGGACTACTGCAATGCGCTCTATGTGGGGCTACCTTTGAAGGTGACCCGGAAACTGCAACTAATCCAGAATGTGGCAGCTAGACTGGTGACTGGGAGCGGCCCCTGAGACCACATAACACCGGTCCTGAAAGACCTACATTGGCTCCCAGTACATTTCCGAGCACAATTGAAAGTGTTGGTGCTGACCTTGAAAGCCCTAAACGACCTCGGTCCAGTATACCTGAAGGAGCGTCTCCACCCCCATTGTTCTGCCCAGACACTGAGGTCCAGCGCCGAGGGCCTTCTGGCGGTTCCCTCACTGTGAGAAGTGAGGTTACAGGGAACCAGGCAGAGGGCCTTCTCGGTGGTGGCGCCCGCCCTGTGGAATGCCCTCCCATCAGATGTCAAGGAAATAAAAAACTACCTGACTTTTAGAAGGCACCTGAAGGCAGCCCTGCTTAGGGAAGTTTTTAATGTTTGATGTTTTATTGTGCTTTTAATATTCTGTTTGGAGCTGCCCAGTGTGGCTCAAAATAAATTATTATTTTTATTGTTGTTATTATTATTATTATTATTGCTTACACGACATGGTCAGGGTGCATTGTAGCCAAAAAGCGGGGCAGGTCCATGCCTCAATGAACTTAACAATCCAAAATGAAACACTCTGGGACTGGGACCAAGAGGACCAGAGATACAATAACAATTGGAATAAATTTACTGAATATATAAAGGAGAACAACAAAAATATTAAGACACTAGCAGGACTAGAATAACACCTCCAATGTAATACAGTAGAGTTATGACAATAATATACGCAAAAAGTATGTGATGTATATACCAGCGGTCGGGAGGGAGGGAAGTCAGGACTTGGCAGAGTCAAAGGGATTATAATGTGACAATAAGGATTTTTGGAAAAAGAATTAATAATAATAATAATAATTTATTATTTGTACCCTGCCCATCTGGCTGGGTTTCCCCAGCCACTCTGGGCGGCTTCCACAAAGACCAAAAATACACTAATATGTCATACATTAAAAACTTCCCTGAACAGGGCTGCCTTAAGATGTATTCTCAATGTCAGGTAGTTGTTTATCTCTTTGACATCTGATGGGAGGGCGTTCCACAGGGTGGGCGCCACCACCGAGAAGGCCCTCTGCCTGGTTCCCTGTAGCTTTGCTTCTTGCAATGAGGGAACCGCCAGAAGGCCCTCGGCGCTGGACCTCAGCATCCGGGCAGAACGATGGGGGTGGAGACGCTCCTTCAGGTATACTGGGCAACAATTACATGTTGAAAACAATAAAAATTTATTTGCAAAATGAAACACTCTGGAAACGAGGCAGAGATAAACAGGGAATCAACATGCAAAGTGACTTTTTTTGTTTTTAGAAGATCACTTTTGTGCACAGGCTTAGTTATGGTCAGGCATGAGAAACGAGGGTGGAGGCTGTATTTGGCCCCATCTGCATTCCACATTAGAAGCAGTTTAGTACCACTTTAAACAATCGTGGCTTCCCCCAAAGTCTGAAACTCCAGAGAGCTGTTGCCAGTCAGTGCAGACAATATTGAGGAAAATGGGCCAGTGGTCCGACTCTGTCTAAGGCAGCTTCTTGCATCGCTCAGGCTACAGCCAAGAAGTCCTCAATGGCAACCACGATTGTGGATTTCTTTCTGGGGCTTGGCAGCAGCTGACTTCTGCTCTGGAAAAGAAGAGTTTTTTGGGGGGTATTTACTTTCTGCTCTCCAGCCAGAAAAGCCCCCAAACTTGGGCTCTGACGCTTGTTTTTGCTCTTTTCCTCCCTCGTTAAAATGATGGCACTGCGGCGCCCGTAAGATTATTCTCTTCTCCAGAGAAAGTACATTCTGTGGCTTTCCTAATTGTTATTGTTGTTTTTTTTCTTTCTAAGCAGTTCCAGCTAATTTGGCAGGGGACAATTTGTCCCTTCTGGCAGCTCCATGTTCAGTGGGGCTCTTCCTGATGCTTTGATCACACAGACACAACCACTGCCTGTGCCCCCCCCCTCTGGGTACCAGTTGCTGGGAGTCATCACAAGTAGAGGGGACTGTCTTTTGAACTCGGGTCCTGCTTGTGAGCTCTCCGTCGGGGCATCTGTGAGAACCCTGAATGAGACGGCCTTTGGGTCTGATCCAGCAGCCCAACTCTTCTTAGAGTCTTGAAGAAGCCTTGGCCTTTACATTTGGAAATAAAATAACATTAATAATAATAATCTAATTTAATAGCTCTTCTCTCTCTCCAGGAGACATAAGGGAAACGATTTACGTAATGGCGAAACTTACCAGAAGCATCAGAAATCAAGATAACAAACTTTTTATAAAAGAATGGAAATGGTTTATTGAATATTTACAGATAAATTGTGAACAGATAAAAACATTAGCAGGATTAATGAAATTACCTGCCGTTTTATAAGGGCATATATTTACAGTAGATATATAAGTGAGCAAGTTAAATGAACTTGAGTATGCAGAAGACATAAACAAATTAATTTAAGGAACCACAGGAAGAGGGGGAAGGAAGTCAAAATTCGGAAATGTTTAGTAAAACTAATGAAATGTATAGAGTTGAAAAATATAAATAAAAAAAGAAAGAAAGAAAGAAAGAAAGAAAGAAAGAAAGGAAGGAAGGAAGGATTTATGTAGTTCTGTGTAGGTATGAGATTTGCAGAGATTTTTTTAAAAAAAATCATTTGCTATTAAAGTTTTTCTTGCGTAACATTTACAGAGAATCTGCACACCTTTGTGAAGAAGGTTCTTGCAGTCCTTTGCGGTAAGCTGTGGCTGTTCAGGATAAGCACAGAAAGGCACAGAACCTTCTGCCTTATTCCACCCCCTTTTTTTTTAAAAAAAAAGCTTTTTCCAAAGGATGCAAAAGTTCTGGAGGCTGGGACTATCAATGGCTCTGAGTCCTGATGGCCAGGATCTGCCCTCCAGACCTGGAGGCAGTAATGATTCTGAAGACCAGTTTCTGCAAATCGCAGGAGGGGAGAGACGCTCTTGTTTTTGAATCCTGATTGCGGCTGTTCCACGGGCATTTGGTTGGCCACTGTGAGAATAGGTTGCTGGACCAGGTAGACTGCTGGCCTGATCCAGCAGTCTTTTATGTTCTTATGACCCATTGAAGTCCTCAGCTTTTAAAAAATCAGCTGCGTGCACCAGCGTGTCAAATGGATTTGTGTCGCCGTTCTTTGACCTCCAAGTACAGTGGACGCTGAGGTTGCGAACGTGATCCGTGCGGAAAGCATGTTCTCAACCCGCAGCGGCGCGTCTACGCACGCGCGGGTTGCGCTTCAGCACTTCTGCACATGCGCAAAGCGCAATTTAGTGCTTCTGCGCATGCACGACCGCCGAAACCCAGAAGTACCGTATTTTTCGCTCTATAAGATGCACTTTTCCCCTCCTAAAAAGTAAGGGGAAATGTGTGTGCGTCTTATGGAGGGAATGCAGGCTGCGCAGCTATCCCAGAAGCCAGAACAGCAAGAGGGATCGCTGCAGGGAGAGCCTTCATCCCACTGCCCTGAAGAGGCTTTGCACGGCTATCCCAGAAGCCAGAACAGCGGCGCAGCGATCCCTCTTGCTGTTCTGGCTTCTAGGATTCAGAATATTTTTTTTTCTTGTTTTCCTCCTCCAAGAACTAGGTGCGTCTTAAAGTCTGGTGCATTTTATAGAGCGAAAAATACAGTAACCTGTTCTGGTACTTCCGGGTTTCGGCGGTCCACAACCCAAAAAACACACACAACCTAAAGCGTCTGTAACCCAAGGTATGACTGTAAACTTCTCGGCTTTTTTGGAAGCCCACGTTGAATTATTTCTGTTTGCCCCTTCCCTTCTTTACAGGAAGGAGGGACAAACGGGAAGTGAGTTCACTGAGCATGTTGACTTTTCTGTTCCTTCTCGGCCTCTTAACACAGCTCGCATGGCCATTATTTGCTCTTCCCCGCACAGGCTAAAAAGCGCACTCCTGGGTCATGTTTGATCTGGCATGGATGCACATGCACGAACCCCCAGGTCTTGCCCGACAGCCACGCACCTGTGTGATCTGTTTCATGACTTTCCCCCATCCTTCCTCCCTCCCTCTCTTAGGTGCACATAGGCTACCTCCCTAACAAACAGGTGCTGGGACTCAGCAAGCTGGCAAGGTAAGAACCTCCAGGTAATTAAAGTAATGCTGTCTGCTAAATTGGATTGCCTTGAGTGGAGTGTGTTTAGCTGCATAATCTGACCCTTTTCCAAGTCCCAGGAAGCTGTGCTGTTGTGTGTTAGCCTCCTAGTCTGGGGCAAGACTCACCTGCGAAAAGGATGCTTGCAGCTGTGAGCCTCTGTGCAGAACACATCAGTTCATGACGGACGGATGCCCTGACAGACTGATTGTGTTAGTGCTACGCTGAATTCCTCCCTGTGCAATTTTGATAGGTGTGTTGTTGTTGTTTAGTCATTTAGTCGTGTCCAACTCTTCGTGACCCCATGGATCAGAGCACGCCAGGCACTCCTGTCTTCCACTGCCTCCCACAGTTTGGACAGACTCATGCTGGTAGCTTCGAGAGCACTGTCCCACCATCTCGTCCTCTGTCGTCCCCTTCTCCTTGGGCCCTCCATCTTTCCCAACATCAGGGTCTTTTCCAGGGAGTCTTCTCTTCTCATGAGGTGGCCAAAGTCTTGGAGCCTCAGCTTCAGGATCTGTCCTTCCAGTGAGCACTCAGGGCTGATTTCCTTCAGAATGGAGAGGTTTGATCTTCTTGCAGTCCATGGGACTCTCAAGAGTCTCCTCCAGCACCAGAATTCAAAAGCATCCATTCTTCGGCGATCAGCCTTCTTTATAGGCCAGCTTTCACTTCTATGCATCACTACTGGGAAAACCATAGCTTTTACTATATGGACCTTTGTTGGCAAGGTGATGTCTCTACTTTTTAAGATGCTGTCTAGGTTTGTCATTGCTTTTTGATAGGTGTATGTTGGCCAATATTACAGCCTTCTTTTTTTCAATTTTTAAAATTAATTTTCCAAATTTAAGTCGAACACACAAAAAGAAAAAACAATACAGTATTAGAAATACAAACATATAAACACCTTACTGTTAAAGGTCCAATTTAGTTTACATTGTTAAATGACATCCTCAAATCCCTCCTGACTGACTTTCAGTAAATCTCATTGTAACAGTTTTCCAATATCTATTTTCCAAAATTTTCTTATTCTAATGTCTATCTTCCTTCCTTTTCATAATATTTTCAGTCCATAATGTTATAAAATTCGACATATTTTAATCCTCGACCAATTTGGTATTTACAAGTGATTCTACTTATGTTATATTCGAATATCTAGCTAAATAGTCTGTCAGGGAACTGCCATCAGTGTCCGAGGAAGAGAGCAAGCTCCAAAGGGATCCCAGAGAGCGTCCCGGGAGTGGGAGAGGCAGCCCGTCTTCTGGGGAAGAGAATCAACGTAGCTCCAGTGGAGAAGGGGGGCAGATGGGGGAATCGGCGAGGCGGTCCCATGACTCCTTGCCGGGGACCAGCGGGGAGAGGAAGGGTCCTCCGCTGCCTACGCTCTCCTTGCGCAGGAGAGAGTAGGAGGAGACTTGGTGTCAAAGAGCTTCTTTGCTGGAAGAAGTTTAAGAAACGCCCACTGACGGATTCTGCCAGCGATTGAGACAGTCACGGGCGAGTGGCTGCCCGGACAGGAAAGGTTCACTCAGGCAACCCAGCCAGGTGTTTGCACTGGCTTACGCACGAGCAACCCCTAGAACCATTACATAGTCCTTCAATTTCTTCCACTCTTCTTGATGTTCCTCTTCCTTCTGATTGCGGATTATTCCAGTCAGGTCGGCCAGATGCTCAAAAAAGTCCAACCTCTTCATCTGCCATTCTTCCACTGTTGGTATTTCTTGCGATTTCCAATTTTTGGCTAACAAAATTATTGCTGTATTTGTGGCATACAAAAACGATCTAACATCTTTTTTGGGCAATTCCAGTCCTATTATTCCAAGTAGAAAGGCTTCTGGTTTCTTAATAAATGTCTATTTTAACACTTTTTTCAATTCATTATAAATCTTTTCCCAGAAACCTTTCACCTTGGGACACGTCCACCACATATGGTAAAAGTGCCTTCTTTTTCTCTACACTTCCAACATGAATTATCATTCGTATGGTAGATCTTTGCTAGTTTTACTGGGGTTAAGGACCATCTACTCTTTTCATAATATTCTCTTTTAGTACAGTGCATGCGATAAACTTAACCCCTTTCTTCCACAATCTTTCCCAATCTTCAAACATTATATTGTGTCCAACATCTCTTGCCCAATCTATCATCACAGATTTAACTTGTTCATCCTTTGTATGCCACTCCAACAATAAATTATACATTTTAGATAGGTTTTTGACATTAGGATCTAACAACTCCGTTTCCAATTTGGTTTTTCCAATGCAAAACCATTTTTCTTGTCAAGCTTATACAATTCATTGATCTGAACATTACAGCCTTTTTTGCCACTTGGTTAAAAGCTCGTCTGCCCAGGCACTGTGTTTTAGTTGAAACAGCTTTCAAGGCTCCTTAGTTTAATGTCCTTTCTTTGCCTTCCATCTTTTTGCTGTTGGTCATTACATATCCATAAGCTGTGCGGATAGTTTCATTTTTGTGAATTGTCCTGGGATTTTCTGATACAAATTCAATTATAAAAAAATGATTTAAAATAGCAAACTGCATGCTAACTTCTTTAAACAGTAAGCCCTCTGATCACAATTTGGACTGATACGGGACTCAGCTACATTAGTAAAAAGAAACAACCGACATTTCAAATTTGTTATAAACATGCAACACCAGATGGCGCCAGAGAGCAAAACAAATTTGGTGTGATTTTTACATAGCGTTTTTTTTCTTTTGATATAACGATTAAATTTCTGACTTGTTTATAGTGTTTCCCCCCTTGTCTGTAGATCCACTCGTGGGCTGCACTGCTTATGTTGATTCTCCTGCTTTAATCAGCATCTTGATTAAATCTGACCTTCCACATTTCTTTACAGCAACTGTTTGCTGGTTTGATTTGATTTCTATACCACCCAATATATTAGAAATGTCTCTAAGCAGTGTACAAAAAAACCGAAGCAGCAACAAGGAACTCAATTTTTTTTTGCTTACAAAAATACAGATGTAAATATAAAACTGTAACATTAATACAAAGTTACTAATATGTGTAAATCAATATCAATTCCTTTTCCTTCTAACCCATCCTCTGGGTTCCCACTAAGGGTCCAAACAGCCTCTCAGCTCACCCACAAAAATCTCACCATGACAAAAGTTCCTGGAAACAGTGGACATCACCCCAGATTTGCTTTTTATGGGCAGGCCATAAAAGGTAGATGGTTCTTACTGCCCATAGCTGCCATTCAGCGCAATCCCACACCCAGTTCCAGGTGGGAGAGGGGCTGTTGTGCTGTTGGCCTGGTTGGGGGTTCCCCAGAGGCGAATACTGGTGGTGCTGTGGTCTAAACCACTGAGCCTCTTGGGCTTGCCAATCAGAGGGTTGGCAGTCCGACTCTCCACCACGGGGTGAGCTCCCTTTTCGCTGTCCCAGCTCCTGCCAACCTAGCAGTTCGAAAGCATCCCAGCGCAAGTAGATAAATAGGTACCGCTCCGGCGGGAAGGTAAACAGCATTTCCATGCGCTCTGGTTTCCGTCCCGGTGTCCCATTGTGCGTTTCCGTGCACTCTGGTTTCCGTCCCGGTGTTCTGTTACGCCAGAAACGGTTCAGTCCTGCCGGCCACATGATCCGTAAAGCTGTCTGCGGACAAACTCTGACTCCCTTGGCCTGAAAGCGAGATGAGCGCCGCAACCCCAGAGTCGCCTTTGATTGGACATAACAGTCCAGGGGTCCTTTATTTTTATCTTTACGCCCGATATACCTGATTGGCCATGTTGGAGCATCACAAGAGACCTGCTGGATCAAGCCCATCTAGTCCAGCATCCTGCTCTCACAAGAGCTAGCCAAATGCCTGTGGGGAAACCCAGAAGCAGGATCTGACCACAAGAGCCTCCTCTCCTCCTGTGGTTTCAAGCAACTGGTGTTCAGAAGCACTGCTGCCTCTGGCCATGGAGGGAGAGCAGAGACCTTGATAGCTCCATGAAACAGGATGCAGTGCTGCTCTTTGGTTCCTCAAACCTTGTGGCAGCCTCTCGCCTCTTGTGGTGTAGTGGTTAAGAGCGGTGGACTTGTAATCTGGTGAACCGGGTTCGCTTCCCCGCTCCTCCACCTGCAGCTGCTGGGTGACCTTGGGCTAGTCACACTTCTCTGAAGTCTCTCAGCCTCACTCACCTCACAGAGTGTTTGTTGTGGGGGAGGAAGGGAAAGGAGAATGTTAGCTGCTTTGAGACTTCTCAGGGTAGTGATACTCCTTCATGGATCACTGCCTTGCCATGGCGAAGGAGCTTGAATAACTCAGAGAAGCTATGAGCTATCATCACTTCCTGGCAAAGAGAAGGGGAAGAAATGGAGGCAGTGAGAGTTTTTACTTTCTTGGGTTCCATGATCACTGCAGATGGTGACAGCAGCCACGAAATTAAAAGACGCCTGCTCCTTGGGAGAAAAGCAATGGCAAACCTAGACAGCATCTTAAAAAGCAGAGACATCACTTTGCCAACAAAGGTCCGTATAGTTAAAGCCATGGTTTTCCCAGTAGTGATGTATGGAAGTGAGAGCTGGACCATAAAGAAGGCTGATCGCCAAAGAATGGATGCTTTTGAATTATGGTGCTGGAGGAGACTCTGGAGAGTCCCATGGACTGCAAGAAGATCCAACCTCTCCATTCTGGAGGAAATCAGCCCTGAGCGCTCACTGGAAGGACAGATTGTGAAGCTGAGGCTCCAAGACTTTGGCCACCTCATGAGAAAAGAAGACTCCCTGGAAAAGACCCTGATGTTGGGAAAGATGGAGGGCACAAGGAGCAGGAGGTGACAGAGGACGAGATGGTTGGACAGTGTTCTGGAAGCTACCAACATGAGTTTGACCAAACTGTGGGAGGCAGTGGAAGACAGGAATGCCTGGCGTGCTCTGGTCCATGGGGTCACAAAGAGTTGGACACGACTAAACAACAACAACAAGGATAGTCATAAAGTGGGATATCAGATCCAAACTCCTCCTCCTCCTCTTCTTCTTCCTAGCCTCAATTTCTTTATTTTCTTAGTTTGCTACTGACATCAGTGGGGACTTTCTGGCCTTGTGGCATTTGGTGATTCACTTCTCTCTCGGCTTTTGGCTTTCCGGGTGCGGGAACTCTGGAGGGCAGCCTGCATAATTGCTGGCTTTTGTCCGTCTCCGGGTGAGCAAATGCTGAAATTACCCTCCAGCGTCTCGCCTGCCTTGCGGCGCTTGTCTTCATCCTCAAGTGTAGGGAGGGATTCGCTTCAGATGCATTTATCGGCTCCCTGCTCCAGGCCGATCGATGGCTTTGCATCACTCCACAATTATCCCCAAATTGCACAAGCACAGAAAGGACTTTTGGGCAAGAACGGTCTCTCGCGTCTGATGCTAATAACGGCACTGAAAACATGTCATTTCCTGCACGTCTCCCAGCAGTCAATAAATCACTAAACAATGTTCACCAGCTTGATTCCTGGCCGGTGCCAGTGATGTCGTGACATGACTGAGCTTCAGGGCTAGAGTTTAAATCTCGCTCTGGCCATTTATTCACTGGGTGGCCTTCGGGAAACAGCTGTGCTGTTTGCCAAATCTGTAATATGTGGAAGGAAACAACCCATACACACAACAGCCCTGTGAGGTATGTCAAAGCAGTGGCTTTCAAAGCGTGTGGCATGCCACACTGGTATGGCAGGAGATAATGGTGGGATGGTTCAAGCACAATCAAATACAGATTTAAACATTTCAGTGTGGTATCAGTTTTATTATTATTTGCAGACTATGGATAAATATCTTTTCAAAACAAAAGCAAGAGCCATAACTAGTTGCATTTTCCAATATATTTCTATTTTAAAATTGGTGTAGTGCAAACAAATTTTTATTCCCAAAGGGTGGCCCAGAAAAAAAAAAGGTTTGGGAAACACTGGCTCAGAGAAACTGGCCTGAATACTCTCAATGCTTTGTGGCTTGGCATGGACTTGAACCCAGGTGTCCCCATTTTATTTTATTAGGATTTTTAATTTTTTAAAAGTAAATTTATTATACATAAATTTAAACAGTACAATACAATACTGTACATACAGTACATATCATATCATACGTACATACCTGCAAACATACATTACTTATATACAAGCCCAACCCAGACACACCATCTGTGTTTGACTTCCCACTCTTCTCATTGTGCTATTTTACAATCTATTAATCTGTACGCATTTCATTTTTATTATTCTGTTTTCTAGACGAGTTTTGCTATACATTTCCTCTATTTTCTAGATTCATTCTATGTCTGTCAGGAGATCCACCTTATCCATATAATTTTTAAGATATTCTTCGAAAACCATCCATTCCTTATTAACTTTTTGTATAGTGTTTCCTCTTACTCTCCCTGTTAACTTTGCAATACAGTCGACTTACATATCCCTCTGGATACAGAATCTTCGGGATACTTCTGGGTTTCGCCGTGTGTGCATGCGCAGAAGCGCTCAGTCGCGCTGTGCGTGTGTGCAAAAGCGTGCCTCTATTTACGTTATTTTCGGAGTGCGAACGGACCCCCGGAATGAATTAAGTTTGTATCCAGAGGGTCCACTGTATGTAAATATTTAATCATTTTCTCTAACCAGTCTGTGAGCTGGTTATTTTAACCCGGACACCCTCTCCATCCACTATGCTGGCACAGAGGACTTAGGAGACTTGTGGGTGCTGCCTACACTGACTGGCAGCTGCTCCCTAGAGATTCAGAGATTTTCCCATCCCTGTCGGAGGCCTGCCAGCCCCTGGTGCGCACAGAAGCATCACATACAGACCAGGCCTCTGGATCTCGCTTGCTGGGAACTGGAGCAGAGAGAGGGGTTTACTGCCTTCCGGTGGGCTCCTGCTGGAGAGGCGTTGATGGGCGCAGTATGCCTCCTGATCTGATCCAGTACGCCTCTTATTCTGCTTTTCTGCTCATTCACGCAGAGCACTGATATTAACTATACTTCAGTGGGCACGTGAATGGCAGATGCCAGGCTCTGCGATATGGCTGGACGTTTGTGCCGACAGCTGCCCTTTGGGGCTTTTCCTTGGAAACTGAACTGCATTAATTTGCGGATGTACTGCTTTGGGTCGAAAGGCCTCGTGCACCACAGCCCCACTCACCCACACACCCACCGCCGTTCCCTTCGTACACATGCAACACACAACTCAGTCTCGCTATTGAGAGCTGCTTCTTTCCTTTTGCTCTGCCGGCAACTCCGTCTGATTCCTGGCCTAGTGTCATTAAAAAAACAAAAACAAAAAACTGAGCAATCTTGGGAGAAAAGCAATGACAAACCTAGACAGCATCTTAAAAAGCAGAGACATCACCTTGCCGACAAAGGTCCGTATAGTCAAAGCTATGGTTTTCCCAGTAGTGATGTATGGAAGTGAGAGCTGGACCATAAAGAAGGCTGATCGCCGGAGAATGGATGCTTTTGAATTCTGGTGCTGGAGGAGACTCTGGAGAGTCCCATGGACTGCAAGAAGATCAAACCTCTCCATTCTGAAGGAAATCAGCCCTGAGTGCTCACTGGAAGGACAGATCCTGAAGCTGAGACTCCAATACTTTGGCCACCTCATGAGAAAATAAGAAAACCCGGAAAAGACCCTGATGTTGGGAAAGATGGAGGGCCCAAGGAGAAGGGGACGACGGAGGACGAGATGGTGGGACAGTGTTCTCGAAGCTACCAGCATGAGTTTGACCAAACTGCGGGAAGCAGTGGAAGACAGGAGTGCCTGGCGTGCTCTGGTCCAGGGGGTCATGAAAAGTTGGACATTACTAAACAACAACAACAAAGTCTGCAACAACCTGCTGCCCTGCGCTACAGTTTAAAACACTTAATTGATGCAACAAAAAACAGCATAAAATACAGTATAAAACGTGAATAACAATAAATTCAGAATTAAAAAATCAATTTAGGGGGGAAATCCATCCAATAAACATTAGATGATCACCAGGGCTAGCTGGCTAAATTAGTCCTATTTGGGCCAGTGAGGAGACCAGGGGAGAATTAGCTGTGGGATCCCAGAGCAGGTAATCTTCATAAAAAGGGGAGGGGAAGGGAAGGAAGGGGAATAAAAGATCAGGCTAAGTTCAAATTGAAAGCCAGGCGGAATAGCTCTGTCTTACAGGCCCTGCGGAAGGAAGTTAAATCCCGCAGGGCCCTGGTCTCATGGGACAGAGCATTCCACCAGGTTGGAGCCATCACTGAGAAGGCCCTGGCCCTGGTGGAGGATAATCTGACTTCCTTAGGGCCCTGGACCTCTAAACTATGATTATTCATGGACCTTAAGCCCTCTGCTTAAGGTTTGGCAGCGTTTGTAGAATTGTAGAGTTGGAGAGGGATCCGATGGTCATCTAGTCCAACCCCTTGCAACGCAGGAATCTCAGCTAAAGCATCCATGGCAGATGGCCTTTCCTCTAGCCTCACAGAAACAGGATCACAGGTGTGAACCTGGCTTTCACCCAGAACGACCTCCCCCAAACCTGTAACAATACCGTGAAGCCGGTATTCTTGCAGTCAGTAGCTATGGAGGTTTCCAAGACTGCAGCCTCCATTGACCTTGGAGCTTTGGGGGCTGATTTGGGGGACACGGCAAATTTGAGAAGTCCGTGCTTTCGTTTTGCTACCTCATTGATTAGCCAAAGCTGGCTTTCGCTTCACCCACCTTGCTGGCAAGGAAGCCCAGATAACTTTGCACAAAAACCCCACACCTTCTCTTTGTCCTATTTTATTTAAAGCCACTTGTGGCTCCAAATCAGGTTTGTCAACAGGAGAAGAATAATCTCTCCTAATAGGATTTCTCGGACTAATGTGTCGGGTTAGTATACTTAGGGGCGTGATCCTGGAACAGTAAATAAATACTTCTTTTTTTTACTTTGTATTTTCGTGCGGATTAAATTTTGGAGATATAATTGGATCAATGCACAGTTTCCTAAATGCTTTGCCTGGCATTCTCATGGAAGGGCCTGGGACAGATTTTTCTGTGATCTCTCTCTCTCTCTGTGTGCTGTTTCTCACCACTGAGCAAGGACCCTGGTTGCACCCAGGTGGTACAAGAAGGATTCGGCCTGGAGCTGAAAGCAGCACCTTCTGCTCCCCCCCTCCAAAACTGATTGGTCAGGCGGGACCCCCGTCTAAATACGCTGTTTTAAGAACTGGAAGCTAAAAGGTGTCTCCAGAGACACGTACGTCTGGATTGACAAGCAGGCTAGAAGAGATTGCTCCAGTAACTTTTTGACCTTGCCAGTTGGTATGTTCTGCACCTGCCCATCTACGAGCTCCAGACACTTTGCAAATCCTGCCAAAGAACTCCTAACTTCTGGCTCTGCCTAAACTCAAATCCCCCCGGTTTACTATCCCTAGTACTTCAAGACTCCCATAAAATTACCTGGCTTAAGTCTAAACTACAAGAAAGAAGATTCCACCTAAACATTAGGAAGAACTTCCTGACAGTAAGAGCTGTTCGACAGTGGAATTTGCTGCCAAGGAGTGTGGTGGAGTCTTCTTCTTCGGAGGTCTTTAAGCAGAGGCTTGACAACCATATGTCAGGAGTGCTCTGATGGTGTTTCCTGCTTGGCAGGGGGTTGGACTCGATGGCCCTTGTGGTCTCTTCCAACTCTATGATTCTATCAAAAACTTCACTCTTGTGGCCTTATCCCCACAACACCTACTCACTATGGACCCTACTAAACCAAACAGGCTAATTGGTCTACGTCTAAAAAATATCGAGCATCAGAACAACCTGGCCACTATGAGGAAATTCTGCCCTTGGTATGTTCAGTATCCACCTCTCCATTTTGATTCTCTGGCCCCATATCTGCACAAACTTATTATCCCAAAATACAGACGTGCTTTTGCACTTGCAAGATTGGATGTTTTGCCATCTGTGGTATTGAGGGTCAATTCCAAAAGATCCCGCCTGAGAAACGTCTTTGCCCCTGTGGAGATGGTAGCACTGAAACAGCGGCACACGTCCTCCTGTCTTGTACTCTCTACAAAGACCTGAGGAATGAGATCATCACCCCACTTGTACTAACCATCCCAGGGCGCACAACCGCTGCCACAATGTCCTTTCTCCTATCAGATCAAAATGAGCAGAAAACAGCAAAGGTGGCTAGGTTCATAGCAGGGGCAATCAGAATAAGGGCCACTAACTGACGGCTGATTCAGGACTTTAAATTGTGCTCTTATATCAAATTTCCTTTTCTGCATATAATGTTTTACTGTTGCTATGGCCATTGGCTAAGGCGAATAAAGTTTTTGCAAATCCCTTTGCGTGATCTAGGTTGGTGGGTCTGTCTCTACCCAGCCCAAGCTAAGAATGTTTGAAGTCCTGCCCATTTTCATGGGAGTGACGAAAGTGTGCCCATAATTCTCCTATTAAAATTAGGGTCCCTTGAAAGAGATTAGCATGGGAGGGTGTGTCCCGATTCCGGGAATTTACCTGGTCTGGTCTAACTTGATTTCTTGGGATGGTTTACAGGTAGGACCATAACAGGAAATTTGTGTGGTTTATGATGGGGGGGGATACCAAAAAAATGGGGATAAAGTGTGTTTTGGGGAGGGAATCCCGTTTGTTTTTATTGCTTATCAATTAATTTACATTCCGTCAATGCCCAAAGCTTGCTTTTTTGTATTCATAAGTTTGACCTCTGCTTTCAAATCTACAATTTGAAAGTGCCGTTGTAACAGAACGCTGCCTTTTCTTTTTCTCCCTTTTTAAATAAAGGATTGTTGAAATCTACAGCAGAAGATTACAAGGTGAGTAATCCTTTGTGCTCTACCTAATGATATCTCTCTCTATAATAAAAATGGAACAGTGTCATCGCACAGCCCTGCCGTTGGAGGATTGGTAATGCCTCATCACTACCCTGATATTGCATGAAGTCAGGATTAGGGTAAGGGAGCAAACCAGTGCCGGATTTACGTATAAGATAAACAATCTATAGCTTGGGGCCCCACTCTCTTGGGCCCCCCCAAAAAAATTTAAAGGAAAAAACCTGGATGTACATTTCCAAAATATAGGATTAAAAACAAATAAAATGAAACCTACATACAGCAACAGTGTTTTGTGTTGTGTAGGCTCCTGTGATGTAAGTCATGGGCCCCGCCTGCTAGCCTGCTCCCTCAAATATCACTGGTTTGCTCCTTTCTATATATAGGGTGCCTACATTCTGCATGGACTGGTTGCAGGGCAACATGCGGCTGCAGACTGCAGTGCAGCACAGTTGAATACACGTCAAGCTGTTGCACCTGCTATCTAATATTAAAGAGTGCTTGCAGACTGATGATCAGGCAGCCTAGATTAAGGGTATGAGTCTTATGCCTACTGGTTGATTTCATGTAATACATAATTTATTTTGATCCCATTATAAAATTACTATTAATATACTTCTTCTTAATTGTATTTCAGTTCAACAATTACTTTGATAAAATACATAATTTTCTTACGTGCCAATGGCTTGAGATACCTGTCAGGTTCATAAATTACCATATAGCATATATTCAACACAAAAAACAGCAGCAATTTGTTGTTGACAAAGGACAGCTGGACATATCAAGGGCCCCATGACCTTCAGTAGCTTAAGGTCTCATCAAACCTATATCCATCAGATAAGTGCTGGAGATGTAATGAGGTTGAGGGTATGTTTTATCATACGTGGTGGACTTGTAAAAGGGTATTGGGAAATGATATATAAAGGGGGAAAACGTTTAAAAGTACCTTTCCAAAAAAAACTAGAGTCCTTTTCGTTGGGGATAATTCAGAGGGGGATTCCCAGGTGTCAAAAAAGACTATTTATGTACACTACTACCGCAGCCCGTGTTTTGTTAGTCCCCAAATGGAAAACGAGCGAGGTCCCAACCAAAGAAGAATTGCAACTTAATCTGATGGAATAGGCGCAGCTTGCAGATTTTAACATATAGAATAAGAGAAGAAAAAGAATGGACGTTTAAAGAAGACTTGGAAAATGTTTACTGAAAATTGTCTTCATTGAAAAACACTGGTAGCATTGAGATAAATTCAACACTGAAAGTAAGTTCTGGTGGTTGTAGCAATGGATCACTGAATGGTTTAGTTCATGTAAAAGATGCAGGGGTGTATGGTATGCAAAATGAACCACGGAAAGAGGTTCAAGAAGGGAAGTCATTGATTGGCGCTGTGGGTTAAACCACAGAGCCTAGGATTTGCCGATCAGAAGGTGGGCGGTTCGAATCCCCGCGACGGGGTGAGCTCCCGTTGCTCGGTCCCTGCTCCTGCCAACCTAGCAGTTCGAAAGCACGTCACAGTGCAAGTAGATAAATAGGCACCGCTCCAGCAGGAAGGTAAACAGCATTTCCGTGCGCTGCTCTGGTTCGCCAGAAGCGGCTTAGTCATGCTGGCCACATGATCCGGAACCTTGGCCAATAAAGCGAGATAAGCACCGCAACCCCAGAGTCGGTCACGACTGGACCTAATGGTCAGGGGTCCCTTTACCTTTAAATGAATATTCTGAAATGTAATCTCTGCCCCCAGTGCTTTGAAGCATTGCTGCCCCTCCCAAATAACCCTTTCTTGACTTGCAGAGACGTCCCGTAAGAGTTACAGATCTCTTTCCCCCGCCCTGTTTTCTTTCCTTGCTGCAGTTCAGGAGCGCCTTACGAAACAGATTGCCATCGCCATCACGGAAGCCTTGCAGCCTGCGGGTGTCGGAGTGGTGGTTGAAGCGACGTAAGCATGCGCAGAGCTCTGCTGAGTTACCCTAGTGGGGAGAGGGCTGCCTCTCTCTCCTGGATGGCTAGGGGTTAAATGTTGTGGGTGGGAGGGGCATTGCTCAGTGGTTTAGCATCTGATTTGCATGCAGAAGGTTATGAGTTCAATCCCAAAAACATCCCCCGAGAGACTCCTGACTGAAACACTCACCCCCTCCGAGAGCTGCTGTCAGTCAGCGCAGACAGTACTGAGGTAGAAGGACCAGTGGTCCGACTCAGAATAAGGCAGATTTTTGTGTTTCTAAGGAAGTCAGATAATCCTCCACCAGAGCCAGGGCCTTCTCAGTGATGGCTCCGACCTGGTGGAATGCTCTGTCCCAGGAGACCAGGGCCCTGCAGGATTTAACTTCCTTCTGCAGGGCCTGTAAGACAGAGCTATTCCGCCTGGCTTTCAGTTTGAACTTAGCCTAATCTTTTATTCCCCTTCCTTCCCTCCCCCTCCCCTTTTCATGAAGATTACCTGCTCTGGGATTCCACAGCTAATTCTCCCCTGGTCTCCTCGTTGGCTCAAATAGGACTAATTTAGCCAGCTAGCCCTAGTGATCATCTAATGTTTATTGGATGGATTTCCCCCCTAAATTGATTTTTTAATTCTGAATTTATTGTTAATCACGTTTTATACTGTATCTTATGCTGTTTTTAGTTGTTGCATCAATTAAGTGTTTTAAATTTGTTGCTAGCCGTCCTGAGCCCGGTTTTCTGAACCGGGAAGGGCGGGGTATAAATAAAAATGTATTGTTATTATTTATTATGACAGACTTTTTTAAAAATGAGAAAATATTGTCCTCACTCAATGTCCACCAGCCTTGTTGGCTTTAAAAGAGGGTAAGGCCCAGAGGTAGAATTATTATCAATTTACGATGGGGTGGAAGGTTCGCAGGCTAGGAAGGGCTTGGTCACAAATTTATTGACAGCTGCACAAATTAGGATAGCTAGGAAGTGAAAGGGGCAAGCAGAATATAAAATGGAAAAATGGTATAAAGAGGTGTGGGATATAGCTATTAACGATAAATCAACGTGTGCCATTAAGGTAAGAGGGGGAATATGCAGGGGACATGATTTTGAGGCGATATGGAAGGTGTTTGTAGAATTTGTACAGTCATACCTCTTGTTACGTTCGGTTCAGGTTATGTCTTTTCAGACATAACCGGAAGTACCGGAAAGGGTTACTTCCGGGTTTCGCTACTCGCGCATGCGCAGTCGCTCAAAATGACGTCACACACATGCACAGAAGCAGCGAATCGCGACCCGCGCACTCGCAGATGCGCAGACGTGGGTTGCGTTCTGCTCATGTTGTGAATGAGGCTCTGGAACAAATCCCGTTCGCAACCAGGTACCACTGTACTGTTAAAATGGAAAGGGGTCAAACTATTGCAAGAGATATTGATATTTTGGGAGTTTGGATAGTTACAATGGAATGGTCTCGGAGATGGGGTGCACATTTTTATTCTTATTTATGCATGATTATTACTTTGTTAGGGACGCGGGTGGCACTGTGGGTTAAACCACAGGGCCTAGAACTTCTGATCGGCGGTTCGAATCCCTGCGACAGGGTGAGCTCCCGTTGCTCGGTCCCTGCTCCTGCCAACCTAGCAGTTCAAAAGCACCTCAAAGTGCAGGTAGATAAATAGGTACCGCTCCAGCGGGAAGGTAAACGGCGTTTCCGTGTGCTGCTCTGGTTCGCCAGAAGTGGCTTAGTCCTGCTGGCCACATGACCTGGAAGCTGTACGCCGGCTCCCTCAGCCAATAAAGCGAGATGAGCACCGCAACCCCAGAGTCGGTCACGACTGGACCTAATGGTCAGGGGTCCCTTTACCTTTACCTTTATTACTTTGTTAAAAAAAGAAAAGAAAAAGAAAAAAGGAGGCAAGGGAAGCTGCAGAAAGAATGCAGTCGGTCAAGGGAGCTGCGGACTCAAAAAGGTGGAAAAACTATATGATGGCTTTCAAGGAGGAGTAGCAACTGTTATGGAGGAGAGGCCTATCAATGGCTACTTGGCACAATATCTAAGCTTTGCCTTCACAGTTGGAGACAACAATGCTTGTATATACCAGTGGCTGGAAACCACACAAGGGGAGAGTTGCTCTCCTGCTCAGATCCTGCACAGGGGTCAGGGCTGTCTTAAGCATATGCGGGGCGGGGGTGCAAAGATCCCCCCGGTGTGCCGGCGCCGCCCAGGTTGCCCAGTCCCAGGCGCGCAGGAGGGCAGAGCTGGCCAGACGCCTCAGTGTCTCGCTGGCTCGGTCGCCCCCGAACTCATGGCGCAGAGCCGCCCGCAGCAGAAGGGCCCACCGTGGCGCTCTGACCAATGGGCGGGCTCTTCCCCGGACTCAAATCTCAGGCCCCAGACTCTTGGCCTGGTGCCCCTGAGAGCCCAGCGCCCGGGTGCCCTGCACCCCTATGACCTATGGGTAAGACGGCCCTGACAGGGGTTTCCCCACAGGCAGATATCTGGTTGGCCGCTGTGAGAACAGGCCTGATCCTGCAAGCTCTTTTCATGCTCTTAGCTCTGAAACATTTAATTAGGTTTTTTTTTGCTGGGGATGTAACTGTCTCCAAGGTCTTCCAGCGAGCTTCATGGCCGTGCGAGGATTTGAACCCTGCTCCCCCAGGTCCTAGTCTGGCACTCTTAACCATTTCGCCACGCTTGCCTGATGGCATCTCCTTCTTCTTCCTTTTCCCCGCAGGCACATGTGCATGGTGATGCGAGGGGTTCAGAAAATGAACAGCAAGACTGTGACCAGCACAATGCTCGGAGTATTCCGGGAAGACCCAAAGACCCGGGAAGAGTTTTTGACGCTCATCCGCAGCTAAAACTGTGCCATCTTCCTCCGGACTGTCTTGTCTGCTGTTGGTTATTTTGCTGCTTTCTTCCCTCCTCTCTCTCTCTTTCCGTAAAGTAACTGTCCATTTAAATTCCCTTGTTTTCACTTTTTATCGGTTCTGTAAAATGTTCTTTACGGCAAGTCCATTGTGACCCTTCATTCGCTCAAGGCAAGCTGACCCCCTATTTGGGAGGTTCCAAATACCGTATTTTTCGCTCTATAAGACGCACCAGAACACAAGACGCACCTAGTTTTTGGAGGAGGAAAACAAGAAAAAAAATATTCTGAATCCCAGAAGCCAGAACAGCAAGAGGGATTGCTGCGCAGTGAAAGCAGCAATCTCTCTTGCTGTTGTGGCTTCTGGGATAGCTGCGTGTAGGAGTGCAAATGGCCAGAGATGCAGAGGTGTAGATTGATCAAGAATCATATCAAAATAGTTTAAACCCAGTCAACGCAATGCTTTCATTGCTGACACAGATGGCTTACTCTATATCTGTTATAATTCCTCATAGCAATCCCACCTGATCACTACATCTCTGGCCGTTTGCACTCCTACACTGCGCAGCCTACACTCACTCCATAAGACGCACACACATTTCCCCTTACTTTTTAGGGAGGGAAAAAGTGAGTCTTATAGAGCAAAAAATACGGTAACTGTCCATTTCAATTCCCTTGTTTTCACTTATTATTGGTTCTCTAAAAGGTTCTTTATGGCAAGTCCATTGTGACCCTTCATTCGCTCAAGGCAAGCTGACCTCCATCTGGGAGGTTTCAAATAGTCTTGAAAAATGTTTTTTTCGGCCGATGTCCTCTCACAACGCTGTCCATTGATTTTGGTGGATGGTTTGAGTGGGATTTTACAAAATTTATTCTGCTTCTTAAGATCGTTTAAAGCGCAAGGACGTGCTCCTTCAGAAGGAGGGAAAGCGAAACCCCTTCTTTCCAAATAACTCACAAAATGCATCCTTCCTTCAAGGGGTGGAGCAAAGGCAGGCAACCCAGGGGCCACAATCCTTCACAGGCCAACCGCCCAAGGGGCCGCACGCCAGCTGTGATCCCTGCATTGCCGGGGGTTGGACTAGATGACCCCTGGGGTCCCTTGCAATAATTCTGCGATCCTATGAAGGCCTTCTCCCCAGACTGAGAACTCCTCCCTGGTTTCCAACACATGGCCAGCCACGGTCCTTTCATGGGAACATTTTTCCGTGCAAAGAGTCCCGTCCCCTTCCTCTTAGGTAACCAAAATGCCACCATCGTCAGAAGTGGCTTGCTGCAGTCTACACGGAAAATTTATGGAAGGGATGTTTTGTAAACCCTCTTTTAATTAAGGAAAGATGGTGCAGTAACTGGAAGCAAGTGTTGAGCAGACTCTAAGCCTCCCCCTCCCTAAGCCTGTCTGATCCACTTACTCAAATCATTTGCCAGAGCTTGGATCGGTAAGTCAGTAAACCGGGGACCCCTGGGCCTCTAGAAGTCATTGGGCTCCAACTCCCACCCATCCCAGCCAGCTTGGCCAATGGTCCCAGGGATGAAAGCTGTCAGGAAAGGGCAATAACCAAGAGCAACTCCCATCCAAGGAAAGGTTGCAGCATTTGCGTGTCGAGGTCCCCAAACCACCCCCTCAAATAACTCACAACTCACACGTAATTTTTGTTTGGGTTTTTGGCCACAACTTTATTAAAATACAAATTTTATGAGTGGTTGCTTGGGCATTGGTTAAGACTATCTGTCCCCCCCGCCTGGGGGCAGAACTGACATCCGAACTCCATCGGATGCCAGTGAAGGGAAAACAATATTGGGGAGCAATGGAGCTGAGTCACAGGCCCTCAGCGCTCACCCACATGCTTCCCAGGGCTTGCCGGCCCTGGTCCCATTTCAGGGATTCAGACGAAATCGTGGCAAGCCCCTGGATTCCTTTAACAGAATTCCCTTTCAGCAGCAGCATTGGAGGGGCAGGCCCAGCCAATCCTTACCCCTCCTCCAACCAATTGATAACCAATGCCAACCTTACAAGTTGTGATGATTTGCCATGCAGTAGGCAAAAACCAAATGGCACCAGCCAGTCAGCCAGATGGACAAAATTCCTACAAGGCTCCTTCCCCAATGGCAGACGACCCCATGCCAGGCATAGCAAAGTCAAGTAAAACCTTCCAAACGCAGGGCGGGTGGGCGGGTGATTCGGCTCACGCAGCGAAAGAGAAAGCCTCAAGCTGCGTGCTCTGAATTTAAACAGTTCGGTCCCTCCCACCAAATTTGCAGCAAGTAAATTCCTCCAGCAACACAGCCATCCAATTAAATGCCAGGGTAATATTTATAACCCTACCTGGCAACAGAGGGGTGACTCAGCGGACTCCACCGCAACACGTGCTCTCACGCTTTGGGACTAAACTGAAAAAGCGAGTGAGGCAGAAGTTAACTATGGAACTCATTGCCACAAGAGGCAGTGTTTGAAAAAGGATTAGACAAATTTGTGGAGGAGAGGGCTGTGGGCGGCTGCTCGCCATGGTGGCTTTTCTTTGCCCATGACTGTTGGAGGAGAGGGGAGAGAGCAGAAAGCCCGTCTGGATTTTCCACAGACGCTCCCTTTCTAGGAAGTGTGCGAAGCCAAAATGGCAACCTGGCCTTTTCCAACCTGTTGTTGGCCTTGGAAATCCCATCAGCACCAGCCAGTACACCCAGTGGTCAGGGCCGATGGCCCTTGGCAGTCCAACAAGATCTGAGATAAGGTTACCAGATTTTTTTCAATGAATCTGGGGACACTTTTCAACTTCAATGGATTCTGTCTGGGGACTGATTTGTAAATCTGGGGACTGTCCCTGGGAAACAGGGACGTCTGGTAACCTTAATCTGGGAAGCCCTGGGATGAGGAAACTGGTGACCCTCAGCCTTGTGCAACGAGGGAAGAGGCAGGACCAGAGCATCCTCACTTTTCCCTTGGAGCTGGCGTCGTCCCTGTCCAAACTGCGCTTTTTTGTTTCGCCACAGAGTCCTTCCAATATACCTCTTAACTGGACTTTTGGAAACTTCTCTGCTGTCTCCATAAAGGCGAACAGGTGCAAGGGAGCGATTTATTCCTTCTCCCCCCGTACCACGAGCAAAAGGAAGTTCCCAGTGGCTCGCACCCTTTGTGGCCTTAGAATTTGTTGACCTTACAGCTTGGCGAATTTGTTATTTATGGGAAGCTTTGCTCCCCATGGCCTCATCCAGATGTTCGGGACTACAGTCTGGGGCGGATGGGAGTCGTAGTCCCCAAACAGCTGGATGATGGCAGGGCGAAGAGGAAGGCTTGCTTATGCCTCTTCTTTTGTGGGGAAAAAGTGACCCTTAGCCAACGTTTTCTGTGCCCAGTCTGTACATAAATAAACGCAAGCCATGCACAGTCCGTCGTTGTGTTTCCCCCTTCTGTCAAGCTCTGTTCTATTTAAAAATATTAAAAGAGAAATACAGCCTTGGTCATTTTTGGGAGACTCTCTGCTGTGTGATTTGTGAGTTCAGCACTGGCGATCTGTACCTGTGCTTTTGGGAGTCATGGGCTGGGGTGCTGCCGCTACCATGTGCATCTGTGGCAGAGCTTTCCAAACTGTGTGTTGCGGCATGTTAGTGTGTCGGTTGCAGAGTGTCGGTGTGTCGTGCGAATGCTCCCGGGGCTGGAAAAAGGGGTCAGTTTAACCTTTGCTAGTGAAACTGAACGACTGTGTTGCGAAATGATGCAAGCGGGTCTGAAAAATGTGTCACCAGCACGAATAGCCAGGAAAGCTCTGGTCTTTGGGGTAGAAAGTTGTGCAGCAGCCTCCAGGTGTGAGATGAAGTGGGTGCGCTATCTCAATATGAACTTGGAGAAGGTTCACGAAAGGGGATGGAGCGACTCAAAGGTTGTAGCATTTGGATCTTTTCACAGAAAAGGCCTGGAAGAGGCGGCATGTGAGGAGTCGATAGAACTGCCAGGCAAAGTGGCTAGAGAAAAGCTTTTCTCCTGATAACATTAGACCTGGAGGGCAGCCCAGTAAGCTGAATGTTGGAAGTTTCAGGACAGATTTCATAATAATAATAATAATAATAATAATAATAATAATAATATATTTATTTATTTATACCCCACCCATCTGACTGGGCTCCCCCAGTCACTCTGGGCGGCTTCCGACAAAATATTAAAATCCAATAGTCCTTCAGGTATTAAAAGCTTCCCTAAACAGGGCTGCCTTCAGATGTCCTCTAAAAGTCTGGTAGTTGTTTATTTCATTGACATCTGATGGAAGGGCGTTCCACAGGGCAGGTGCCACCACCGAGAAGGCCCTCTGCCTGGTTCCCTGTAACTGCTTCTTGCAGGGAGGGAACCGCCAGAAGGCCCTCAGAGCTGGACATCGGTGTCCGGGCAGAATGATGGGGGTGGAGACGCTCCTTCAGATATACAGGACCGAGGCCATTTAGGGCTTTAAAGGTCAGCACCAACACTTTGAATTGTGCTCGGAAACGTACTGGAAGCCAATGTAGGTCTTTCAAGACCGGTGCTATGTGGTCTCAGCGGCCGCTCCCAGTCACCAGTGTAGCTTGTTCACACGGTACATGGTTGAACTATGGAACTCCCTGCCACAGGAAGCAGTGACAGCCACTCAATCAGTTGGCTTAAAAGAGGGTTAGACAAATTCAGGGAGGAAAGGGCTATTGATGGCTACTAGCCTGGAGGGCCGTGCTCTTTCTCCACAGCCGGAGGCAGCGATACTCCTTCATACCAGTTTCTGGAAACCACAGGAGGGGAGAATGGCTCTTTTGCTTGGATCCTGATTGCAGGTTTCCCAAAAGTCATCTTGGTGGCCTCTGAGATGTTGTAAACAAAATCTGCCCTTCTTCCCTTATGGGGTATCCAAGAGCCCATATAGAGTCCTTACGTAGATTCCCTATTGGTAGGAAAAAACAACAGAGGCCAACCAGGGAATATTGAGAAGCAAAGCAGCTAGTAAGCCTGATCTTTATTAAACTGTTGAAACAGGTTGCTCCCCTCAAACGCAGGAAAGGAGGAGGAACCCAGAACAATGGCGCGCAAGGCCTTATATAGACATTTTAAATTCCCTGCCCTGGAGCTCAAGACCACCCCTCCATACATCATACATACAGCATAGAAGGGGTGAAACCCAAGACCACCCCCCACATACCTACATCACAGAAAGGGCGGTCTACAGGAAATCTGAATCCTTTGTTTACCTGTTTAATGGTCAGTTGATTGAATTGCCTGGGGAGCCTGGCCAGTCTTTTGTAATGATAAATGCTTGTTGTTTAGCCGTGTCCGTGACCCCCTGGACCAGAGCACGCCAGGCACTCCTGTCTTCCACTGCCTCCCGCAGTTTGGTCAAACTCATGCTGGTAGCTTCAAGAACACTGTCCAACCATCTCGTCCTCTGTCTTCCCCTTCTCCTTGTGCCCTCCATCTTTCCCAACATCAGGGTCTTTTCCAGGGAGTCTTCTCTTCTCATGAGGTGGTCAAAGTCTTGGAGCCTCAGCTTCAGGATCTGTCCTTCCAGTGAGCACTCAGGGCTGATTTCCTTCAGAATGGAGAGGTTGGATCTTCTTGCAGTCCATGGGCCTCTCCAGAGTCTCCTCCAGCACCAGATAAATACTTAGTAATGATAAATACTTAGTTCCTGAGTCAGGTCACAGGCTCACCCTATTCAAACGCAGACATACCCTTAAGACAAGATTTGTGAAGGAAAAGACAATGGGAGGCTTTTCCATTTTCCTTTGACCTTGCAAAGAAAACATTTGCTCAGTTTGGGAATCAAAATGGTTTCAGGTCGGTCTTCCTGTGCTGATCTATGTACGTGCTTGGTACATTTAACATATATCTAAGACCTCAAAATTCCTATCACAGAGAACAGGATGCTGGACGAGATGGGCGACTGGCCTGATCCTGCAAGCCCTTATGTTCTTAAGGGACAGACTTGATGCATAGGCCAGGATATGACCTGAGGTTTATCCCCAGCTTTTTGACTTGTAGGAGAGCCCGCTGCCATTTCTGAAGACTTCTTAATATCTATTTCTTGAGTGCATTTAAACCAGCCCCAGAAAGGATGCTCATTTTCTCCCCACCCCCAACACTATGCCTGCACTTCTTCCACTTCATTGGGTTATTTTCTCTCTGTTTGACTCTTTTCCCCAAACCAGATCGCCATCTTTTTAATTTCATTTGAAGCGGAGAAGCACCCCCAGAGGCAGGAAATGGTTCATTTTGTTCATCCAGGAAGAACGGACACAACTGCTTCAGAAAGCCGCAAAGTAACAGAGGTTTAAAAACATAAAAAACAGTGTCAACATTAGGTTACTCAAACACCGATGTTTGGCCTAGCTGAGGCATCTAATACTCTTGAGATTACCCTCTACCTCCTTGTTTTTGTTCTTTGTTCAGATTTCTTGAATCCACAAATGCTGACCTTTAATTCCCTGAAGAGCCTGGATTTTGTAGCAGGTGTTTCTCGTGAGCGAAGGAAAAGCAAAACTTTACACTCCCACCCCCTGACACACACACATGCATCTTGCCTTTCAGTCCACAATTTGCCCATATTTACTGTGGGTGGCGCTGTGGGTTAACCACTGAGCCTAGGACTTGCCGATCCGAAGGTCGGCGGTTCGAATCCCCGTGACGGGGTGAGCTCCTGTTGCTCGGTCCCTGCTCCTGCCAACCTAGCAGTTTGAAAGCACACCTGTGCAAGTAGATAAATAGGTACCGCTCCGGTGGGAAGGTAAACGGCGTTTCTGTGCGCTGCTCTGGTTCGCCAGAAGCGGCTTAGTCATGCTGGCCACATGACCCGGAAGCTGTACGCCGGCTCCCTTGGCCAATAAAGCGAGATGAGCGACGCAACCCTTGGAGGGTAGGACTCGAACCCACGGCTTCAAGGAGATTCCGACTCCACATCAGGAAGAACTTTCTGACAGTAAAGAGCTGTTTGACAGTGGAACGATCTCCCTCAGGAGCTGGCAGACTCTCTTTCCTTGGAGGTTTTTAAGCAGAGGTTGAATGACCATCTGCCATGGATGCTTTAGCTGAGATTCCTGCATTGCAGGGGGTTGGACTGGATGATCCCAGGGGGTTCCATTCCAGCTCTACAATTCTATAATTCTAACTGTGCAGAAGGGCTCTCAAACCCAGCATGGCTGGTTTGTTTAACTTGCAGGATTTATGCTGGTTGTCAAATCCAGCTTTCCTGGGTGCTGAATCTGCAGAGCTGAAACGATTAAGAAAAACAAGGTAAAGGGACCCCTGACCATTAGGTCCAGTCGTGACCGACTCTGGTGTTGTGGTGCTCATTTTGCTTTATTGGCTGAGGGAGCCTGCGTTTGTCCGCAGACAGTTTCCAGGTCATGTGGCCAGCATGACTAAGCCGCTTCTGGCGAACCAGAGCAGCGCACAGAAACGCCGTTTACCTTCCCACCGGAGCAGTACCTATTTATCTACTTGCACTTTGACATGCTTTTGAACTGCTAGGTTGGCAGGAGCAGGGACCGAGCAACGGGAGCTCACCCCGTCGCGGGGATTCGAACCGCTGACCTTCTGATCGGCAAGTCCTAGGCTCTGTGGTTTAACCCACAGCACCACCTGCATCCCACTAAGAAAAACAAATCTTCTTCCAGAATAGAGCCTTCAAAGGACGGGTATGTGTGTGTGTTTTCCTTTTTCGCTTCTCAAACCCTAGCGCTGCCCTGGTACGAAGCAGTTAATTATTATCAGTAAAGCTATTGATGAGCTGTTGTTCTTCTGGACAATGATGTAACTCTGGAAAGATGTACTTTCGGTCGGCAGCACAGGAGGCAGAAAGAGGGTCAGTTTTGTCACTGGCTCTGTCATTCGTTGGGTGGGCTGGTACAGCCCCTTGGTCTGCATATTTGCCACTGGGCTGCGAGTCTCTCCCTCCCCCCCCCGTCCATTTGCCCTTTTGCGAAAGCTTTTGACGTTGTGAGGACATAGTGAGGAGCTATTTCGAAAGCTTTGTGCCCTTATTCAAACACTACGAACTTTCTGCCCTCACCAGTTAAAACTGCTGGTAAGTTTCCACTGAGTGCAAACCGAAAGGATGGCGCAGCCGTTAGCATGCAGTGGTTTGCTTGGGAAGACCTGGGTAACATAGTGCAATTAGCTTATTAAATTTATTAATCACGTCTCACAAGAAACAGGTCCCAAAGCAATTCGTTTAGGCTGTTGCACAATTTGCTACCCTTCTTCCTTCTCCATGCGTGTAATCAAGTTAAACAGGTTAATTAGGGTTGTCATATTCCCAAAAGTGAAAATCCGGACAAAATTATTGGGGTTTTTTTTGGATTTGTAAAGCATTTTTTTTAAATCACCTGTCAGGGGTTCAGGGAGAGAGGCACAGGGTAGGCAGGAGATGGAGAGCGATGGGGAGGAATTCCAAGCCAGCGAGGAAGAGGATGACAATGACTCAAGAGATTCCATGAGTCTTTCCAGCGAATCAGAGGATTCCCA